CAGTGCACTGGAAAGAAAAGCAAACACCCTATTCCCCAAACCTAGCCTGCTAAGTTAGAAAAAAAGCCCAAAGAAAACGACCGACAAAAAAGAAGAGCCCCCCTTCCCTCCCGCCTCCCAAGATAGCTAGGTCTAGGAAATAAAAAGCCAAAACCAAAACAATAACCCCAAAGCACCGAAAAAAAGAAAAAGAAAAACACGCCCCCAAGAGTATGGCACACACAATACACACACACAACACGCACATAAGCACAGACAGAGACAGAGACACACAGAGTACATCTCCAGCCTCATTCTCACCACTGTCTAAACCGGCTCCTCCGATCCGGCTGCCTCCCATGTTTCTCATTCACCATCGACATCGCATGATGCAGGTCCTCCGTGCCCGCCGCCGCCCCACTAAAGTCATAAATCTGCCTCTCCGTGATGGTCTTCACCTCGCAGTCCCGCAGCGTCACCACCGCATCCATCAGCATCTGCGCACTGACCTGGTCCGCCACATACAGCCCCTCCTTCTCGCACCGCACCGACACAAGCTCCAGCCCCGTCAGCGCCGGAAAGATGCCCGCCCGCGTCGCCAGATACTCGCCCACCAGCACCTCCGCCTTCTCCTCGACGAACGTCGCCCAAAGCACTAGAGTTTTGAGGTTCGGTAGTACCACCGGCCGCTCATCGTCCTTGTCCAGCAGCGGCGGCGTCCCCGACCCCGACGATGACCCCGACCCGGACCCCGACTCCACCGACGCCCGGCTCCACGCACTGCTCCGCCGGCGCCGGCTCCGCCCCAGCATCATATCACCGTCGCTGTCCCGGCCGCCCCGCCGCCCACGGAATATCAGCCCCATCGACACCCGCCCGCGATAGAAGTCCAGATACGTCAGCGCGGGGCTCGCCCTCAACAGTGCGCGCAGCTCCTCGCACGCGCCCTCATCTACGCCTACAAGCCCGTCCTCGTCGACGGCGAAGTAGCTCTCCGGCACACTGATGGTTAGGTGGGTCAGCGCCGTCGGTCCCACGGCACCGTACGAGCAGCCGAGATCGCGCCACCAGTCGGTGCGTGTTAGCTTGCGCAGGTGGCGACAGTGCGAGAAGAGGGTGCGCATGAGGGAGCGAGCGGGGGTAGCCGAGGTGCTGTGCGGTTCGCCAGAGAGGTCGTGGCATTCGAGGGATTCGAGCGAGGGCAGGTGCGGGATGAGGGAGAGGAGGGCGGAGCGCGCGGTGTGGACCGGTGGCTCGTCTTTGAGGAGGGGGTGGCCCCAGTTGAATTCTTGGATCTCGTTCTCGTCTTGGAATTGGGGCAGCGGGGCAATGTCGATTGTGAGGCGGCGGACGAGGGTGGTGAGATGCGGGGAGCTAGGTGGGAGAGGGGAAGTTTAGCGATTTGGGCCTTCGAGGAATTGCAGGCAAAAGATATCATGATCCTCCACTCTCTCTCTCTTTCTCTCTCTCTCTCTCTTTCTCTCTCTCTCTCTCTCTCTGGTGCATATGCAAAATGATAATGGCAATTGATGACAGGGAATTTAAAAGAGCTCACCCCCTCTTCTCCTCCAAGAGTTCCGGGCATTGGTTTTTTGGGGGGAATTGACAATTCTCGCCACCCAGACGGACAGACGACGACAGCAGGCAGAAGGCAGAGGCAGCAAAACACAAAACTCACCTCTTCAAAACTCGCAGCTGGCTCTCGCGGTAGGCATAGGGATCGAACCTGATCTCATGATACAGCTTCGCGACCGCCAGCCTCCAAAAGGTCCTGCTGACGGCCGCAACGCGCGCCAGGTCCGTCTTCTCGAGGTATCCGATAATCTGCTCCAGAATCTCCTCTGGGAGCTTGTGGGTATTTGCATTCGTTCGCATGTTTGTGTTTAACATGATCATGACTCTTGTCCAAGTCTGGTTGTGAGGAAGGTTCAAGCAACTGATGTGCTGCTGGTGGTGAGTAGCAGTCGTGGGTAGTAGTAGTAGCGGTAGTAGTAGTAGGGGTTGGTGAAGTGTAAGTGCCGGAAAGGAGAAGTCATTGTTCGACTTCTTTTTTTTTTTTTGTTGCTGCTGCTGCTTTGCTGCTTCCCCCCCCCCCCCCCCCCCTTCCCCTTGCCTTCCCTTACTTACCCCCCCCCCCCCCCCCCCCCCCGGGTTGCTGTCTCGTTTATTTTATCAGATTTTTCCTACTACTGCTACTTACTGCTACCCGCGGGCGGAAGTTGAGGCCGGCCTGATAGGGATGGTCATGATCGTCGTGACGCTGTGCCACCCTGCATTGCGTAGCAAGAGACCCGAAACGAACAGGCAGCAGAAAAAGAAAAAAGGAAGGCCCTGTAGGCAGCATCATCATACATAGCCAGGCCAGCCAGGCCCCTCCAAACGAAAAAAAAAAAAAAATCAACCCATGCAGTTTTTGGTTACCGCGAGTCGACCTCGTGGGGTGGGAATTCCGGGAGGGAAGAAGAGCCAGCGCCAAAACCCTTACTTTGCAGGGTCCAGGGTGGGAAAGACGAATAAATCGAACGACAAGTCTCCCAAATGACATAGCGATACCTACTCTAGAGTACCAGCGCTCTAGGTACTCTAGGTACTCTACTGGCTCTGCGTAGGTATCCATCGTATGGATATACTCAAAGCGGATGTACTCTAGTCGCCCCTACCAAAGAAGAGAGAGTGATTGCTGCAGGTGCAGGCCAAGAATGATCAACCTCTCTGAGCTCTTCCTTCACACTTTCACACTGCGCCCCTCTGCCTGACCCCCCATGTGAAAAAGAGTAAAAAAGCCGATTCCCGTTACGTTACCGAAGGATCCAATTTACTCAGGCGCAAAAGTAAAAAGAGAAGTGTGTTTATTATCGATATGTTGAGCACAGTCACATGACTGCAAATATCACTGGTAGAGTAATAATAAACGTAGTCCCGCTGTTGACCGTTCGGCATTGCTCATCCGAGAAAGCAATTGGAACGGATCCAGCTGGGAATGGAGTGCTAAACAGAAAGTCTCTGCATAAACACACAGACGCTGTTGCATAAGGCAGCTACCTAGCTGGGGAGTGTGTGTGGGATGCTATGAGCAAATAGGAATATTAGCTGGTGATCATAATTGGGGGGGAAATGCGATCTTCCAGAACGTTTTATTCTCCTCGGACCAATTACAAAAGAGGGCAAATCAGAGAAGTTATCAATTGCCTTACTTCTCTTTGAGAGATATTCAACTCCCGGTGCGGTGAGGTTGATGCTGTTCTATTCTCGTGATAGACAAGGTATGGCCTGAAGTCAACTCGGAGAGACAGACAGCTCGAGAGACAACCGTACCTAGAGCACTAGTAGAATAGTACTCGCAGCAGGTAACAAGTACCCGAAAATGCACGTCCTAATCTGCAATTTCCATTGGAGTAGAAGTCAAAATACACTAAAAACTTGTAGCTGCATATTCGGGTACTTCATGCCTGTCGCGAGTAATAAAGTACGTATAAGTATGCAAGTAGAGTATTTGTGACTTGAGTGACCACCTGTGACCGCGCGTCACCCTACCGACGAGTCTACTACATATAGCAATTACATCTCAAACCCAAACCCAACTATCAATACTTAGCGCTCCTCCTCATTCCTCCACGCAGGAGGCACAGTAAAGTTACCTACTAACAGACTCACCAAGAACACCTCTTCCCCGTCTAGCACATGTTTCAAATCTCGATCTCACGATCCACCAGGATTGGGAGCTCCCCCAAAACAGCGCTATGTATCCACGTTGGATGACCAGACATGAAACTACCTTACCTACCTATACTCTACCTAGAGTAGGTAGAGGAGATCAATGATCCACAAACAAAACCCCTCTCCAAAACAAGATTACCGAATTCCCACGAGACAAAACGATTGGTCCATCGATCCCGCTTACATTCGGCTGAATTAGGAAGATGGATGAAACGGACAGCATATGCCAATATCTACTGGGTTGGTATGGGTAAAAAAGCGTGATTGAATTTTTTTTTTTTCCTCGCTTCCCTTCTTCTGCCAGTACCTGCCAGCCAGTTAAGTATCAATATCCAACCCGGTCCAAAACAACGACAGACGACAACAACGACCAACAGCCTCATTCAACCGGGAATGTATGAGGTCATATATCTGTCCCTCTGAAACGAAACGGAAACAATTCAACGAAATATAGCAAGAGAGATATGAAACGAAATCGAGAAGATGTTGACAGCAGCACATGCAAAGCAAGTTTCATCAATATCAAGCAACCAAGAGTAGAGTATGCTAGCTAGAAAGAAAACAAATCTGAAAAAAGAAAAAAAACAAAAGGCTAGCCATGAAATCACTATATTACACGGGAGCTTTTGAATTTCCCTTTTCTTCCCCTCCCTCTCCCCTCACCCACTCAAATCCCCAACCCCATTGAATTTTAGGAACAATTGTCAGCTCATGCGATGACTAATGGTACTCGATAGCAGACAGGCAGCTCAGGTAAACTCTACTTATTCTACATCCTGTTTCTCCAACCAGACCTTCACGCCGGCCCACACTCACTGTCCTCCGTTCTCCCACAACCCGGGTACAATTGTGCCTATTCACGTGGTTTATATCATCACCCGATCCCGGCCCATAGATTGATCCCTCTGCCCGCCCGCTCTGCCGGCGCGCTTATAGTGAAGCAGCACCGATGCTTCCCCATCCCAGCACAAGCATCACAAGCCCTCCCCCTTGTCGACCCGGGACAAGGGACGTGCTAAAGAAACGAGAAAAGAGAACAAGAGAAAAGTCAACAAATCAAAAAAGCAGATACGCCGGATAACAATACGGAATAGAGAGATTTGGGAGAAAAAATAGATTTGGCGGTGGCAGAAATAAAGGCAAAAAAAAAAAAAAGAAAAAGAAGATATAAGAAACATTTCCCTTTGGCAGTATAAAATAAGATATAAAAAGGAAATTATCGCGAAACGCATAAGCCAGCGCCAAGAGAAAGAAAGATTCCCCACCGCCTTTTTTAAATTTATTTATTGAATCCTTCTCGCAATTTACGCCTCCTCTTTCGGGACCTCCTCCTCATTCACTTCCACCTTGATTGGCTCCTCACTGTTTTCATCAGCTGCGTCCCCCGCCGTAGTGGTTTTGACTGCCAAGTTAATAGCAATCTTCTTACTGGGCGGGCTGCCGCTGCCTCCGAAACTCCTCTTCCTCGACCCCATTTGGATGAGGCTACTTCCACCACTTGGGCCTCTCTTTTTTGTCCTAGACAATTTACCCAGCTCATCGTCGTCTTCCTCCTCTCTCCTCCTCTTCTCTGCCAGTCGCTCGGGCATGGGCAGGCTCGATACCGGCTCTTCTGATTTTGACCTGACCGTTGACGGTGACGTTGACGGGCTTGGGGTTGCTGATGATGAGGGATCCTTTACTGGCGAATCTTCCATCTTTATCTCAACCTTGACCTCACCCTCGTCTTCCTTCTTGACAGTAGCTTCCTCTCCGATATCATCCATGGATTCTTCATCTGCATAATCCACCAGTCCCTTCATCACCGGTGTACCTCCGTTGATAAGCCTTAGGCCTGGAGTGTTGTCTTCTTCGTCTGAACCGTTGAAGTACTCCTCTTCCAAAGGATCTGTTTCTTTGATTCCGTCCCATCTTCGTGCGCCGTTGATTTGGTTTCTACAGGTCGGACGAATAGAGTGTGAGTAACAGTAACCTTTGGGGATTGATGATGGCACAGCATATACGAAACTAGCTAATTAATACTAACCTTGGCGTGCGGTCTACCTCTGAGGGATAATTTGACGGCAAAGTACTATCTTGCATTTGATCGTTTCTTAAGATTAGAACGGAGAAGGTATCGACATATGTAATCATTGACATCTTTTCACGGTAATTCTCAACCAAATGGAGGATAATTTGCTTTACGTTTTCCTATTTTCGAACCCCATTAGCACTACTGAACACCCGTGATAATATGACCAAAAATACCCACAGAAGGGGAAAGGCTCCAAACCCGTTTGATGAATTCGAAGAATTCTAAACAAGCTGAATTGAGTAAATTATCTCTTGGCATGGTTTCAATGACAATGTTCAAAATGGGTTCGAACAACTTGTGCTTGATCATATGCCGGATATAAAACTCATCCTGTAAACCTACACATACGCGGAAAAACTTCAGTGCAGTGAGCTTGAGGTGTTTCTGCGGCGATTCCAGCAGCTGTGCTACTCGCGATGGTAAATTCTCAGCTAATAGGAAGTATTTGCCCCGGAATGCGTGTTGTCGGACGAAAATGCACAATGTCTCCACAAGATGTGAATACAGTGATACCTCCGCTATCGATAACCCTTTTACTGCCCATTACGAAATTCCGTCAGTCATTTACTCTCTTTCCATATCCCCCGCAATACACACCCTCCATATTCTAAAGTGTCCTTACGTGATGTTCTCTTGCTTAAGTCGGATAACGGCAGAAATAGCTTTTTGGCGGACTCATCATAAAAGTTCTTCAAGAAACTCTCCGTCTCATGGTCTGTGGAATGACTTCGTAGTCTCATGGTGATATCACTAGACTTTCCAAGTCCTTCAAGTTGCGGTCCTGTCGCGGGATCCAGCAACACCCTGATAGCATCCGCGATCTGTCCCTTTACTCCCAAATCTTGCTCTCCTAGCAATAGCTCAATTAATGTGTCGGTCAATGGCTTCTGCTTGTCGCTGATCTGTCGGAATATAACGTTGCGCATCATCACTGGATCGTGGTCTATCATGGCCACAAGGACCTCAGTGCCGGCGATCCTGACGGCAGCGTCTTCGTGGAGCAGCGCAAAATCTATAACGGCAAATAGGCCATTCTGAATAAAGTATGTGTAGAGCTGGGTTCTAGCAGGACCCTGGAGGTTCTTTGCGATGGAACAGCATTGCTGAATGAACAGAACACCATTCTTCTTTTTCGACGGTTCCGATCCCTCTGTGTGAAAAATCGCGAAAAGATCCTTTAGGAAAGCTTGGTTGCTTTGCAAATGTTGCAGGATGTCAACCTGATTGAAGAAGATAAGAGAATTAAGTACGGAGAAAGTCGGATCGTCGAGAATTCTGGCCAGCACAACGTCTTTCAGATACTGCAGCCGGTATGTCCAGTGGATCTTTTTCTTGATCTCCGGATCTTTTATCGGCACTACCTCCTTGAATTTTGATTTGTCCGAAAGGAATTGGCGGTGATTGGCCTTGTGGCTTGGGAAGTCAGGGTCGTCTGCATGCAAGCCAGGGGCGTTAGCGTAAGTGACGCACTGCATATTGTGCTTCCCATCCTCCTAAACTTACACTCTAGGATCCCTACAACCCCCAGTACAACCTCATCCATGACAATGTGCTCGATGATCAACGTATCGTTCAATAAAATCATCATCTTCATAATATTGCATAATCTGTGAAGGTTATCCAAGCTCTCTAAATCCTCCGCAACCTCCAATAATGGAATAAGCTTTCCAATGTAGTCTTCACTAAGGATGAATTTGCCCAATGAATCTCTTCCCGGCACTGTTGAGCTCGCAATTCGAATCTGATTTTCGATATCCATGAGGTTACCAAGTTCCGGGGGAGGCAACATTACGGAAGCTATCATGGCTTCGTTTGGATCGTCTGATAACATCTCATCTGTATCTTAAATATTAGAATCTTTGTCGATACCCGGTCGGTGCCCATGGTTCCAGATAGGAGTAGCAATAGCGAATAAATTGAAGGGTATCGGCAAGGACAAACATAGAGACGGTAGATGGGGGATGTTAGCTACATACCTGTTCCGGACATGGACAGTAAATGAGTTTGGACATGACTAACGAACTCCCTGTAGTGCGTTTATCCGTAAGTACGAAGTACAAGCCACTTGACATCATATCATCACCATTCTCCGCGCACTTTTAATAGTATATATAACGACGGGTGCAAGAGCTAGAGATGAACCTACCAGATCGCTGCACACCCTTCGGGTTCTTGGAAACTCAATGCCATGTCTGTACCATGCGGCTCAGTCCACACGATAAGGGTTTCTACGTCATGGGGTATTAGCGACACTTTTGAGGCAAACCTGAAAGGCGCACTTGGAGAATCATGCCACCTATTTTCCTTCTGCACTTTACCGGTGCCTTGGAGAGATTGGAATCGTGGGGATGTGATAAAATCGATACTTACCCTGTTGTTTCTGATAGCCATCATCTTTTATTATCTTAGTCTCTAGCAGCATCCGGTCCTGCTCCTCCTCCGATTTCACCTGTATATGAGGTTCGTCCTACAACAGCGCGCCACGACCATCAGCCACCTATAGCCTACAACATAACGACGACCAATCCATCCGGGCACGAAAAAGCCAACAATTGCAAGATGAAAAATTTCGAGCCATTGCCAACAGCTTCGGGATCGTCGTGGTCGCACTAACAAGATAGGCCCGGGGAAAAAAATCCTTACATTAACCAGCTGTCCTGTGCAGTATCCAGTTCCCCTATCGAACCAGTCATTGTTCCTCAACTCATATACCTTTACTCGTCGCGGCGTCGTCGGCGGATTTGGCACTGTTAAGGCCATCATAGTCGATCGGCGATGTTCCCAGCGGGGGTAAGACGGACGACGAGGGAAGCGCGGCGACTTATCGTAGCCTTCCTCCTCGTCGCCTAAGATAGACTAGATTTGCCCTGATTAGAAAGCCCCCAAACACGGGTGCAAACGCAGATATTTGGGAGGGATGTTGAATATAGCGGTAGTTGTAACGTTTTCGCTATTGACGAGGCTGTAGAGAGCTTTGGGCTGTGGACGTGATGTGTTGTGGTGTGGTCTCGGTTGGCGCGATGAGTGAGGCTCGACAGACCAGAAGTTGTTTTTAGCGGGCAGGGGCCTCTATTACTCGAGCACAGTTATGGTAGTGCCTGGGCGTCTAGGTTGTTGTTGATACTGCGAGCTGCCGACAACGCGCGTCTGGGGGGTGGAGGGTGGGGGGAGAGATTCGCGATGGGGCTGACTGACTCCTTACGAAGGAGGGGAGCGCCAGGCAGTAGATGAAGGTCGGGATGGGATGGGGAAGGAGTCGATGATGGAATATGTCGAAGATGACGATGTAATGTGAGGTGTGTGGTGGGTTAAGATTGATGAATATTTCCGAGAGATCTTTTGAGGAGTGAAATGTGGGTATGTATGGACGATATTGGTATGGATGGGGGGAGGGATGAAGTCTGAAGCAGGCAAATAGTGGCGACAACCCTTTTTCCGAGTGGTACACCTGTTACCAGTGAGAGAAGGAGAAGACTTGATTTCTCCCCTTCCTCGAGTGTTCCCTGGAATGATTATTACCGTATGAACCGGTATGGTATGTATGCCGTTGAATTCCTCTTCCCACCCTCTTTTTCTCTTTCCCTCTCTAGCTCTTGATAAGTCACTTAGACAAGTGACCACTTTTCGCTCGTTCGATACTCACTAGTACTAGCAAAATGCTTTTTCCTCAGTCTCTTTTCTTCTCTTTTTATTCCTTGCTCCTCTCCCTCTCTTGTCCGGTCAGTTGGATCTAAAAACAACGATCGATCGCCGGAAGATTGACTGAGTGATATGGCAAAGAAAGGGCACACGGCAATGTTCTCTATTCTTTCCGTCTCTCTATTTTTTTTTTCTTCTTCACTACCTTTCTTTTCCTCTATCCCACAAAAAGATCTTCCGTCTCCACTATCACACTCTCTCCCCACTCTTCGAAGAGCAAGCTGTTGCTGGCGTGTTAGGGATATATTCTCCGCCGCTTTGGTCAAAAACGAGGACGGGTATATAAGAAACAAGAGAGGGAGCACACGAGCAACACTAACCTATCTCCTGGTCGAAAAGCCAATGGGAATGGCGAGAGAAAAAGAAAGAAAAAAGGATGATAGGATAATATGCGAGTGAGACAACCGCCCAAACGAACGAACCCTCGCAGTAGCAGCAGCAGGCAGCTTTAGCTCAACAATTGCGGGACCGAGTTTGGGTTCCAAGGGAGTGGGAACGCGGAGGGGGGAAGGAGAGAAAGAGCGAAAAGAAAAAAAGGGAAGCGGAAACGGAAACGGAAGGGGGGGAGCTTGAGCCTTGAGGGAAAGAAAAAAAAAAGCTGGGGAAGCCAGCCAAATGGGGAGCGAGTGTTAAGGGCTGTGCCGGGCCCTGATTGCGCGAGAAATGGGAGTCGCGTAAGCTACTAAACTCTAGTGCAAGCGGTATGTATGTCACTCAGTGTCGACGGTGGTGACTCGAACTCCGTCAAGCTCTATCTCTCACTCCGTCTCTGCGGGGAGCTCGGACTCGAAATAGAGGAAAAATAAATAAATAAAAACAAGCTCAGCAGCATGAGCAGCAGCACCGTACCAGATAGAATGCCCCCCCCCCCAAAAAAAAAAAAAAAAAAAACCAACAAGGAAACCTGGGTGCAGTTGCTCTAGAAACAAGACCCACTACCAAGATGTTCCAGAAGAAAGCCACGGAAGAATACCTGCTTCGATTCGCGTAGTAGGGAACGTACCCCCGAAACAAAAACTGATGAACGACAATTCTGCCGACAAAAAGAGGCTCTTCTTCCGGGATCTTCGACAAGAATGTTTACGTAGTGGATCATGACAGTGTGGCAATATTCACCCCAAATATGGATCACTAGTGCCACTGGCGGTGGTGTCAATGTCAATCGGCAAGTACCAGCTTGTACCACATCCAACGTGTAACTACACTCCAAATGTCAATGTCGTTAAGAAAAAGAAGAGCTCCACAGCATCAAAACTTAAATTGGCTCTTCTTTTTTTTACTTTTCAATTTCATTTCTTCATTTCCTTTCTCCCCAGCCCAGCAGCTCGCCTCCACGAAACTCCTACATGATCTGTGTGAAGTTTGGCTTCCTCACCCCAAAAACCGCACCCAATCTTATCAAAAGTAGGCTGCGCGTCACGCTCTCTCCCCAGGGTCTCGCCCCTGCACGCTCGTCCCATTTGGGATGCAGCTTCCAGAAACAGGCCGCATCTTTCCAGCGCACTGACCCCAATCCGCGCCGAAAATAGAACACCTCTCTCTCTCGGAACCCCTAACCCCTAAAACCCCCTCCCCTCATAAACATTTCAATGTGATGTAGGTGCACCGGTATGTGAACAACCTCACATACATAAAAGCTGGCTGGCCACCGCGTTTATCGCTTAATCCTTACCGAGATCCGAAGGGAAGGGGGGTTAAGTAGATACCGCCATAACTCGAGTTTTGGCGGTATCTTAGTTTGATTCGAAATCGACCAAACGTGCCTGGCCTGTTTCTCTTGGTCTTTTTTTTTTTTTTTTTTGGTTACAGCTTAAGCTTTTAATTTCAGCCGCGATACGATACATGACGACACGCGACAACCACACTTCACGCGTGAGGTGACAGTTGATAGGGCTAAAAATATATGGAGCCCTGTGGTTGGGCTGAGCTAGGTGAGGTGACGTAGGTAGGGCACATTGCTTTGGTACCGCCGCCACCGCCGCTGCCAGTCATGGATATCACTCGGTCGTGGCGGGTGTGGTGCTTATTTAGACGTCGGTGAATTATGAGGGTTTGGCGTTTTATGGTACGGCTACTTCCTAGATGAGATGTTGTATATTTGAAACCCTCTACACCCCCCAAGGATGATCTTTCGACAGTTTGTACTAGGGCCCGAAGTCACGGTAAGGATCAAGTCTATTAAAACCTAATTCTTCGCCGACAAGCATGCGTTCCTTAGCAGTTAGTGAACGGCCACTAGGGGAGGCACGTAATTCCCCACATGTGCCATGAAACACCGGCGGTGTCGAATCTGAGCACCCTGTCTTGGAGTTCCTAGTTGTAGATCACCCTAACTGCGTGACAGAACCTCGGGATTGTCTAACTCCCAACCGTCTAGTATTTTATTTGTAGCAAACAACTGCCTCGTTCAAACCAAACAGGCCGTCATTTACTTTAAATAAAACAATCGGTTTTGAAGACGTGGCCAGATGTTCTCTAGGCTAGTTGACAAAAGTCAGTAGTAATGATCATGGCAGGTACATGTACGTACTTTGTCTTAGATTTGCCAGCAGACAACACAGAACTTCGGAATTGTCTAGCTCCCATCAATCTAGTCTTCAGAGCCCCCATTGTTTTAGTTGTAAAAGTGAACCACATGCCTCGAATCTTCGACGCAGAAGGGACCATTTACAAATAAAACAATCGGTCCCGAAGACCCGGTCAGACATTCTCCAAGCTACATGTAGTAAGAAGATTCCCCAGGAAACCACATAGAACCTCGAGATTGCATACATTCCTGGCAATCTAGTCTTCGAGGCCCCCGTTATGTCCCGAAGACCCGACCAGACGTTCCCCAAGTTAGTTGAACGCAAAAGTCAGTAGTAGCAGCAGCACTCGTCAAGAAACACCTTCAACTAATAGGGAGGGGACCAGGGAGGGGGGGGCACAAAGTCAACGAAGCCAATGCCAAAACCCCGCCGGAGAAATCGTAGGCATGAGTTGTAGACTAGACTTACCTTGCAAACATTTCCCATGCCAATTGACACGGCTCCGTCTAAATGACGAGCCTTCCAACATGCAACTATTGAACGTATGGGCAACTCCGGACTGAAGCCCATACATCCTAACGCCAGCCTAGGCTGTCATCATCATGACAGGAGGTTTGAAAATGGAAAAGGGGGGGGGGGCGGGTTGTATATCGTAGGGGCAGTCATCATAATCGTGAGATTTATGGGGGCACAATTGACGGAGGAGAGGATGATTACCCAGGAGAAAAACGAGGGGGGGAAGAGGTGGGGGGTGGGGTGTGGGGAGCGAGAGGAAACAAGTGAGAATGGAGCGGGCGACCTGCAGGTGAAGAACGAAGGGGGGTAGTAAAGTGACGGAAGTGAAAGAACGGCAGCAGGGGAAAGAAACCGCAACGACAGAGACGGGAAAGAAGAAAGACGTAGTGCTGACGGTTGCGGTAGAAAAGAGGAGGTGGCAGCGAGAAGGAACCTTAGAGCGTCGAGTAACAGTGGTGGTAGGAAAGAAAGAAAAGAAAGGAAGCAAAGGAGGAGGAGGAGGAGGAGGAGGAGGAGGAGGAGGAGCAACAAACGAAAGATGTAAAGAAAGGAAGACGCAGGGCAACAAACCCACGTACCACACCACACCAAATCACATGCTCAGGTACAGTACCCCGAGTACATACATGCACTTAACGTAGGGCTAACATCTCAGCGGCACTAGCTCCCGAAACCTTAATTCCCACGTCACGTCACCCACCCCACCCCCACCCCCACCCCCACCCCCACCCCCACGCCAGCGCCGAGGCCAGGATCGCGCAACGCCCTAACTGCCAATCTTTCTCGGCAATCTACGCCCAGATGGCCCAGAACGTCATGTGCACCGGCAGATATGGGCGAGTGATAATCTATGATTAAGTACCACCACCACCACCCACCTATCTGATCCAACCACGAACTTCCCCTGTCAGCTGTCAGGAAGAGTGTGCGCTATCCAATCTGTGGATAAGGTTTTATGCCGGGTTGAGATACATGATCTGCAAATATGTTCTATACGGTGATTGGTTTGCACGATATAGAGCGACCCTAGCTCCCCGCGGCCCGGCCCCGTATGTAGCTACATGCATGAGCTCTCCTCGAGAGGGAGGGGTATAAATACCTCGATGCCAAACTACGAGGACTACAAAGCCTCTCGCACGCTCTTACGCCCTTACTCCAGTCCAGCAATCAGTATGCTACAAGCTAGGGCTATAGCTATAGCGAACCTTCCACACGCCATATATACGGTATACAACCCCGGCCATCAACTGGGGTGCCCTGGTCCACAAACATCCGTGGATAGTGTTTCAATGGGGGTAGAGTTTCTTCTCCAAACTTACCACACCACCGGGAGGATGTACTCGGTGTTGATAACGCCTACCATAAGGACTACAGGATGTTTATCATGGGTACTTGACACCTGATATCCGGGTATTGTGGGTGGCTGATAACAGTATCCTAACTACCGTCATGACGGATATGTATAGCAGCCATTGCCTCTAAATAGCATCGTTCAATCTCAGCAGCCAATGCTACTATGCATTTTCTATATCACGAAGGCTCAATAAGAGCCAGTTTACTGTCTTAGACACCAAGAAAAACACAAGACCAGGAACCACGATAAAGAGGGTAAAGATTATATTCCTACAAAACCATGGGAACTACAGAAGCAGCCAGAACGCCAGCCAGAAGCAGAAACACCGACAAGAAAGCCCGCCACGGTAACAGCTACTTCCTCCTCTTCACCAGCACCCCATCCCTCACCATCCCAAAGCTCACCCCCCCCTCGCCCGTCATCCACCCCGGCATCTTCACACCATCAAACACCACTCCGGCCTCCACCAAGCTCCTCACCCCCGCAAACACATGCGCGCCCTCCAACTTGACACCCACACTCGGCCTCCACTCCTCCTCCTCCCCCTCCTCCCCATCCCCGGGAAACACATCCTCCACCACAAACTCCACGCTCTCCAACCCCCTCCCATCGCCCACCCTCGCCCCGCCACCAAACCTCCCCTCCGCAACCCTCCGCCTCTTCTCCTCCTCCCCCCCCTTCTCCCCCTGCACCACCTCCACCCCCCGCTTCGCCCCCAAAACATCCAACGGCCCCCCCTCCACCCCCTCCGCATACACACTCCACACCCCCACCATGCCCCCCTCCCCCCCTCCCCCGCCCCGGTAAAAACACAGCGCCTCAAGCGTCCTGGCACACATCGCGCTCGCCCGTAACTCAAACCGCCCATGCTCCCGCGACACCGCGGCCGCAACGCTCTCGCGCACGACGTCGCGCAGCCCGTCGCCGCCCCCCGCGGGGATGTTGTGGTACACGTAGCCCGGGGCCGCCGTCGGGAAGGCAAGCCAGAAGATGCGCTTCGGCGGCGGCAGCGCCAGCGGGGGCGTGGGCGGGTGCGGGTGCAGCTGCAGGCGCAGGAGGTGCAGCGGGAGCGTGGGGTGGCGGGTCAGGAAGGTGTGGGTGCTGACGAGGGGGCGGAGGGTGGCGGCGAGGGCGGAGGTGAAGGTGGGGGCGTGGAAGCGGGGGGTTGGGGGGGGCGTGTGGGGGGTGGGGCGGTTGAGTGGGTGCAGGGTCGAGGCGGTCCATTTGTGGGTTGCGGGGTGGGAGAGCAGGTCTATGCTTGTTAGTGATGGAGGAAGAAGGGGAGGAGGTGGGGGGGAGGTACAGGAGTAGTCCAGCTCCGCGATCTGTAGTAGGTTCAGCCCGTCCCGCCATTCGCGCTCTACCACGCGCTCGACAACCTCTTTGCCCTTCACGGCGCGGCGCTTCATGGCCTCATACGCCTCTCTGGCCTTCTCGATGCCTCGCCCCCCCTCTTCGTCGTCGTCCTCGTCGTCGTCGTCGTCTTCGTCCTCGACGGGCGCGAAGTTCGGCTGGTAGGTCTCGGTCTTTGCCGGGTCCAGCCACGAGGACAGCACCAGCTCTAAAAGCAGGTCTTTTGTGAGCCGCGACAGCAGGCGGCGCGTCGACGGCGTGTGCGGTATTAGTGCGGTGTTGGGCAGCGGGGCGCCGGGTTTGGGCGGCATTGTTGTGGTTGTGGTTGTGGTTGTGGTTGTGGTTGTGTGGTGGTGGTGGGTGTGGTGAGGTTCTGAGGTGTGACGCGCACGGGTTTGTATCAGTGTCAGTGGGTGCCGGGGTAGGGGTGGGGGTGGGGGTGGGGGCAATGATCGCTGGGGCAGGTTAACTGACACAGCTGTACAGTGAGACTTGGGAATTAGAGGTACATGTATGTTTAGTTTAGCCCAGCTATCCTCGAGTGATCTATTGTAGCGATGCAATTGAGCACGTAAGGTAAGGGGCGAAAACACCATCCACGAGCCATTGACACAAAAAACGCAGAACGCGTCCAAACAAGCACCCCCAAAACCCAATCACATGCTTCCAAAAACCCCAATTCTCTGAATAAATAAAAAAGCCGAATAAACAGTCGTTGGTACCTACTAATTACTAGACTCCGCCTTGCCTATTCCGTCTTTCTTCTACTACCGCTGTTACTACTAACTGTTGCTGCTACATGTATTAAATACTAACCGCAGCCCCCCCCCCCCGTGCCACCCCAAAAGCCACTACATGCAATTATTAGTATCCGCAATTATTACAATTAACCCCCTACTACATGTACTACTAGTTTATTATTTGCAAAACCGCACTCAGAACTTTTGTATATATTCATGCACTCACGACCAAACAAAAACCGAACCAGACAAAAAACAAAAACAAAACCCAAAAGCCCGTAAAGCCCGTAGAGCAAAACACAATGTATGCAAACAATCCCCAAACAAAATCCCCAAACAACTATCAAAAAAAAAGCAGAGTAAATAAAATAAAAACCCTTAAAAAACCAAAAACTCCAACCACCAAGCCCCCGCTATCTAACCCCCGTCCCATGCTCCCTACAATAATCCTTCAACATCTCACACCCCCGACACCCAGGCACGGCCACAAAATACTTCTTCGGGCCATGATCCGGACACCTATCCCCCCACTTCTGGCACGTCGGGCAGTCCGGCTGCAGCTGGTAGTCTCTGAACGGCTGCCGCTGCCCCTGGTACCCTCCTCCTGCGCCTCCGTACTGCTGTTGCGGTGGCTGCTGCCCGTATTGCTGCTGGGGCGGCGGTGGCTGGCCGTAGGGGCCGGGGGAGCCATAGGGCGGTTGTGGTGGTTGGCCATATTGCCCGGGACCGGGGGAGCCGTACGGTGGCTGCTGCTGGTTGTATTGGTTGTAGGGGGGTTGTTGGCCGTAGGGGCTTTGTGGGTTGGGGGGCTGGCCATAGGGGGGTTGCTGGTACGGTGATGGTTGCTGACCATACTGTCCCGGTGGTGGCTGTTGCCCGTACTGTCCCGGCGGTGGTTGCTGTCCGTACTGCCCCGGCGGTGGTTGCTGTCCATACTGCCCCGGTGACTGCTGCCCATACGGCGGTTGTGGTGGCTGCCCATACTGCCCCTGCCCCTGTCCAGGCGCTCCCCATTGCTGCTGTTGATGCGGCGACTGCCCATACTGTCCCTGCTGCGGCGCCCCATACCCCTGCTGCGAGAACGACCCATTCGGAGCCCCATACGCACCCTGCTGCTGCTGCTGCGGCGGCGGCGGCCCACCACCCTGCGCGCCATACCCCGCCGGCGACGGCGGATACCCCCCCTGCGCCGAAAAGCTCCCCGGATGCTGCCCATACCCGCCCTGCTGTCCCGCGGGGCCCGAGAAGCTCCCCGGATTGCTAGAGAAGCTCCCGTAACCCCCCTGCTGCCCCGCGGGGCCCGAGAAGCTCCCCGGATTGCTAGAGAAGCTCCCGTAACCCCCCTGCTGCCCCGCGGGGCCAGAGAAGCTTCCACTCGGCGGCATTGGCGTTGTGGACTGCCCATACGGCCTCGGCGGCACGGGCGGCGGCGCCCCCGGCGGCGTGTGGATGTTCTGGCCGGGGCCGTACGGGCCGTATGGCGACGGCTGCTGGGGGTACGACCCGTGGCGGCCTTGGTCTTGGTATCCGCCCCCTCCCCCTCCCCCCCCGCTAGAGACGGCGGGCGGGCGCGACGGGTCCGTAAATGGGTGCCCTGGCTTTGTGCCTGTGCCGAGGGGGTCCAGGTAGCTCATTGATGCGACGGTGCCTGACGATGAGGCAAGCGCTGCGGGGGTGAATTCCTCGCTGGTTGTTTTGGGGCTGATGCCGCTTGCCGCGGAAGGGGCGGGGGAGGGGGTGGGGCGTGGGCGGGCGGGGGTGGGCGTGGAGGAGGGGGGTGGGGAGGGGCGGGTGGCCTTTTGCGGTTGGTAGGGGATGTAGCTGTTTTTTTTGCCGGAGGTGGAGGTGGTGTATCTGGAGGTGGACATTGTTGGTGGTGGTGGTGGTGGTGGTGGTGGTGAGGGGGATGGAGAGAGGAGGAGGAGGAGGAGGAGGAGGAGGAGGAGGAGGAGGAGGAGGAGGAGGAGGAGGAGGGGAGAGGAGGAAGGGAGAGGAGGAAGGGAGAGGAGGAGAGGGCGGGGTGGAAGGAGGAGGAGGGATTGAGGCTACACAGGTGCAGAGGAGGGGGGGTCACGAATGTTGTCCTTCTTTCAGGCGCCTCTCTCTTCTCTCTTCCTCCCACGTCGCACACAGCACAAGGCTCCGTTACCAACAGCCCTGCATTGGCCCGTGCCTGCCAGCTGGGCAGTCCGATGCGGTCTGGTGCATGCCGAGTACACGCGTAACCAAGCCCGAGCCAAGAGCCATGACACTCGGCAATTACATGCTGCACCGATCATTACCACAGAACAGTTAGGATAGGGGCTGTTTATGATGTAATTGGGGTCTTTATTAGCCTGATGTTGGCTGTCGAGTGATGGCATGTGTTCTGGACCCCTGTCGTAGGAATAGGTACATGTATGCAATGTGTAGGTGGTCTGTATCATTGACTGTGTGGGGAGAGGAACTTTATTTGGTCTTGCTTGGAATAGAGTACTCTACATACTTGTAGATAGGAGGTACTCGGAAATCCGATGTTTCCAATTGTTTGTAGGTCAAACACCGTGTCTTCTCTGATATCTTCTCTGAGTTACGTTCCAATTCATCGCAAAGCCCTCGACACCCGTAGAGTGAGCCAGATGCGTTTAATTACGAGATACGTATATATGAAAGTGCAACGTGCCCATCAAACAAATGCCAGTGCTGCGAAACACACAAAACAAAACCATCCTACAGCTCTATCTAAACTTCTCCAGGCAAACACCACCATCTCTCACCAACGTACTACTCGATCGTAATCTAAACCCAATACCAAACCATATCCACAGTAGCTACCTGTACGTACTCTACAATATACAAAATCTACCTACCTCAGCCCCAACTGCCCTCGAAACACGCCCCCCAGCCCAAAAATTCAAGTGCAACTTCACTCCCTCCCTCCCTCCCGGACCCATGCCATGCCACCCCCATATCATATATGCGCCAAGCTAGCACATACAGCCGGGGAAGATTTCGAGATGTGAGATGAACCTGTCCTGTCGATCTCTGTTTATGCAGTTTATCCTTTTTCGCGTGTATGGATGGTGCTCTATGTTTCTCTCCTACTCCCCTTCCCTGTCTCTAAAGTAAGGTTAAATTTCCATGGGCGCACAAGCCAGCTGAACCCGCCACTCAGGATAGCTACATGTACCTACATGTCCCTAGTAGCTTTTCTCCATGGACCAAGCTTTGCGGGTTGACTCACGGTGTCTTGGCGCCGCCCACAACACCCATGCCCGTCCAATCCAATCCAAGCCAGTCAAACTAGGTCTAGTCCAGGCATCCAAAAGAAAGTGAAATCTCTCAACGCGCTCACCATCCATCCTTCCATCCATCCATCCATCCATCCATCCACCGTCGCGTCTATCATCACCCACCTTACCTACGTGACACCCACACACGCATCCATCCAACCCCACATCAAAACACAATCTCACATCACCCACACACACCCCTACCTACCTACCCCGGGAAGGTCAGATCTAAAACACCTCTTCCCCCCCCCGCAACCCCCACACCCACACACATCACACACAACCAGCAAAAATGGCCCGCGCAGTCCGCATCCAGGAAGACCCCTCTTCCAGCGACGAGGACGACTCACGCGTTGCTGGTGCTAACGCCTCGTCGTCGTCGTCGGCCCTGACGTCGCCGTCGTCGGATAAAGAGAATGCACGCAGCAGCACCGCGAAGAAGGCGAAAGGTGTCGGTAGCACCGCATCGAATACAGACAGGGACGCAACGGGGAAGGGAACGGCGAAAGGGAAGGGGAAGGGGAAAGAGGTGGCCCGTAGACGCGGTGGGGGGCTGGCGGAGATTGGGGAGCAGAATGAGATATTAGAGGAGGAGGAAGAGGAGGAAGAAGAGGAGGAGGGAGAGGAGGAAGAGGAAGAGGGGGGAGAAGAGGAGGAAGACGGCGAGGAGGATGGAGAAGAGCAGGATGGTGAAGGGGGAGAGGAGGAGGAGGTAGAGCAGGAGGATACGGATATGTACGACCCTGACCAGGACCCGGAGGAGCGCAGGCAGATGCGGATGCAGTACCGGGAGCTGTGGAGGAAACTTAACGGTAATTACCACATCTCCTTATCATTCCCCACCAGATTGTTCCCCCTTCCCCTTCCACCTCCCATAATTGGCAGACAAGGCTGACCCTTGACCCCCCACCGGTACCCCCACAGACAACAAAAACGAATACCTCCAACCGCACTCAGACGGCATCCGCCGCACCTTCGAACAAGCCGAGCAGCTCTTCAAAAAAGTAAAACAAACCTCCGACGCCACCATCGACTCCCGCCTCCTCGTGCAAGCCACCGACCTCGCCCTCAAGAAGGCCACAAACCTCACCTACGGCAACTCGGGCGCCACCATCGACGCCGACGAGTTCGTCGGCCAATGCATCGCCTTCATGCGCAGCAGCACCCGCCCCGCCCGCCCCAACGCAGACCAGGACGACAACGACGACGCCGCAGCGGCAGACGACGCGATGGACTGGGCGTACCTCGGCCGCATGGCGGCGTTCAAGGGCAACAAGCGCCCGGCCACGACGGACTTCCTCCTGGGCCCGCTGTCGGTCACGAAGAAGATCCGCATCATGAAGGCGCGGCGGCAAGGGCTAAGGCGCGACAACGCGAACCTGGTGAGGCCCGTCGAGGTGACGCAGGAGCCGGGGGAGAAGGCGGAGTCGGGCAGCAGCGCGATGAGTGCGCTTGTGCAGAAGATATATTTGGACCTGAAGGCGTGGTTCCGCCGCAATCCGAGGCAGGCGGAGAAGGGGCTGAATCTGTTCCGGTTTGTGGTCAATCCGGGGTCGTTTGGGCAGACGGTGGAGAATATGTTTTATTTGTCGTTCTTGGTGAAGGACGGGTTTATTGCGATTGCGCATGATGAGGAGAATGGGTTGCCGGTGATCCGTATGTTCTTCTTGCCTTCTTCCCCCCTAACCGCTGACTCGGCACTTGGAGACTGATGTGTGAATGTGTGAGGATAGATTGTACGGACCCCGCCTCCCAGGACGACCACAAGGAGTTCGACATCATGAGGAACCAGGTCATCTTCTCAATAACGATGTGGGAGTGGCAGGAGATGAAACGCATCTTTGACATCACGGAGAGCATGATACCCACGCGCGTGCAGGAGCAGGCGCTGACGAGTACTACGGGGTGGTATTCGTAGACGGTGGAGGAGGAGGGAAGGAGGTAGCTCTTATGTTATCGTTGGTGTCGTTGCGGGGTCATAGAGATATAGTAAGCGTGCCTGCCTGTTCTGTTCTTCTCTGCTCGGGTCTGTTTTGTCTGGTCTGGTCTGGTCTGGCTGTGATGTGGTGTGGTGTGATGTGTGATGTGTGATGTGTGATGTGGTAATCATGTATTTCTTTCTTTCCTTCCTTCTCCTTTACGTATCTCATTTCTCTGTCTCTCTGTCTCTCTGTCTCTGTCTGTCTGTCTGTCTGTCTGGGTGCATTCATTTCATGGCCATGGTTTAACTATTACGTTGGGAGGCTATCTGTTCTTTCTGTTTCTTGTGTATTTTCTTATCATCATGAATGGGGCTTTCATATGTTTTATCTAGTTATCTTTTTGACAATGGCGTTTCTCCGTTTTTTTTTTTTTTTTTTTTTTGCTTGCTTGCTTGTGTACTTGGACTTGGAACTTAAAAGAGACGTGTGTTACGGTAGGAAGAGACGTATGGTAATGTTGGTGAGTAGACAGAAACACCAATATCTTGAGTGTGCGTTTTGTGTACTGGGTTGTAAATAGATGGTATGAGTTTGTAACGTCGTTATGTTTTGTTTTGTTTTGTGTTTTTTGCTTCTTATGTTTCTTGTCTAATGGGTGTGTTTTTCCACTTTTCTTTCTTGGTCGGTTGGATTATTGGCATGACTGGCGGCGATAGGTGGTTGTGGGTGGTCGTTATGGTACCGCAAGATTTGGAGCGTAAAGCCCGGGTGTTAGAAAGATCCTGGTATATAAATGGTACCAATTTTTGCTCGAACTGTGGCGAATCCTTCAGTTTTTGGTGAGAGAAACTTACCAGGATCTTATTTAACACCCGGGTGCAACACTCCAACTTTTGCGGTAGGCGGTAGCGGGTTATGAGCAAGCAACTTTACGATATACATGCTTCATATAGACTACTATCATAGCATTGAATCTCCAAACTCCACTCCAAAAATTAAAAAATGCTGCCAGTTACAACCTGCACTACCACTACATCTTATGCGTCACTAGGAACCTTCCCTTCACTTAATTGCGCTGGTTAGAGCTGGTAGTTTTTGGTAGTTGGGGTGGTAAGGCAGGATGAGAAAAAGAGAACCTCCCTTCGACCAGAGTCGAACTGGTGACCAACCGGTAAGCAAGCAATTACAGCCGGGTGTGATACCAACTACACCACAAAGGGATTTAATAATAGGTCCAGTAAGCTTTATATAATTGAATTTTGATAGGGCGGAGAAAGTACAAGGGGTTAGCCACTTTGGGTTTGGGGGGGGGTTACTCATTCGATTTGGAGGGGGCATGGGGGTGGGCGTAGGGTAGTTAAGTGGAATTGGGACTTAAATTCGGGTGGTAATGGTAGGAGGTGTATCGGTATTAGATATTTGGATGTTTGTATCACTTTCGCAAACTAGAAATGGTTTCCTCGGACTGCTACTGGTCTATTAGGCCAGATGTTGGGATGAGGTATATATGTAGACTCGTACTTACAGCCTGAGCCTGGCTCGATTACTGTAGAGTAGGTACTATTTAATTGAATTAACCTCGGTGATTATCTGCACGGATACATGTTTGATCCTCGAGTGCAGAGTAGGTGACATAAATGAGATCATATGCGTGATGCCATTGTGATATTCCTCGTGCAGATCATTGACACACACCTGTTTAAGCGCGCGCGGCTCCGCTCAGCTGCAACACGGCTTAGTCACAACCTTTCCTTCATCAAATTGCTTGTCTGTCTCTCTCTCTCGCTCCCTTCGAATCTGTCTTCTAAAGTCAGCCCGCGTGAAGTCAACTCTCTCCCAACCTCTCACCACGACATCGAGTTTCCTGAACAGACACAGCACCACTTACAGACCTCCAGCAGACATCTCCCCCCTCTCAAACTTCACAATGCCGCCCCCAGACCGCGCTCCCACTGGCAAGATCGTCTTCGTGGGCAACATCCCCTACGGTAACCCCCCCCCCCCCCTCTTCTTTCTAACCTCACTACCCCCCTACCCACAGCACTGACACCCTTCAGGCCTCACCGAAGAGCAAATCACCGAGATCTTCTCCTCCGCCGGCCGCGTCCTCTCCTTCCGCCTCGTCTACGACCGCGAAACCGGCCGCCCCAAAGGGTTCGGCTTCGCCGAATACAGCGACCAAGAGACCGCCGCCAGCGCCGTCCGCAACCTCGACAACCACGAGATCATGGGCCGCAAGCTGCGCGTCGACTTCTCCCACGAGGGCAACGCCCCCGACGACATGGACACAATGTCCATGTCCATGTCGGGCGGGCCCACGCCGCTGCCCCCGCTCCCCCCCGGCGTCGAGATGCCCGCGGGCCTCAGCGCCCCCGACGCCATCAGCCGCACCCTCAGCGCCCTCAGCCCCCCGCAGCTCCTCGAGATCCTCGGCCAGATGAAGTCGCTCATTGCCTCGGAGCCCCAGAAGGCAATGGAGCTGCTGCGACAGGCACCCCAGCTCAGCTACGCTATCTTCCAGGCACTGCTGCTCATGAACCTTGTTGACACGAGCGTGTTGACGCAGGTGATTGAGAATTCGGCTCCTACGGCGGCGGTCGTGCCCCCGCCGCCTCCGCCGGTGGTGGCTGCGAGCGCGACGCCTGTTCAGGTGCCGGTGGTGCCGGTGGTGCCCCCCGCGCAGGCGTATGGTGGGTATCATGCGCCGACGCCGCCCCAGGGGTATGTTCCGCCGCCACCACCGCCGCCGCAGCAGCAGGCGCAGGATCCGGCGAAGGCCGCGTTGATACAGCAGGTGTTGAGCTTGACACCGGAGCAGATTGGCGCGTTGCCGGCGGACCAGCAGAGTCAGATTATGATGTTGAAGCATCAGATCCTGGCTGGCGGTGGGTTTTAGATGCAGGTTTTATCTTCCTTTTCTTTTTTTCTTCTCTTTTTTTTTTTTTTTTTTTTTTTTTTTGGTTATGATGGTGACGCAGAGAAAGGAAATGGCGGGGTGGGGGGTAATATTTGTGCTCGTGGCTTTAAATGGCGCTCAGCTGGAATAGTGGGTGGATTGGATTGAAAAGGGACCTTTTTTTGTTTGCATTATTTTCTTTACCCTCGTGTCGGTGGGGGTCTTTATCCTTTTTTTTTATTGTTGTTTTAACATTAGGCATGATCCTAGCTAGCTAGCCAGTGGCTACCTAGCTTCGGACCTTTATGGACTTTATGGTTTTGTTTCAATTAGTTTGTTCTGTTTCTATTTTTCCTTTTTATCGACTCAAAATTGGAACAGAGAGAGTGTTAGCAGAGAAGAGAAGGAGTATAAGAGAGAATGAATCCCCGGGCTGGGGGATGGGCCTTGTAATTCTAGAAAAAAGAGTACATCACAGAAAGCAAGTTGCGCCAATTCCAAAAGCAGCAATTAACCCCAATGAATAAACAAAAACCCGTATCTAATCCTCTCTCTCCGACCTCTTCCATTGTAAACTCAGTAAGTACTAAGCTAATCAAGCCTTCATCAATCCACTGGGCCATTGAGCCTGCATGTGATGATTTCAAGTTAGCCCAGCATAGACAAACGGGCATATTATCGTAAGAAACACTTACCCTAGGGTTCCTCCAGCTTGTGAGCCACTCCTCCACGGGAGGCTCACTCTCCGGGTTCCCAGTGGGCTAATACCAGAAAAGTCAGCATAAATATCATTGAACCCAACTGGCGGGTCTTGGCATGCTTACGGGCCCAATCAACTTATGTCTCAAGGCTGCCAGGAAGCCTACTGTGTTTACTTTTGCATCCCCATTTGTTTCGTCCGTAGGATCAGGAAGCTCCTCGGTTGTTTCGTACTCCGCTGTTCTAGAGCCCACAGCTGTAGAGTAGATGGTTACAGAGTCTACAGTTACAGTGTCGACCGTCGCAGACTCTACATGAGCCCCGCAAGAGGACATTACGGCCCCACGAGAGGACTCTCCAACACTAGATGCCTCAACGTTCCTTACTTTCGACACCAAATTTCTGAAAAGCAGGTCTGCGCTCGCCCTCAGCCGGACAAGTGTCTCCTCCGCCTCTTCAAGCGTTCTTGGAGGGCCCGGCAATCTCGGAGGGGCAGAAGCCGGTGTTCTGGTCCTTCTTCGCCGTGAAGTGCTTTCCATGCATCCATCCACGACACCGGCACACGCTTCAGCCAGTGACCCCCCAGCTTCCAGTACACTCTCCGCGCCATCTATCTGCTGCAGGATGAGACTGTCGGTAAGATTCTCAGAATCCAGCTCTCTGTCAACGGGATACCATCCCTCTTTTTTCCCATACCTGCCAAAGTACCGGTCAAAGGTTCGTCCGGCAGGTGCGCTCACTTCAGGGAAGATTTCGTCCCGGCACTCGTACACGTTCATGATCCGCTTCAGCACCGCCCATTGGTGTCGCCGTTTGTGGGACTCAATGGCGGGGCTCCAGTTCAGAGTCTTCATGCTGTACTCTTGAACAAGCCTTGTGGGCCGGCGGTTCTGTTTGTTGATTAACTTCTGCACCCACTGGCGTAGCTTACTGGAAGCTTCGAAGAAGTTCCAGTGCCTCTCACTCCATTCCCACATCTGCTGGAACTCTAACCCAATCTTTGCCGACTCCCTCGCCGTCTCTTGCCTTCTATAGAAGTCCTGCACCGCCCACGCTACACTCGGTCCCGGATACCCACCAAAGAACGTCCTAATACTAGGGAACTCCGTATCCAGCCCCTGCTTCTTAAAGTCCATAATGATCGTATGAAACTCCTCGTTCTGTAGGGCCTGTGGCCCTTCCGCCACCTCATCCTCCCTCTGCTGCCCGTACTCATTATCCAGAAACTCCGCCGGCCTCAGCAGCAACGGACTACTCTCCTGCCCCCACTGCAGCTTCTCCATGAACTCTGCGTGGAACCGCGCCGTCTCCTTCCGCTCAAACATGGCCCTTAGAGACGGCTGCAGCTTCGTCTCAATGTCATGGCGTCTCTTAAGATCTTGCAGGTCACTCTCCAGAGCTGACTTGAGGATCTTGTACCAGTACTTGTGCTCCCGGCCCAGGAACTCGCCCTGCTCTTCGAACTTGGCAAACTCGGAGAGGCTGGTGGGAGAGCGGAAGATCCGCAGTGGTATGCCGTTCCAGTTGAAAGGGGGGCTGGAGAAGGCGGTACGGATGGTGTTGGGGGTGGGCGGCTGGCGGAAGAGGGGGGGTGGGAATTCGGGGGCACAGACGGGGGCGGGGAATGGGCCGAGGAAGCTGTTTGGGCTGTCTACGTGAGACATTGCAGCCGGTGAGAATTGGAGGCTGGTGGTAGAGTCTCTTGATAATTGAAGTGGCAGTGAGGTATAAGGATAGGTGATTGGACAAAAGCGATGATACAAGTGAAAAGCGGGTATTTGAAGGGAATGGTGCAGTATTGATCTGCGATAGTATCAAGATGAGAAGTGAAGCTCTCTGGCAAGACTTGTAGTAATAGCTAGCATTGAGGTCAAGTTAAGGACACATAACACACAGAGCATTGGTGGTTTAAATTCTAGCAATGGGTTGTTCATCGAGGAACGTACGCTTAAATGTGCAGATATCCGATATTCTCCAGAGATATCCATGATTCAGAACTCAATAATTTACCCTTTCTCCCTTCCCATTTCATTCTAATTCCAAGTACGATACACATGTTTTCTAGCTAGCCGCACAAAGATTTTTGGGAAGATTGGCGAGGTGTCCTAAAGTTTCCAAGAAGGGTACAATCTTCCTAGCAAATCATACATGTATTTTTACTTCATGATTATACTCGTGTCACTTAAGTACATTACTCAAAATAGAGAGAGGGAGAGAGATCAACAGCCACAGTAGTTTCTTCATGAGCTATCACTCGCTCACTATATTGGTCATACTACATGTAAATTTAGTTAATTGATAGTAATCATTAGGTTAGTTTATTACTTATCTCATTAACTTCATGCAAAGTTGTTCTCTAATAGGAGCAAGAACGGAGCCGATAACAGCTTCACGTATCCAAATAGACCCCAACCCCATCACTATCCGTCAAATCTCCCTGGCATCAAGTCTGTTCAGCTCATCGAGGCGGCCTCAAACAATGGCGAGCCCTCAACGACTGAACAGAAAAGATCTACGGAGATTGATGATGAGAATGAGGTGTTGATGGTTGGTGGAAGATAGGAAGGAGGGGAGGTGGTTGGGGGTTATTTAAGATTTTCGAGAACTACTAGTGCTAGGGCTATGGCTATGGCTATGGGGAGGTTATTAGATCTCGGCTGGGGTGGCCTTGGCTAGGGGGGTTTCCTAGGTCCCCGTGTGGCTGTCTGCTCTCTGCTCCTACGTGCATCTCTTGGTCTCCATCAGGCGAGATCAAGGGGTATTTAGATCACGTTAGGCCTTCGTCCCGCCCTCCCCTGCTCGTCTCTGCTTTTTCTCCCTCCTCATGGAGGAGGCGTCCTCTCATTGGTCCCTGGGCTTAGTCCGAGGGGCCGAGAAGAATTTATTAGATCTCCCCTCTCCACACGTTCTCTTTATACCCGCTCCCGCTCCCGCCCCGCCTCCGCTCCCGCCCCGCCTCCGCTCTCCTACCAGCTTTGTTGGAGGGTCCTAGTGCCCTCTGACTTTAATTTCTGCGCACTCCGCGAGAGATGCCACAACTCCTCTAGTTCCTACAGCTCTTGTTTTCTCCTACAAACTTTAGTTGTCTGATACATACGTGTTCTAATGTCTTTGTTAACTATAAAACAAGCTTGTTCCTCCTACACTTATAATAACAACCATACAATACAATTCTTTTCTATCTCTCATAAACCACACTCTGAACAACGGCTTTCACCCGGATCTTCTTGCCCCTCTAAGAAAGTGCAGGCCCCTGTAGGTCCTTTGGGTTTGTCTCATGCTCAGGGATCTGGAGGGGTCTAACTATCCTGTATCCTTCCCTACCCGCCGCTGTTGAAACCTCAGCTATGAAGCGTTATCAAGTAACTACCGAGCGTCCCCAGCCATGAGAGACAGTGAATGTGGATATGTAGCTCGGGAATTCACGCTGATAGAGGCTAAAATATACGCATCATATATAATCACTCGTACGGGAAGTCCCGTGCAATAGCTAGCAACGAACCATTAGTGCCGTCTCCTCTACACTCTACACAGTAAGATATTATTTCAACCCATATTCCATTTCTGAGATAAAGTTAGACTTACATGATGTTAATCTACGATCATCGCGTGGGGGGCTACATTCAAGCGGCCGGGCCCAGCGGAAGCTCAAGAGATTGGAACTCAAGCTTGTGGCATTATGGTTCACGAACCACCTGATCACGCCGTGAAGACGGTCAGTTATATAGGTTCTCCAATTGCAATAAGTATACTACCGCCAGTTCCTAGGCCCATACTACATAAACTTATCCGGTACCCTATATAATAAAACCAGCTCATTGCATCTCCCGATGGGGCAAATGAGCTGAGTGCTCCTGAATTAACATATACCACGATCGAGGGGACGCCCTCATTGCCGGCGGCCACCACACTAGGCCTAAAAACACGTGTTATCTAAGTATCCTGGGATTGAGGCGTCCCAGGTATGTACTCTACAGAGGGGTGGGGGTTCAGCCATTAGGAACTGTTCTTGGCAGCTATATTACCTACTAATAGGGGAGAGAGTCCTTGCGTAAACAGAACCAACTCTATTTTCCGGTAACCTGATCGGCGCAAACCATCCATCAGCCAATCGGACAACTGGGGAAAAGGTTCTAATATCAGCTGAGAGGATAAGGGGCTTTCAGTAGTACATGTAGTTGATCACGTTTCAGGTTCGTTTCTATAGATAGGGCGTTCGGTCTTGAGCGGAGAACAAATTATTGATCATTGACATTTGAGGTAGTATAAAGTCACGATCAGACGTATTGCCTTAAATTTTTCTTTCTGTGCCACTACTTGGATCCTGACTCTACCATACTCAGTACAAAATATATTGCATACAGAAACTGCTCTCCCTTCACCTGTTTCTTTACAGAGACTCGCACACCATCTACTCATACAATCAACATTTTTATGCCTCATCGATACTAGACACCCACCAGCAACAAATATTCTTTCAACATCTCCATACCCCATCGATACTAGATATCTATTAGCAACAAATATTCTTTCATCGGCATTCTCACAACCAACCCAATCTACAATAATGCCTCACAACCTTAAAGTAAACTGCGGCGGAGCCAGAATCTCCGTGAACTCGACCTGTGATCAGGTCGATTTGCGAGTACAAGCCTCCACGGCAGACCATCAAGGACGACGAATGGAAGATTTTAGTCTAGAAATAGGCAGTCCTAGGCCCAACGAGCCAGCGCGTGTTTCCGGGTCGAGGTACCTTCAGCCTGGCGAATATTTACCCATGGCCAGCGAAGACGGGTACAAGAGAGAGACCAGAGGTGGTCGCATGCGAGGGATACAACAACAGCCACCGCCGTTTGATGGGTATGGAGTTGATCGGCATGAGGCTGCAGACCGTGGGTCTTATGATCGGTCTCGTCAATCGCCTCCCGAGACGACGAGGGCGGCGGCTTCTGCGCGTGCTACGTCCAGCTCTCATCGGTCGGAGGCTTCTGATGATTCTTATTATCGGCCTGAGAGAGTATCTACTAGCAGATCTGGCACTGGCGCTGGATATGAATATGTAATTCCTGCGCATGAACCTACCCATGATATGGGGGGTGAGTGGGTGCAGTATGGCCCCGGATATAACAGCACTCGTGATTTCGGATCCGGCCGCATAGAGAGGCCTGGAGCCTCAGAATATTTCCGCGGCCACCCGGTTTCTCAGCCTTCCCGTCACTCTCCGCCCATCTCGACCACATCTTCAACCTCCCGTCACGAAGTATCTCGCAACTCTTACCATTTATCCGATTCGAGTTCATACTCGGTCTCGAGCTCAGATTCCGAGGAAACTGTGGTAGCACCGGTCCTTTCTTCTTCTTCGTCGGTAGGCCATCGCGGAAGAGAAATGATCCTTTACGGGACTGGCCATCCTGGCCCACCGAGTTCTTATTCTGAACAGTGCTCCCACCAGTCGGCGGATGTTTGTGAAAACTACCAGGGATCTCTGGGATGCTCGGAGAGCACGCGCGAGAACTATTATGATGATGATGATGATGGAGGAGGAGTGTATCTGGAGCACGATGGAAGGGCGTGGCCCGAGGCGTCCTACACGTATTCGGGTTCTGGGGACGACAATGAGTGGTCGAATGGTAGGGGTTCGAGAATTGATTCGAGGGGTAGGCTCTATCGTCGATAAGAGACCACAGCATGCATTGTGTTGACTTTCATGTATGTACCGTGATCAGAATCTGATAAGTGAAGTGAATATTGCGGTGAATACGTGTATTTGTCTTATCTGATTCTGATCACTTTTCGCTACACCCCTAGTACGTAAGCTTTGTAGAATGGCTGGTGTGCATGGAAGCTTTTTTGGTTTTCTTTTTTTCTTTTTTTCTTTTCTTTGGGCGATGCATAAAATTGGATCATACGGTATCACTCGGTAGCCATGCGGGCTTGGCCGACTTGGGGTTTTTTGTTCTGTATTAACTGTTGTATTCTTTGAAGTAAAACGACTAGTTGGTTCATGCCTGGTTCTTTCGGCGTGCACATGAAAAACATAACAGAAACCTTTCGCAGCGGTAGAGAGATCTAGCCCAACTAGATCTAGATGTAAATGTGTAATTGCTGAACGTATCACCCAGGGACTGGTCCAATTAACGGGGACCCCGCTCAGCGTTCGAGCGAGACTGGGCGGGGGACAGGCTGCGGGCTACATATACAGAATAGCCACCGTTCGGTCCCGTTGGTCATGACTAGCACCCTCGTCTTTTCTCATCTTGATATTACCCCCCCCCCCCCCCCCCCCCCCCAAACCGCACTCATTCTAAACCACCACCACCACCACCACCACCACCCCCGTACTCGTATTCGTGCTCCATTCACTATCAATAGATAATACCCGCCCGATCCGTATACGTAGACCTCCATTACACACAGACAGTGCCCGCCACACACACACAGACTACTACATGTACTACACACGCTCCCCCCCACCCCCCCCCCCAAACACACCACACACCATCGTCTACAAGATCTCTGCAACAAAAAAAAAAAAAAACCAAGGAAAGGGGGGGGCCCAGAATGTAAAACCAGACAGACTGCCCAAGAAGGAGAAGGAAGGGGGAAAGAACGCCTACATAGCAAAAAACCCACGCAGATGGAAAGAGGGAGGGAAAAAAAGATGGAGGAGGAGGAGGAGGAGGAGGAGGAGGAGGAGGAGGAGGAGGCTAAAGTACAGATGTATATATATGATGCAAGATATCACATGTAGTAGTAGTAGTAGTAGTAGTAGTAGTAGTAGTAGTAGTAGTAGGAGGAGGAGGAGGAGGAGGAGGAGGAGGAGGAGGGTTTAGGGTATGGAGTGGTAGATGGGTGGTGGTGGTGGGTGGTAGGTGTAGGTAGGTGTAGGTAGGTGGTAGGTGTCGACCGCAAAGAAAAGAAAAGCAAAAAAAGTAGAAAAGTAGAAAATAAAAAGTAAAAAACGGGGGTATATAAGTCCAAAGTCCAAGTCCAAAGTTCCAAAAAAAAAAATCCAGCAACAAAAAAGGGAAAAAAAAGGAAAAAAAAAAAAAAAAAAAAAAGGTATCCTTGTATATCTGAAGATTGCAAAAAAGAGGCCCTCATCCCCGAAACACCTTGATCCGATCCAGCACCTCCGTCCTGCACACGGGGCACTGCACCATCCTCGGCGAGAATTCCGTCCCCTTACTCACGCCCATCTGGTTCGCGCACCACTATCCCCCGCACACCCCCACCATCAGCAAAAATTCAACCCAAACCACACCGCACCACCACCACCACACGAAAGGAAAGAAGGGACAAAAAAAGCACATACCCCACAAAGCACCAAATGACTACACGGCAACAACAACGTATCCGCCACCTGCCCAAAGCAAATCTTACACTCGCAATCCAGCCTCAACGCCGCCTCCTCCACCGGCGGCGGCCTCGTCTCATCATCATCCAGCCCCTTCGGCGGCTCCCAATGCGCCCTCATCCCCCCGCCCCTCGAGACTCTCGGCCGCCTCCCCACCGCCCGCAGCCCCTCCCGCCGCCGCATCTCGCCGCGCAGCTGCACGAGCACCTCCACCGCCCGGTCAACAGGCCCCGCCTGGTCGCCGCCCAGGCTCTCGCGGAAGTTGCGCAGCAGCGCCACAACCTCATTCACGGACGCCGCGAGCGGGTCGAGCGACGCCGACACGCCGCCGCTGCCGTCGTGGGCAGCGGGTGCGGGGTCGAACCAGGCCGACACGGGGTCGTGGCGCCGCCCTTCTTGTTCTAGCTGTTGGCGGCGGGTGTATGCTTCCCAAGATCTTTGGAACCTTGCGTGCGCTGTTAGTCATCCACCGCTTTTTTTACGTTTGGGGTTGAGGGGATCCGGGGATTCGGGGATTGCTTACAGCGCAGACACGGGCGAGACGTAGTCGTCGTCGTCGACATTGCCCCACACGCGGCGGATCTGCTCCTGCGGGTCACCGAGCTCGCGGCGCTCGCGCAGCTCCCGCAGGCGCCGGAGGCCCTCGTTGGCGCGGCCGAGGATGTCGGGGTCGCGGTTGCCGACGTCGGCCGCGTACTGCCGCGTCTGGTGCTCGAGCTGCTGCGACAGCGACGCGAGCTCGGCGGAGCGCCGTGCGGTGCCCTCGGAGAGGTGGGCGAGCTCCGTCTCGATGTCTTGCACGCTGTTGGCGAGGGACCAGAGCGGCTGGTTTGTCGGCGAGCTTGTTGTGGTGCTGGCTTCGCTCTGCGGGGCCTCGCTGGGTGCGGCCTCGCTCGGGGAGACTTCGCTCTGCGAGGAGTATTCGGTGACGGCGCGGGAGGGGACTAGGTCTGGTGTGCGCGAGATGTGGACTTCGAGGGAGTTGTCGGTGGTGGCGGATGTCACGGATGCGACGGAGGACCAGGTGCGGTCTGCTTCGTCGAGTGCGGAGAAGGTCTCGCGGCGGCTGGGCCGGTGCGGGACGGCCTGGTGCTGCAGCCGGGTGTATGACCGGGGCGTGGCCTGGCGGACTCCGCTGGCGCGGTAGTCGCGCGGCATGTCGCGGTTCCTGGTCCCCATCATCATGCGCGCGTGTAGCCTGTCCAGCTGGTTCTCGATATCGGTGATCTGTGCGCGGGATTCAACGAACGAGAGCAGCCCCCTTGAGTGAGGCGGGATCTCAATATCGTCAGCTACGGTGCCGCTCGTGGTACTTGCCTGGGCGTCCATGGATCCCATACTCGACGTATCGCTGTAAGTACGCGGTATAGGCGGAGCAACATGCCGCAGCGCATCCAGTCGCTGCTGCTGCCGTCTCATGATGTCATTATGGCCAAGGTGATTCAACGACGGGGGCGGCTCCTCAGGGCTCACCGGCGACGGCGGCGTCTCCACTCCCCCGACTCGGCTTATCAGTATGCTCTGTGGGCGCTGTATGACCCGCGAAGCCCGTGCTTCTGGGTCCGGGGATGTAGGTACGCTCCTGACCCTGCTGTGGTGGTGGTGGTGGCGGTGGTGGTGGTTGTCCCGCTGCAATCGCGGCGGCGGGCCCTCAACGCTCTGTAAGGGCTCCTCTCGCCGCATGTTGCCGGGCCTGATGTAGGCTGCGGGCCGCGCGGGCCCGCTCGAGGTGTAGTGCTCCATCTGCGAGAAGGCGCTCGCAAACGTCCGGCGTGGGGAGCGGGGCCCGTCGAAGGCGCTGGAGCGCGGGAAGTCGGGTATGCGGGACAGGGAGGCGGATATGCCGGCGCGCCGGATTTGGCACTCCCAATAAGCTGTGTGTGGATAGTTTTAATTATCAAGCGCGACTGTGTGCGAGAGAATGGTTTTAGGCGACAGCCATCATGAGGGGGTGAGAGGGAAGCAACAAAGTGGGGAGGAGGATATTTATAGGGAAATGATCTTTTTTGTGTTTCTCTTTCCTTAGCCGTGATGTGCGACAGCTTTGTTTATATAAGGTGCATATATGGATGGGATGGGAGGCGTAGTGTGGGCAGGAGGGAGGGAGGCAAAAAGGGTGAGAAAGGAGAAAGAATGAGGTAGAGAAAGGGAGATATGTACCTTTACAATGATCGCAATACGAGCTGTAAACAAACCGAAACCAAATCAGCTCACTTGCCAAGGGGGGTATTGGGTATTTGGGGTATGTAGAGTAAAGTAGAGTAGTAGTTGAAAGGGGGGGGGGGGGGGGGGGTAAAGCAGAGTAAGCAGGTGGAGAGATAGATGTCAGTCGGTCAGGCACTCACTTCCATCTGGTTCCCTGCGGCACGCTTCCAATACCGTCGACATAGACAAAGTAACTCGGCGTATGCGGCCTCAAGTCTGAACACGCACAGCACCCAGGCAGCGTGAGAACACACCTCGCCGTGTTCTTGTGCGTGCACACCAACGTCCCCGGCCTCGGGCTGGGCGTCGAGGAGAAGGACATTTCTGTGTGGATGTAGTAGCTAGCTGTAGGTTAGCTGACTGTAGGTGGGTGCGGTGCGTAAGATGAAGCGAACGGGACGGTCCGTCTGTTTTTTTTTTTGTCTGGGGGGGATGGTGGAAGGTGAGAGCGATGTTTATCGGGAGCAGTCAGTGGTGGTTGGTTTGGTTGGCTGGGTTGGGTTCCGCTGGCTGGTGGAGGTTTCGTTCGTTTCTTCGGTAAGCAGGCAGGAAGAGCTCTCGTGGATGTCGTGCAGTTATGCATGCATTGCAGGAGCTACATACAGTTGCAGGGGGGAGGGCCTTATCGATAGGTCTGGGAGGGACTAGCTGGGGTTGATGATCGTGATGGTCGCATGCACTCGAATATTCTCTGCCACCACCGTAAACATCACCGCACAGCTGTGGCGAGGGGGATGGGAGAGAGGGTTGGCTTGCTTGGTTTCGTTTAATTGCAGGGAACAGAGGTGGAGCGGGAATCCCCTTCTGGGTGAGCAGCGCGGTGACCGTGATTATCGTGATGGGCGGGCTATCATTCACATTCAGTGCTGACTGGGATGGGGGGATGTGTCAGGTTTTTCCTTTCTCCTCTTCTCTTCCCTTCTTTCCCGCTCGCGTGAGAGAGGGCAGACAAGTCTACAGGGTTTGTTTGTAATCGCGAATCGGGATGGAAGCGATTTCTCTTCACTTCTACATACTCTACTATCTACCGGTACGCTGCATGATGTTGTTTGGGGGGGGGGGGGGGGGGGGGCTCTGCTCTGAATCTGAATCTGAACCGTATGGGCGAGTGACGGTCTCCCTAAAGTTACTGCCCAAGTCTCCAGATTTAGAACCGGTATCTAACTGCTCGATCTCAGATGAGGATTGAATGTGCATGTCTCACTCACACTCTTCCCTTCCCTTCCCTTCCCTTCCCCCCTTCCTATCCTATCCTTTCCGCGCCGACACAAAGTTTCACCGCAGACGAGTGACGGCCAATGAATCAATCTGAAGCTCCGAAACAGGGTTTCTGTCGTCCTGGCTATTTCCCGGCCGGGATATATGTCGTGCCTCTCCTGCTCTCTCCTGCTCTCTCCTGAGGGTTAGGGTTGGTTGGTCTTTCCTACTTGAGCAAACAGCCAGACGGGTCAACCCCGAGAGAGAGACGTCGGTGTGTCAACAGAGACCCGGCATCACGTAATGATGCAAGGGGCGGGGCGGGAGGAAGGAAAGGAATCTCGATTAATCAAGGGGGTGTTGCACTCCGGCCCTCACTGGTACAGGCACGGTATATACCATCACCATCACCATCATCACCATCGGCCATCACTCGCCTTGCAAGAGAAGGGAAACAGCTGCCCAGCCCACCAGATGCTGTCCGAATACACCGAACGCACTATAGAAACACTCCCAGCGAAAACGAAAGAATGCCTGTGTAGACTCCCCTTCCTTCCCCTTCCCCCCCTCGAGTGACGGATCATGAAACCCCCCACCCACATGCGGACTAGCGCGTAACCCGTACCGCGTAAAATGGATTCCCGACGCGTCCTCCCCTTCCACCTTCCACCGCGTCAACCCAACCCAACGGCAAGAATTCACAAATCCTCAACAACCAGACATGGCTTCATCATCAGGTGCGTCCAAGGGCGCAATTGACGCTCTGATGCGTGCTCCCGAGTATGTGCACCCTGTTCTATCTATCTACTGCTCTACTGCTCTACTGCTCTACTGCTCTACTGCTCTACTGCTCTACTGCTCTACTGCTCTACTGCTCTACTGCTCTACTGCTCTACTGCTCTACTGCTCTACTGCTCTACTGCTCTACTGCTCTACTGCTCTACTGCTCTACTGCTCTACTGCTCTACTGCTCTACTGCTCTACTGCTCTACTGCTCTACTGCTCTACTGCTCTACTGCTCTATTGCTCTATTGCTCTACTGCTCTATTGCTGCCAGACAGCCAGCTAACGTAGACCCCCCCCCCCCCCACAGCTCCTCGCGGAAATATGCCTCCCTCCAGCGCCTCCAAAGCGACCACATCCCCAACCCCCGCTTCCTCATCGAGACACGCACCTACCAGCAGCAGTTCTCCACCATGTACTTTCTGCGCCTCGCCGCGCTCAAACCCTCCGTCGACGCCGCCGCGCTGTCCGCCTGGGACGACACCTCGATCGCCGGCGAAGCCGTGCACCACTGCGACCGCGTGCTCGACGTGCGCCAGGGCGAGCTCTGCTGGATCTCCGGCACGGTCTACATGGACATGGCGCTGAAGCCCAACATCCTCGACGACATCACCAAGGACCACTGGCTCGCGGCGCCGCCGCCGCGCGCAAAGTACACGGACCCGGGGCGCGACCGCGTGCTGCTCGAGGACGAGAGCGGGCGGCTGCGCCTCGTCGGCGGCATGCTGGGCACGCAGAATCTCGTCACGGGGTGTGTGGTTGCTGTGATGGGCAGCGAGACGAAGGACGGTGACTTTGAGGTGCTGGATGTCATCATCCCGGACCTGCCGCCGCAGACGCAGACGGAGCAGTCGGGGCGGAAGGGGAAGGGGAAGGGGAAGGTTGTGCTCTGCAGCGGCCTTTCGTTCCGCGGCGGGCTCAAGGAGAGTTTCGCCACGGACCTCCTCGCCGAGTGGCTCCTCGGCGAGCTGGGCGACCAGGCCGAGCAGGACACAGCGTCCACCGTTGTGCGGCTCGTGCTCGCGGGCAACTCGCTCGGCGCGCCGCTCAGCGTGCCTGTCCCCGCGGGCGAGGAGAAGGCCAAGAAGTACGGGTACGATGCGTCGGCGTACAACGCCTCGCCGGCCCTCGCGCTCGACAACTTCCTCTCGCAGCTGCTGCCGTCGCTGCACGTCACCGTCATGCCCGGCGAGACGGACCCGGCGAACGTGTCGATGCCGCAGCAGCCGCTGCACCCCGCCATCTTTAGCTCCGCGAAGGGCTATGGCGGGAGCACGTTTGATCGCGCGACGAACCCGTGGGCGGCGGAGATTGGCGGTGTGGGCTTTTTGGGCACGAGCGGGCAGACGCTGGATGATGTGTACAAGTATGTGGAGGGGGATGATCGGCTGGCGATGGCGGAGCGCCTGCTGAGGTGGAGGGTGGTGGCGCCGACGGCGCCGGATACGTTGTGTGAGTTTGCTTCTACTTCTACTAGTGTGTGACTAGGGTGGTGAGGAGTGCTAATGTTGAGGTGTAGGGTCGTATCCGTTTAATGACCAAGACCAGTTCGTGATTGAGGAGTGTCCGCAGGTGTTCTTCATCGGGAACCAGGACAGGTACGAAACCAGTCTTGTCGAGGGCGCGGAGGGCCAGAGGTGCAGAGTCGTCTTGGTGCCGAAGTTTGCGGAGACGGGGGAGGTCGTGGTGGTGGATCTGGAGACGCTGGATGTTGAGGTGGTCAAGTTCCAGCTTAGGGAGTAGCTAGATACATAGTTAGTATTAGTAGACTAATGCCGCGGTGGAGGGGAACATAAAAATGGCTAATTTGGAGTTATGGCTGGGTTTAGAGGAGATTGTGTCTTTTTTCTTTCTTTCTCGTCGGGCTGTTGTTTCAAAGATTCATGAAAAGTAGCAATTAGATAATTTGGCTGTAGGTGCATGTAGCTGGCCATGGGCCGGTGTATACATGTATGTAGTAAATACATGCACATGTCCTGAGATCCTGTGTTTACTACCGCCCTATTTGGGATGTGCAGACGAAGCTTCTTTTTTCTTTCTAGATAAAGTGGCTATTGCCTTATCGTCCTAGTTTGCCATGGGCCAGGAAGGTAGAATTTTAAATTACCACAATACCATCCTTAGTTTGTGTCTCTTTATCACAACCTCTAACATTGGCGGCACATATCCTCACCTAACCCTGCTATAAGGTGCTCTCAGTAACGGTGCCCACAGTCTAGCCCCACTAAATGTCACCTTTACATGTATAAGTAGATCGATAGGCTTTCATCCTCCTTCGTAATCATAATAGAACCATCCATCCTATCGCCTATTGAGTCTTCCTACACCTGATCACTTTTCCAACACTACGTATAGTACAATACGGTCCAAAAAGCCGCGCGAGAGGGGAACAGAGGACGCTATATAGGCCAACTTGGCTGAAAGGAAAGCCCCAAAGCTACTCGTGGTCCCGTGGTCCCGTGGACTCTCTGAACCCCGCGTTTGTTTCCTTGACTTCTGCAGCTGCAGCTGCAGCACGACGGCCCTGCGCTTTGCAGGTGCGTCCAGGATGGATTATGTCGCGAAAATGCTGACCCACCCCCACCCCCCCCCCAAAAAAAAGCCGAATTTGGTGTGGCTTTACTAACAGATCTCACTATCTCTCTTATCAAATAATAGATCTCTCATACAAAATCTAATTCCTCTGTTATAGGGGGGGGCGGGTCAGCATCGACAGCTTAAGGGATACCACCACACCACTATTCGCCGTGGCGTGGGGTTGGTAGGTAAGTACATGTAGGTAGGCTGGGTATCTGGCGGAGATATCGTTCATTTATGGCTAAGCATACCGGTCACATACATCATGTGTCGTGGTGCACATATCAAACTCTCGCTGGGTTCTGTCCTCGCCCCGTTCATACCTTCCACCCCATCGATAATAGTGTTTGGCAGGATAACAACACTCTACTACCTAGTATTAATTCATGTGGTAGGACTAAGAGACGTTCTGTTTTTTTTTGCTCAGGAAATTGTTCTCAAGAGCAAAACCCCACCCTCGCCTTAATTTGAACGAGTGATAGTTCATGACGCCTGTTTATCTCGGTCAACTACCCCCCCAAAATAGCACTATTCCGTATTTACGCTAGCCCACTGGATCTAACTGGGATCTCTACAAATTGGCCTCGTATCATTGGGGTTTGTCGATCAGGTAGGGAGGGATTTGTCAATATCTCCTAGTGGGTACATACAGCAAAGGGCACTTGATCATCTTCGGCAACTGAAATCTCCGATGCGGTTTCTAGATGCTTTTGAGGGAATTTCCAGATCGCAATCCCCCGATGGAAATGGGCATTCTAGGCCTCGGCTGGCTGCCCTTTTGAAGCGATTGATTGCTCATGATCTGTTAGTAATACAATGCATGCGCGCAACCGATCGCCACCGTCAACCACTTCTGGCCACGATCGATAAGATAACGGCCAGGCCCGCGGTGCAAGGTAACTTCAACACCACACACCTTTAGATACATTTACATCACCACCTGAGACAATCCATCACCACCTCAATTGCATCAAAAAAATGGCCTCCCGAATACCCCTTAAGCAGCTTGCCAGAACCAGCACCTTCCCAAGCGCCTTCTTCTCGCCGCGCATCGCCGTCCCCGCAGCCCGCAGCCTAGCCACCGCAACCACCACCCAATCACCAGCACACAAGCCCAATGACGGCACCGCAATAGTCCTCCTAAACATGGGCGGCCCCAGCACCGTCCCCGAAGTCCACGACTTCCTCTCCCGCCTCTTCGTACGTCCCCAATCCCCCCCCCACACACACACCGCTAACACCCCACTAGGCCGACGCCGACCTCATCCCCCTCGGCCCCCTACAGAAGTACCTCGGCCCCCTCATCGCGCGCCGCCGCACCCCCAAGATCGAAGCCCAATACTCCGTCATCGGCGGCGGCTCCCCCATCCGCCGCTGGTCCGAGCTGCAAGCCACCGAGGCCTGCAAGCTCCTCGACAAGCTGCACCCCACCACCGCACCACACAAGCCGTACGTGGCCTTCCGGTACGCCGCGCCCCTCACCGAAGACACATTCCTGCAGATGCAGGCCGACGGCATCCGGCGCGCAGTAGCATTCACGCAGTACCCCCAATACTCGTGCTCGACGACGGGGAGCTCCCTCAACGAGCTGTGGCGGCTGGCGAAGAAGTACGACCCCGCGGGGCAGATCGAGTGGAGCGTCATCGACCGGTGGCCGACGCACAAGGGGCTGGTCGACACGGTGGCCAAGCACATTGAGGCGTCGCTGGCGACGTACCCCGAGGGACAGCGGGGGGGCGTGGTGCTGCTGTTCTCGGCGCACAGCCTGCCGATGTCGGTCGTGAACCGCGGGGACCCGTATCCGGCCGAGGTCGCGGCGACGGTGTATGCGGTGATGCAGCGCCTGGGCTTCAAGAACCCGTACCGGCTGGTGTGGCAGTCGCAGGTGGGGCCGAGGCCGTGGCTGGGCGCGCAGACGAGTAATACCGTCGAGGAGTATGTCAAGAAGGGGCAGACCAACCTACTGCTCATCCCTATCGCTTTCACTTGTAAAGCCCCCCCCCCCCCCCCCAAATCTAGCTCCAGTACTAACCTAACACCCACATAGCCGACCACATCGAAACCCTCCACGAGCTCGACCTCGAGATCATCGCAGAGTCCAAGCAGCCCGGCATCAAGCGCGCAGAGTCGCTCAACGGCGACCCCATGTTCATCAAGGCGCTGGCCGACATTGCGCACGAGCACCTCAGCGGCGGCGCCAGGACCAGCACGCAGCTGGGGCTGCGGTGCCCAATGTGTGTCAGCGAGAAGTGCAGGGAGCAGAAGAAGTTCTTCGCGGGGAGGAAGGAGGTGGAATAGATGTAGTGGGTGGGTGGGACATGGCGTGTCACTCGGTGGTGGTGGGGTGGGGTATGTAGATAAAAGTTTTTTAATGAGAAATGGGCTGGATACTGGGAAGAGCTTTGGATTTGTTCAGTGGGTAATTAAAGGGGCGGAACGGTTGGGCTGCCGGCCTGAATAGTAGTCTGCCTGAATAGTAGTTTTTGCAGGTTGCGGGAAGCCGCATTTCACTTTTTTCTAGTTGGCTATATTCACATACCGAGGCCCCAGAGTACTGCGTATATAAAACCATCGGTCAGGTAGACCAGACCAGCTCTTCTGTACAGACCATCCCGTACCATCGTCCGGTGGTCGATGGACCTACAATCCCCCCCCCCCCCCCGGATAGCGGTGCCGAGTGACACATCATGACGCTACGCCTGCGGTCCCACTACACCTGGGCGTGCTGGGCTTCTATATCTACCCATCAAACGTACCCTCTCTACCATATCTCTCCTCCGGTTATTGTCACTGCCATGAATAACACTAACACGACCACCACAACCATCATTGATACATTGAAGGTATGATAATGCTCTCCATAGGGCTACTTAGCTACGGAGTATCTCTAACGACTACTCACTACGAGCCCCCACAAGCACCCACAAACCTCCGCAAACAAGCACAATAAAGAAAGAAAGAAGATCATCGTCCGTCAACCCCCCCTTTCCTCCCCTCCTCAACAAACAGCACAAAACAGAACAGCCAACTCAAATCATCATCATAGCCCCTTCAGCCTTCATTAAATTACAATTACATCTTCATCCCCCAATTAAAAAAAAAAAAAAACGCAACTCGCTTTACCAACAACAGCAAAAAATGATAAAGTCAAAAGGTCAAAAAGAAAAGAAAAAAGTCTATAATACAAGAAGTCCCCCCCATCCCCCTCCCCATCCCCTCCACGAGCCCGCCCACTAAGCTCTAATCTCGGAAAAGATATACGGCATCAGTACCACACAGGCCTTATACAGCACGCCAAAGCTCTTGACAAACGCCAGGGGCCAGTTGGCCACCGCGCTGTTCGCGAACATGAGCCACATGCTATAGAAGGCGACTGCGAAAAAGTGGTAGAACAGGACCATCGGCTGCCTGATGATTCCGGCAAGGAGCCCGACGGGCCCGTCGATGCATTGGCCGCCGACGCGGAAGTATTCGAAGCATCCTCTTTGGAGCGTTCTAAGGCGGTCGTCTGTGTTTCTGTTTGTTAGTAGGGTTTATATGTGAGGGAGGAAGGGGGGAGACGAACCGTTCGCAGCAAACAGCGAGTAGAGTGCCTGCGCAAGGATATTGATCACACTCGTCAACGACTTCCGCTGCCAATGGAACGTCGACATCTGCCTCAGCACCAACCCCGTATCCTCCAGATCCGGCACCGTCATCGGGCTCAACAACTCCGTGACCAACACCACATCATTAAACGCCACCGTCATGCCACCGCCCGTCAGCGGATGCCTCATATTCATCGCATCGCCCAGCAGCACCATCCCCGGCGTCGTATTCGTCGTTGCCGGCAAGAAAGAGTTCGGCATGCTCGGGAACCTATCTGCCTCGAGCGCGGCCTTAAATGACGGCCTGATGCACTCTGGCAGGTCCGGCAGCACCACGTTCTTGAGGTGCGCCTTCACGCCGCCGTCCTTCGCGCTCGGCATCTTCGGCATGTCGATGAGCATGCGGGTCTCGTGCGTGCCAATCTGGTACACCAGCACCGGCGGGTTGTTGCCCATTATCACATGGCCGTGATTCGGCGACGGGAGAACGGCGTCCTTGAGCTCCAGCGCGACAAAGTTGGACCGCACCTGCGGCTTCTTGTTGATGCACTTCTTTCTGAAGTTCGACGCATAGCCGTCTGCGGAGACGGTGAGCGCGCCAAAGTAGTGCTCCTCGAGGGCGTCGGCGCCCTTGCGCTTGCAGATGACGCCGAGGACCTGGTCCGTGGCGTTGTTCTTGATGACGTCGCGGACGGTGGTTTCGATGATTGTGACGCTGTTGCACAATTCACCCGCCGGTTAGCACACATGCATATACACCCCGCACACCCCCGCCCGCACACCCGCAGACTTACTTCGGAGTTCTCCTCGCCGCCTCGCGCAGCTTCATGATGAACCTTCCGTGATGGAACGTCCTCCCCTCCGGCGCCTTTCCGTCGGGGCCCTTCGGATACGGGATCGTGACCCTCTCGCCGTGGTAGATGCACTCATAGCCATACGTCGGGATCGCATCAATGCCCTCCAAGCAATCTACCATCACCCGCACGCATCATCAGCATCAATTCCCACCAATTCCCTCATGAATCCCCCCATCCATCATCAATCCAATCCAATCCATCCAGCCAACCAAAACAAAATGAATATAAAAACTCACCCTTCATCCCCAACTTCACCAACGCCTCCACACCCCCCGGCTGCAGCAGCTCGCCCACAATCCTATCAGGCTCCGAGAGATCACGCTCCAGGAGCAGGACCTGGCGGCCCTGCTTCCCGAACGCAGCGGCGAGCGCGCAGCCGATGACGCCGGCGCCGACGATGACGACCTCGTATGAGTTTTCGCGCCTCTTTGGTTTCGTTTGGGTTGCCATTGGGTGTTGTATTAAGCTTTACGGGTAGGTCGGTATAGGTAGATAGATAGATACGTAGGTAGTGGGCAAGGCAAGGCAAGTAACGCAAGAGTGCAGCACCGGTGAGATGCAAAAGGGTTGAAAAAGAAAAGAAGAGAAACAGTCGGGGGGGGCAGCAACGGAAGTCTTTATGTGGATGTGGCTGGCTGGGGAGCTTCTCTTCTCTTTCAACACTCGTTGTGGTGCATGAATCGGAGGAAGAAAGGAAGGTTGGGACCAACTCCAATTCAAGGGGTAAAAATACGTTGCAATGGTCTGACACGTGAAAAAAGAAAACCTAGCAACAAAAAACAGACCATAATTCGAACCATTCCACGCCCAACCTCGAACCATTCACTAACTGGATAGAGCACATCTACATGGAAGTAGATACATTCACACATTCACATGTCGGGGAATGGCCCCCTTTTTCGTCAGTCAACTCAATCGACTCAACTCACATGTACGTCGGTATCACCAATTCTCACTCCTCACCCTACGTAACGCACAGGGTATCACTCACTCCATTGCACGTGAAGAAAGAACTACTATTTGGAATTACCGCAACGTGACGATGGGAACCACATCTACCAGGGAGGGCCAAAAGTTTTAGCCTCGTCAGGGTCTGTGTCCGGAATTGTGCTTAGAGCTTAAGCTTACTATTGGGTTGATGTCCCGATGCTTGCAAAATTGGGGAAATCTCAAGGTTGATGACAAGCAAAAAATGAGCCAATGGAATTATCGTCTAGATATTAAGTACAAGTAGATAAATACTATTCAAGACGCCGGCCGGCCAGCCTCAGCTTGCACAGTAAGCTGGGACGAAAACAAAACGAGAAAGAACAAATGCAATGGCACCGGCCGCACCCGCACCCGCACCCGCACCCGCGCCTGCGGCCACCCGCCTGCCTGCCTAGCTAGTAGGCAGGTTAGGGGGGTTCGAGAATAAATAGATAGGGCACCGGCCACAACGTTAACCACAATTGCACGACAATTGCATGAATATACCAACTACTTATGACATAACAACTCGAGGGGGTATGTATATAGCAAAGTATATATACCTATATCTTGAACATCTCCCTAGTACAGTACAGCTATCTCACAAAATCACAATCCCCACCTCCCTGTATTACTTTTACCCCCCTCCCTCCCCTAGTCTCTAGCTCTCCTCTCCACCCCTCTCAACTTCCCCCTCTACACAAGCTAAAACATCTCCATTTTACATAAAAAATCGCAAAACGCAAGCCCGCTGGTAAAAAAGAAAAAGATAAAAGATCCGAACCTGGAATATTCCAATTCCAAAAAAAAAAAACATTAAGAATATAACGGAAAAGGCGCTACCATCATACACGCAATTGGGAACATGATGAGTGAGCTAGGCCTGTACATTGATTGTATAATAGTAGTTGAAATATCCAAACAGTAACAAAAAGAAAGACAGAAAATAAGGGTCATATAAAACATCGCGATCGATCGGTCGGGGAGTGAGTGTAAGTGAGCGAGAAAGAGAGAAGGTGATGATGATGGTGATGATGATGCATATGTGTTGACAAGTTACAGCATTATATTAAGAATATGTATGCACGAACATGGACACAGTTAGGGGGGGCATGTTGTTGTTGTTGAGTTTGGGGGCCGTTTTAAATCTCTCGGTTCTTTTTGTTGGTGTCGTCCATCGGGTGAAAAAAAGGGTACTTTCAATAATCAATTATTTTTTTGTTCGTAAAAGTAATGCCGCTTTCGGGCGAATATTATTAAGGTCGAAGCTGGCCTCAAGCAGTACTGGAACCCGAGTCCCGGTTTTTCCCATCATAATACGAGTCATAGACGTCCGATAGAGACCCCGACGAAACCCGGTTGTTGTAGTCCCCATTATCCACACCCAGCATCACCATCCCACCGCCATTTCCCTCTCGATCTCCCGCACCGACACCCGCACCACCACCCGCACCACCCGCACCACCACCACTGCTACTACCCGCTCCTACTCCAGCGCCCGCACCCCTCATCGTCGCGACGGAAACCTCTCGTTCTGGTTCTGCTCATCACCTATAATAAGCGCCCGTAAGTCACACAGGACGCACTCCGACAACCAACAGGCTTAGAACCTACCATCATCTACAGGTCCATCAATCTTAATCTGCGGCCTAGGTGGCGACGGTGGAGGGGGGCGACTAAAATTTGTTCCCGCAGGGGAGCTAGGCGGAGAGTCTTCATCGACCACAGAGCCCGCGTCAGAAAAAATGGTCATGCCTCTCGTTGGCTCTTTCACTTTATGGATCGGGGTCATATTACTCTGTATTTTTGGCCCTCCATTGGAGGACGAGTAGTTATTTAGGCCGAGCCCACTACTAGGGATATCCGACTCGAGCTGTGGTGAGCTTCCTCTCGACAACGGGCTGGGCGATCTCGGGAACTTTGGGGACTCGGGAGAGCGCGGGTGCTTGGGGGAGTCGGGGACGTTGAGCTGCATATCGACTGCCACCTTCGAGGGCGGGAGTTGTGCGGGGCCCTTGGGGTTTCCGACGTCAATGGTGATGACGCTGCTGGTGGCGCTGCCCTGGCCGAAGGGGATGTTTCCGGATTGTACGAGAGTGCTGGCGGACATGCTGGCGGGTGTGGGCGTCGTAGGGCGGGACTGCGCGACACCGCCGTAGAAACCCCGTTCGAGGGCGCGGATACCGAAAAGATCGCCTTCGCCTTCTTCACGCTGGTTGAGCGCAATTTGTTCTACTTTCCCTTCTTCGTTGGCGGCTTTGGCTTTGGCTTCCTGTGGAGTTCGTTAGTTTTTCATGGGTCTATTAACGATTTTTTTCTAGGTTGAGTAATTATATACCGCCATGAGCTTTCTGGTCCTGTGCCACGGAGGTGAATGTTAGTAGCCGTCCGCAACCGGTAAATCATTATTACGGGTACCTACTTCTGCCTGACATAGAACAATTTCATAAACCCAGCAATAAATACCAGGAAGATCAATGACCCAAGAACAATGCTGTAAATACCCTCTCCGTTAGATATATATATTTCAAATAATAGATGTAATGTAAAAAAAAAAAAAAAACAGCACAGTAGAAGGACAAAAACTTACGCATATTTCAGCCCAAGATTGAGATCTCCAAACCAATTACCCATTGTAGTAGTAGTAGTAGATTTTAGTAAACGGACTAGTTAACGAACGAAGCTTTTTTGGAAATAAAAAAACGAGTGATATATCCGCAATGGTATATAATAATAAGGCCGGATTTTATAACTTGAACAACGGTCCCAAAGAATGACAGAAAAGTAATAGACTTTTCAGAATGACCGAATAAAGAAGAAAGAAAGAAAAGAAAGAAAAAAATAGTAGTAGGCCGTAGTAGGAGTCAAGCCCTAGCAACTGTAAAGTAGAGATAAAAAGTGGGAACTGAAGAAAGTAAATATGGGAAAGGGGGAGTATGGGTGCCTTTTAGATTTAGATTTTGTTGGAAGACAGGATAGGCTGGTAGGAAAAAAATCCTGGAGGGTTAACACTGGCCCTGCAGATGCTACAACCCGGTTTTTATTGGAGGTGATCCTAAATGGCAAAAATCCAAATAAGGGAAAGGTTTAGTATTTCAAGATAAGCGAGAGTAGGCAGCTATCCCAGTGCAGCGAATAAAAGAGTGAAAAGAGAGACAGAAAATAAACAAGGACTGGTTGTCCAGTGTCCACTTTGATACTATCGTCGTGGGCGGTAAGGTAAAGAGTGTGCGTTGGAACAAGAATAAAGAGAGAGTGGATGAGCAGCGGAGACAACTAGGTAGGTAAAGGCTGTGAGTACCTACACGGAGAAGGAAAAAAAAATAGTGTGAATTAAGTGTCGAACCAGCGGAAAGTAGAAATTGTGTACCTAAAGATAGAGATTTTATTTTTTGTTTATACGCTTGATAGAGAAGAGGAAAGACGCCCGTGACGACGAAACACGCGAATGGAAAGGGGGGCAGGGCCTAGGAATCGTACCTCTACCCTACCACTACCCCTACCAGCTGCTTGACTGAGACACCATATATGAACCTCACCAGCCAGCCGGTTCACATAGTGGTGGCGAGGAGAGCGGCAACCTAGCCGTTCCTAAACTCCAATAGGCGGCGAGCCAAATAATAGGGAAAGCTCAAAATCTCATCATCGAATCAATTGCTCGATCCTCACATTGAATATCAGAAACCTACCTGCGCGTATGTACTCTAGGTAATCAAACGGCAAGAGTCAAAGACACATCTAACCTCGCGCTGAGAGAAAAACACTTGAAGCATTAGTAGGTACAACGTAGGTACAGTCCAAATAGAATGTATAACCGCAAGCCAAGAGATCTATACTTACCCACAACCCCACTGTGCCTGCTGTACCTACATAACGCAGTTTTTGCAGACGCCCTATGTATGTTCCTGAAGTCATGAGTTTCAGTTTCGGTCAGTCCTTTTCCGTTTGGTTCGGTTTCTCTTCTTTTCTCTTTGTGTAAGGGCGGTTTCTTCCTCGTTGGGTGGGTACTCTACTCTAGAGAAGAAGTGCTTTCTGCGTGCGCCAGGCAGGCGCGCGACGCACCGTTTCGGTGTCACAGCAGCGATCCGAGCACAGGTGTTACAGGGTATATGCCGCTAAAGAAGGTTACCTGCACATTGGCAACAGCAGGCAATAGTAGCCCCACCAATATGGGGTGGAAGAAAATTCCAAGCTGAACACAGTAGAGAAATCGCATCATACATAAGTTTCATGACCGGAAAGTGCATGTAGGGCAGAATTCGATGTCGTCTGCCTTAACTACTACACATATAAACGTCACCCCAAAGTACACTCTTAGTAGAGAATACGATTTCACGATGCAATGATTAACTATCACGGATATTGGAAGTGCGTGGGGGAAGGAGGTGGTCTTCGAAGGGCTACCTACCTATCCGATTATAATTACTTCAGAGGCATCACCCCTCTTATTCACGCTTGTCCCACCGTCCCGTCATGGCATGGCACCAGGGAATAACAACACTTGTTGTTTCAATTGATAACACATCTGTACATCTGCATTAGCGACTTTCACGATGGCTGATGTATTTAAGGCTTATTAGGATAGAGATATAACCGCAGTAGCTTCTTTTCTTATTTCCCTACAGAAGACCCACCATTTCAGGCTCTTCTTTCCTCGTGCTTCGCCGTTCTTCCTTTCTTCCTTCGTCCCTTACATCCCTTCAGGTCCCAGGGAACAAATTCAGTATGTACCCGCAGCTGTCATCCATGATCTCCAACGAAAGCTTGTAAACATTCCGCAGTGGAGAGGCCTAGAACATACACACCACTGCCACACTCCTTTTACGATGTTAGGAATACGCGCGTCCCAATTAGGAAAAACTCAGGGGATGGGAAGAATGTAGTCGGCAAGCGAGCCGGCACAGACGGGATGATCGATGTGAAGCGCTAGCCTAACCCTATTAAGATATGTACTAACTTTACGTGGATGAACCTAAGTTCGTCGCGCTACCATTTTGGTTGCCAAGCCCCAAGGGTCTTTGGAATACGGGCAAGAAGACCCTTTATTTATTCCACTGAAGAACTTAATAAATTTTCGTCGCTTCGGGTACCTACTCGACAAGCATCAAGTGCTTTGACTGAACCATGAAAGGTGCAAGATGGGCCAATTATAGAAATCGTACTGGTACTGATAACTATTTGGAAGAACCAGGAAGGTACGTCAAGTACCCAGAGTACGAGCGCACGCACCCTCAGCAAGCTGAGCAAAGGTTAGCTATATATGGTGAATGAATATAAAGCTGTCTCGGGTAGTAAACTTACCATGACTTAGAAAATCCATCTGTGGTACGCTGCACAGATAATCAGATTATTACGCCATAATTACAAGCTGAGCAGTTCCAGGTGCTAAATCCATCGTCGGATTAACGGAGTTCTCGTTCAAAGATCGACCCAGGACGAGTGCTTTTCGATGACGCGGGATGTAGTTGATCCAGATGCAGCGCAAAGCCTTGAAGACATCATATTATTTTCCAATTCCAAGCCGTCTTTGCAGCCCGCTCCGCCAGGAGGTTTCAAAGCTGATTGACTCGGAATTTTTAATGACCAGGGCTAGCTGTACCTGCGTTATCCTTTTTTTTCTATGACTGGCTGTATGTATCAATGTTGTGATATTTTGGAAAAAATATAGGTACATAATCGGAAAAGAAGCCCCCCACAGGACAACGCGTCTACGTCCCACGCTCTGTTGGTATCGTAGAGTATGTAAGTGCCTACATAGACTAGGGTAAATAGAATTTGCATGAGGGGAAAAAAACTACCAAATATGGCTTTGCTTTTTCCCCCTCTCATGTTCCTCGTACATGAGGTGGCTTGCGTGATAGGTGCGACAAACAGGAAGAAATAGGCGGGTCATGTGATCAAATGACTCCAACAAAGCAACTTTGCTTCCAAATATTATTTTAGCCTTTGAGAATGCTGATAAGAGGCACGTGGGTTAGGGAGGAGAGCGGGGAACTCATAATTCTTGTCTTATCATGACTGTTTAAGGCTGTCTTCATAGATTGCTATGCAGTAAGTATGTAAAGTATTCTAGAACATGTGTATATATGGTTTGGTGCTAATCGGCGTGACAGGTTACTGGATGCCCCTTAAACGTTTATTATTCGATCTTCCAGACCTATGTATCAACGAGTAAAAATTGGCACACTGGCATGTCAGCATTGAAAGTGTAGATAAACTAGACGTTCGCGGGCCTGTTTAGAGCAGCATCTCAGGGCAGTACGCGTTTCGATGTAGTTGCCCCTTGCAGCACTGCAATGCTGATGATTCTGGCACAACGTGGCTTACTGGTTGATATTACAGCCCTGATTGGCTAACCAAGCGAGTCGTACAGGGCCTTTAATGAGCATTGGTTAGAAGATGAAGCACCGAGGGCTGACCCGGCTGAGGGTGTTCAGGTGAAAATTCCTGAGAACATCGCCTCGATGTATGCATATCAGGTACGAAAGGAGCTCTTGACTGATTGGCGCAGGCATGGCCACATAGCGGTAGGTAATCTCCTGTTTGTGTTGTTGCGGTCCCTCCGAACGAACCAAATCCACCAACCAAACCAGCGAAAGGAATATAGTTCCGCTTAAATCGGTTGTGGGACCCCTTATCCTTATGCCCTCGGGGGTCTTTATTTAAATCTCAGCGTGCACAATTGGCTTAAAAGTTAAAATCTCTAAATCTGCGTACTCTATCGGTACTGATGCGCCCTAGATACAAGATGCGAGACCCGAGCCTTGAGTAGACATGGAGCACAGAGGAGTGTTAAGGTTTAAGTCCTTGTTAAACACTTCTCCTGGAGCTCGTGCGCCCCATTAAATATTGTGGGTCGAGAATCCAAGGGACGAGACGAAACCGAGAGTACGGAATACGAATTAGGTGGAACAAGCTAGTTCCTATACGAGCCGAGGGAGTACGGAATACGAATTAGGTGGAACAAGACTAGTTCCTATACGAGCCGAGGGAGACATTGTACAATTTCATCCGGCACCATCGTACGGGATTGCCGACCCAAGACCGGTCGACCTGACATAGCACGTTGACGGAATTGACGGATTAGGTTGATGAATATCTGTTTAGTAGAGCTGTTAGTCATATCATCTCCACCAACACACGTGTTTTAAGATGAGAGAAAATGTATAAGAGGTGCCGAAATACCCGTACGGTTTGTACTTATGAACTCTCAATGCGGCATCAGTTCGAAGGATTCATGCTACTCTTTAATTCGTGACGTTTCCGGACCGGTGTTTGGCTGCATGATGATTGGATTCTTGGTGTAGACCGACCAAGCTGGCCGGAAGCGTCATGAAATGATTATATATCCTATAGAGAATGAACGGCGAAGACAGAGAGAGAGAGAGAGAGATAGAGAGAGATGCGCAGAAAAGACCTGATGGCCGATAGGTTGACGGACGACTTGAAGTCAGTCTATTAGCTAGCTGTCGAGGTTACGTATACGTGTAACACTAACTGACGATGAGATGTTCTTTATTCTATGTAGGTACAGGTATGCTCGTGCATGGCATGTAGGCTACGTGACGGCGCTCCCGCTCCCGCTCTCATCCGATCCAGAAGCCACACACTTTCAAAAGGGATGAATTCACTGCAGGGTCGACAGCACTGTACGATCAAAACCATGCTTCAACAAGAGCCCTTCGGAGGTTGTCATAGCAGCCAGGGCTGGGGACGCACAGAAATCTCGCTGGCTTTAAGCTTTTCTCCTCCGCGGCTTGCCACTAATATCACCTTAGTTATGGATTGAATGCTCAGTACATCGGAGCATTGAGAGCTTACAGCTGCTTGAGGGTTCCCTATGGAACCAATAAAGCTAACATACCACCGGTAATATACTACGCTCATTATCAAACTCGTCTAACGAACACACCATTGCTACGCCAGGGATGGATTCCTCACGAGTGATATCTCGTGATCACAAGTTCTAAACTCCTTGTGTAACGTCCCAACCCATGCATGCAAACCGCGCCGCCAACAACGACGAATCAACGGTTGACCACTATCTGCTCCAAAAATCCCAATCCCATATCTCGGGATGATATGGAAATACTCTAAATTAATTTATTTTTGAGGTTGCCATCTCTATCAAGGAAATGATCATGCACATTTGACAGCCTTCTGGAATTATACCTATATTACAGCACCCTTACGTCACTCTACGTACGGCAAACATGCATGCGCAGAGCCTAATAGTATCGCTCTTGATTCCCATCCTCCTACTTCTCTGCCCCTCGCCGCTGTCTCTGGTATCTCCAGACTCCTCCATGAACAGCCTCCTCAGCTCCTACCGCTCAATCGCCCGCTCACGCCTCGCCCTCCCCAACAACAGCCTCCTCGGCCGCAGCACAATGACAACCTTCACCCTCCCCTCCACGTCCACCACCGTCCACCTCACCCCCGACCTCACCCAATCCCAACTCCTCGAATTCCGCCCCTTCAAAGACTGGCTCTCAAAGCTCCAACACTCCCTCTCCCTGCAGTCCCAGAACACCAAGCACCCCTTCCACGCCGACCCCTACATCCTGCACTCAATCACCATCCAATCCGTCGACTTCTTCGGCGGCTCCCGCATCGGCTTCCTCAAGCTCAAAACCGACATCAAATCCGCCTCCGGCGCCTCCCTTCCCGGCTCCGTCTTTCTCCGCGGCGGCAGCGTCGCAATCCTGCTCGTCCTCGAGACCAAGTCTAAGGGACGGAACGAGCGCTGGGCCGTGCTCACCGTGCAGCCGCGGATCCCCGCGGGCTCGCTCGAGATGGTGGAGCTGCCCGCGGGCATGATTGACGATTCGGGGACGTTCGCCGGTGCCGCGGCAAAGGAGATACAGGAGGAGTGTGGGATCGAGATACCGGAGGACAAACTGATTGATTTGACATCGAAGGCGCTGGGGACCTTGGCGGCGGCGGAGGATGAGAGGTTGGAGGAGGCGGTGTATCCGAGCCCCGGGGGAAGCGATGAGTTTATGAAGATCTATGCGTATGTGCATCAGGTTGATGAGGGGAAGTTGGACGAGTGGAAGGGAAAGCTGACGGGGTTGAGGGATGAGGGGGAGAAGATTACGTTGAAGCTTGTGAGACTTGAGGATCTGTGGAGGGAGACAAGGGATGCGAAGGCGCTCAGTGCGATGGCGCTCTGGACGGGATTGAAGATGTAGATGGATAGATATATCTATATAATTATAATTATCAGTACAGTACTTATTGGTCTTTGTGAAGAAGTCTTTAGTATCATGAGTTGTAAATTAGAGTAATTTCATCAACTATAATAATATAACTTCGTAAATATATAACTAATAAATACTCATAAAGTTCTCCCTCCCTCCCTACCCATCTAATAACTTACCTCTTACTATACATGAGGATAAATACATAAGAAGGTGTCCGTTCACAGCGGCTCACTCGGCGTGGATGATGGATCATGATGCACCACTAAAGCGAGAAGATTACCCTAGCTAGCTGTAATAGAGATACCAGGTCGTCTATTCTTGGTTGGTTTTGATGAGGTGATCTATGGATACCAGGCGCTCCGCTTCCCCCTCAAGTCCGCAAAGCAAATGGTGTACTTTTAATCATTGACTACTAACTAACACCCAGCATTCCCACGTATCCTAGTTGTTAAATACTAGTAGGGCAACAATTATCACAAAAAGTTACAGGAAAAAAGCAAGAAAAAAAACATAACACGGCGAGAATTAGCCCATCGGCACCATTGGTATCACTCTAATTACTCTACCTACAATCCTAGTTCCGAGCTCTACAAGAACTTCCACCTCCTAGCCACCTCAAACCCCTCCGCCAAACTGCCCACCCTCGCATCAATCGCCAACCCCTCTGCCTCAAGCCTCCTGCACTCCTTATACAGGTCCTTCAACGGCACCGTAAAGCACTCAATAAACTCATTCTCCTCCAACTGCTGCTTCGGATTCTTGTTCCTCGCATCCGCCAGGTCGATCTTGACATGCACGAAGTGGAGATTGGTGTTGCACATGCCGGGGTCGTTAAACATGAGGCAGCTGCGCTCTCCCGCGTCGCCGGCCGGCTCGACAACGCCGTGGTAGCCGGTTTCTTCGTAGAGCTCGCGGATGGCGCATTCTTCTGGGGTCTCGTTGGCGTCGATGAGGCCGGCGGGGATCTCGACGGTTACCTACGGTGGTAATGGGTTAGTAGGTTGGTGAGGGGAGGAGAGGGAAGGGAGCTCACTTTGCCAATGGGAGGTCGGTACTGCTTTTGTAGGAGGAGAGAGGGCTCGGAACCGGGCTGCTCGAGGACGGCGATGATGCCGACGCCGTCAAAATCAATACCGGGCGGGCGAGTGCAGCGCTCACTGGACTCCCAGGTGCGTTCGGTACCGTTGGGGTCTGTGTAGATTGTCCTGAAGCTGTTAGCACGGGGGAGCTGTGTGGGAGGAGAGGTGCAGGGAGAGAAACTTGACGAGTTTGACCCATTTTGCGTCTTGGGTGGAGAGTGGCTCTTGCGAAACTATTTTGCTAGCGGAGATGGACATGATGAGCTTTTGTGAGGATTGTGGTGTGTTGTTTACTGTGATATGATGATGATGATGGTGGGGGGGTGTGATAGGGATGGCGGGGTTGAGGCTCTGGTGACGTAGAGTGAGTGTTGGTGGGATGGTGGGATGGATGGGACAATTGAATCACAGGCTTGGCTGGGAAAATTAAGCTTTTAGATCTCGGGCGGGAATTAGTGGCTAGATTAGCGAGACTATTCCTGGGTCTAGCTTATGTCCATGTAGTTAGAAGTAAGCTCAAGACTTACGGGTGAGTGCGTTGATCATAGTGTGTGTGGGGCACGGGTTATGTAGATTCGATATTGCATGCACCGTATATAAGCACATCTTAAGCCTCTAAATGAACGATAATATTCCCACACTTTACTACTACACTCTCCCACTACGCCGCCGCCGGCACATACGGCCTCACATACCTCTCTACCCACCTCTCCGGGATCTCGCGCGCATCCTCCAACCCGTTATTAATCCTCTTTATATACTCCTCCTTCACCACTCCCTCCTCCACAATTGGGTCAATATACACCACGCACGGCAGCACCCTGCCATCATCCAGCATCTGCACGTCGCGCACCACACGCTCGTATATATATGGCGCACCCTCGTAGCGGTCCAGCAGCGCCATGTCTGCGTCGGTGATGCTGTAGACGATTCCGTAGCACTCGTCCGGGGCCGAGGGCCGGATGTTGGCGTAGCCTCGCGAGTAGATGAACCAGCGGTGGGAGGGGAGGAGGCCGGTCCCGATGAGGGTGCTCTGCGGGCAGCGTTGTGTCATTTGGGCGAGCCAGAGGTTGGAGCCGTAGGCGAAGTAGTGGGTTCGGGGGGGAGAGGACATTTTGGCAACTGTTAGTGGTATATCTGTATGTAGGGGCTGTAGGGGGGTGGCAACGGTATTTATAAGTATTTTTTTCAGGGGAGGTTGAATGTTGGCCTCAAGTGCACTGGCTTAACTACTTATGGCCCCCAAAAAGACACACGAGCGGGGTCGACATATAAATAGATTGCGTAAACCTAAGAAACCCGACAAATCACATGAAGTCTCCGAGGGTTGGTTTATGCAGACAGGTATGTACCCTCCTCTCGAATTTTTTTAAATAGTAGATACTACTCTTCTATAGAGGGAAATGGAGTTGTAGGGGTTTTGTTTTCTGCTCTTTTGCTGGTGCAGCTCTATATTGGAATATATTCTGCATGTTGGGTAGTAGATTTGCACTCGGCTCATTGTTCACCGGCCAATGGGATTACTGACTCACTTACCTACTATCTCTACTTTCCTATACACCCAAAGATACACGCCCCCGCAACCTACCATTTCCCGGGGGAAAGAACCACAGATATCCAGAAAGCCGACCGACTGACATGACTACCCCTCTTTCTTTCTTTGTTCTCCCGGTCACCAAATATCACTCGGCGCGAAATTCGGGCAGGGTCGGGCCGGAACTTTCTTTTCTGCAAATCTTTTCTTTTAGAGGGCGCTGTTTGATTGACTGGGCCTAAACCTGAAGCAAAGCAAAGGTCATGAACCTGTACTCCGCTCACAATCACACCGCTCGTTAAAGAGAGTCATAGTTAGTAGTATGTAGGCCCAGGATTGAGCCCCTTCCGTAGAGTGTGTAAGTATATTTAGCCGCCCAAGCGCCGGATAGTATTGAGATATGAAAGGTTGATAGCGCCAATCCCGCATTCAACATCCTAGGACCACAATACCATGCCAGATTGGACATTCGCCTCCACCGTGAGGCATGTGTGTGTGTAGCTACCGACTTTTACAGTCCCGAGTGCAAGTGTAGATGCCTCTTCCGGTGCTTCTCGTGCATATTAGCAGCTGCCTAGGTTGGAACCTCATAATGCGGTACTATGCACCATATATTGCCGCACCCAGGCGGAGGTAGTAGCTCTCTGCAGCCTGAAACTTATAGGAACTTATATGGTGATTGTTCATCATCAGAAGCTTATGCAAGGCTCACTAAGCTGGCGAGAAACCTCTTGCTAGGTGCCATCTGTTGCTATTTTTTCTGCTTGGTAGTTACTCCCACTTCTGGGCCAGCTATATGTTTCCTGATGGCGTAATAAGGACCCGGGGCTATCCTGGGCTGATCGTGTCATCAAGGGCCTGTGAGCCTTCCTGTCCATGGTTGGGTACTTTGAACCCATTTACTCGTTGTTTTCTGGGTTAGTCTTTCTTTTCTTTCTGTCTGTATTGAGTGGTAATTCATGGATGCCTCTGCCATCTATCATCCACCCAGCCCTGGACCTGGGTGGGAGGATTAAAGATGTTGTTGGTTGGGGTTCTGCTACCAGTGTGGGTGATGGATAGAGTGGGAGCGGGAGCCGCCGAAGGGAAACGCTAGATTGCGCTGTTGCCTGTGGTGGTGATGTATGTCCAGTTGAGGGGGAACGTTCGAGCTCGGCGTTGTATTCACCAGCTCTGTAACCAGAAATAGGGAAGAAACTCGTACTGTAGTATTGCAGTGCTACGGCATCGGCTATGCCCGGTTTCTGGCACTGTAGGTTCATTTAGTGCTGATAGTTAGTATTCTGTTAGGCCCGCGTCTCTCATCTAGCTAGCCGGTGGAGAGTGGAGGACGTTCATACATGTGGAGTAAACAAAATTCCGTTACCCGTCTCTTGACACTCCGGGCTTTTCTCCTTCGTTTATTTCTTCCCTGTGTTACCCGCCTCTCTTGATTAAGCCACACCTACTTGCTGTGTCTGGATCATTAATTAAAGATATCTGCTTACATGTAATTATGATAGGGCTGGGGTGTTATTAATAGTATCGCAAGATTTGTATGAGTACGTGTAGTTTAAAGCCTTCCTAAATCGCGCGAATAATTATATAAACAGCAGCTACAAGGCAAGATAATCCGCTGCATATACTCCGGATCCGCTACGATTGCCCCGGGCCCGGGCCTCTCAATCTGCACCACTATCGATGCATCGACCATCATCTACCATAAGCCGCGTTATCCCCAAGAACACCGCTAAGTCAGGAAAGACTCCGGCCAATTTAGGGTCTTATATATACTAGGACTCTTGTAGGACAGGTTCGCAATATACTACTATTGTTCACAGAGCATCACTCGAGACTTGGCAGTTCTGAGTGCTTGCTTAGCGAATGTGGGCCTTCAGTTGGAAGGCCTGCTATGTTAGATTTGTGTCTGTCGCGTGATTTATAGGAGTATCACTTAACCTGGGTATGATTTAAGAAGATGCGGGGTGATGGATAATGAAGCAGATATAGGAAGAAAAGCGCCATGCACTAGACGAAGGAGAAACCGCAGCCTTTTCGCTAGCAGCGGTTGCTAGAACAATCTTTACAAAAGACTATTCTGGCTGAAGATGGCTAGAGACAAGAGACTCAACAGATACACTTAATCCAGGGAGGAGCGAGAATTCTCATCCAATTGCAATAAGCCAAGTGATAATATAATTACTTGTGCATCATAGCCAGTCACTCGGTGCACATCAACCGTAGTTTTGAGTGTTTCCTGATATCTGATGATTGCAAATAACATTTACGAAAGATATATATAGACAGGCCGAAGAAAATGGACATAGATCGACAAAGCTGAAGGGCTCGGCGAGCAGTGTTCGCGGGTTAGGGTTTTATCTGCAAGATGATAAGAACGCAACGAAGTTCTCGACCTCTTTTTCTCTCTGGTTACATTTGCACGTTATTTACGTTTCTTTGTCCTAGATGATCCCTTATTTTGTTCCCAGAAGCTCCAAATTCGATGTAAACATATGATCTACAATACAACAGGTGTCCGAACCCCGCAACCAAGTTTGAAAGCCAAACGATTCCACTCTTGGGTATCAAGGATAGATATCCCTCTCATAAAAAAGTAAAAGAAAGAGAAAAACACCTTTGAGTCCTTACTCCCTCTGCACGAAAACTAGGAACCCCATAATTACCAACAACGCGGTCTTCATCCAAGGATGCTCACTGAGCATGATGGTAACGTAACCTACGAATGGGATGTACCCAACAACGCTCCCAATAACCTCCTTCTCGCGGTCAAGGTACCACTGTCCACGGGGGTACAGCTCGATATCGTCGGCATTGTTGTTGTCGCCCTTTGTGAGGAGGTTAAGGGGAGTTTTCCTACAAACGGGTGTCAGCGCCCTATTCACTTATAGCACCAGCATAAACAAAAGGAAATACTCACTCTCCCTGGTGTTTCCTGACAACCCTATGCACAATCGGGATCGCGGTGCCCACATTGTACACCACAATCTCGCCGACCTGTGTTCCACCGAACGAGGAAGGATCCTTGTATAAGTCTAAATTCCTATTCCACAGGAACAGAAGATCTCCACGCTGGAACGCAGGCTCCATGGAACCACTCAACACGACCACAATGGGGGAGGGCGAGTTTGTTGCGACCGAGAGTCCCTTCCATAGCATGAACGCCGTTGAGAGGATTAGGGCGATATTGAGGACCTGCGAGAGGATCTGGCGCGGGTTGAGGCGCTTGAGTTCAGATAGGCCGAGGAGGTCGAGCAAAGACATTTTGTTGTGGTATTTTTGTCGGGTCGTTGTTGGGGTTGGAGGAGCTTTTGGCGCGGTTGCGGGAGCTGTCCGGAGGTGTGTTTGTAGAGGTGGTGGAGATGTTGAAAGGTGTCGGGATTGGAAGAAAGCTTGGCATAAGCATGCAGGTCACATTATGGCGCCGGTTACGGTCACACGCCAAGGTGAGCCTCAACGATAGTGAGATAAGTAACTGACTTCACTCGTCCTAAACACAGCTTGATCGACATCTCCATCTGAAGCCTTTGAAATCCCACTATCCTGGCAAGGAAACACCCATCGTCACTATGGCTCTCCCCGTCATGGAGCCCTTTACATTCGCGAGCTCCCGCTCCCTCAAGATGGAGGTGAGCGTTAGGATGTAAATTACCTCTCCCCCCACCCCTCAGCTTACCGTAGAGCTAAACATTAGCTATAGCGACTCGCTCGAAGGAACCCGCACCCCACTACCGTACACAACCCTGCTGGCCGATCCGAGTCTAAAGCATGTAGGCTCAAACGCTAGGTACACATACCACCTCGCCGCGCATTCCTACAGTCGCTAACTTACCGCGAGACAGCAACTCCTCCGACCTCTACCTCACTGTGCAGTTGTTTGCAGACAGTAAACCTTTAACAGTACCCGTGCAGACGTCTTATAAAGCTTTTAGATCAAATCGAACGTTGGTTACTCACCCAATTATTATTGTGGGGGCCTGAACTAACAAGAGGGCGCTGTGTAGATGGATGGAGTGGCTCACGGTGCCGGTAAGGTACTGCAACTTACCGTTATCCTCACAACTTGCGATCACGGTATGGGACCTTGCTGGTCCCGGAAAGGCGGTGCCATTTGGGGGAACAACTGTGAGCATGTTTGAGAAAGACAAGTGGGTGGTGACCTTATCCTCGCCCTAGTACTAGTATTAGCTTACGCTTACACTTTCCAGTAATCTCAAGAAAGGCCGCCAGAAGTGCAAGCTCTGGCCTGGTGTTGAAGCTGACGGTTTAAGCGACTCAACCACCCCATCAACCGTTTCATCGAACAGCGAAACGGACCGTCTTGAGAAACTCCTTAAGAAGCATGAGCTGGGGGAGATCCCCCGGCTTGACTGGCTGGATAATCTTGCGTTCCGGCAGATCGAGCGTATCAATAAGCAGGCGTCTTCAGAGCGGAAGAATGATCATTACCTGTTTATTGAGTTTCCGCGATTTGATTTCCCGGTCGTGTATAACGACTATGACTACAAGACCGAAGCTGTAATTGAGGGAGATGTAACTGGTAATAGTATTTCTCCGACAGCTTCCTCTGCTCCAACAGCACCAAACCGAAATACCCCCGTTCCTGGTGTTGAGGGCCCTGCGAAGAAAACTCTTGGATTCACGATGAGGGTTTATGACCCTGAGATGAATCGTGATAATCCAGCTGAAAGCAAACATCGCCGACTTGTTCGTTCACACCGCAATGGCCCATTAGATCGTGATTTGAAACCGAACGCCAAGATAAGAGACGAACTAAACGAGATCCTCAACTACTCCCCAACACAAGACTTAACCAGCGAGGAGAAAGATCTGCTATGGAAATTCAGGTACTCACTAGCAAGGGATAAGAGAGGCCTCACGAAATTTCTTAAGAGTGTGTCTTGGAACGACGCGGCAGAGAGTAAGCAAGCAGTGCAACTACTACCAAAATGGACAGAAATCGACGTCGATGATGCCCTTGAGCTATTGGGTCCAGGATTCGACAATATGGCAGTTAGAGCTTACGCTGTCGACCGACTTCGCAAAGCAGACGATGAGGAATTGCAGTTATATCTTCTTCAGCTCGTTCAGGCGCTCAAGTTTGAACGTATTAAGCCATCGACAACTACTGATGCATCTCGCGATAGTTCACTGGCGAACTTTTTAATTTCCAGGGCATGCATGAATATCACACTGGGGAACTTCTTCTATTGGTACTTAATGGTCGAAACGGAGGATACGAACCAAGAATATAAGCGGTTATTTAGTAAGGTGGCTTGGGAGTTTCAGGTTGCATTGGGCAAGATGGAAGATGGTGATAAGAGAAGGGCGGTCATCAAGCGACAGGCAGACTTTGTATTTATGATCGGGGAGATCTCTAAAGAGATTCAAGGGCTACGGGAGAGTAGGCCGAAGAAAATCGAGAGGCTAAGGCAAGTCCTAGCAGATCCGAAGAATGAGTTGGTTAGTTTTGAGGCGGTCCCATTACCGTTGGACCCTGGGGTTAATGTAGTTGGGTGCTTCCCTGGTTTGTTTCTCCCTCATTATGATGATGTCACGATACTGACGAATAGTTTCAAGAGGCTTCAAATGTTTTCAAATCGTCCCTCTTCCCTCTTCTCATTCACCTTAAAACAGATACTGGAGCACGGTATCCAATCATCTTTAAAACCGGCGATGATCTCCGTCAAGATCAACTCGTAATACAGATTATAACATTAATGGACAAGCTCCTACGCAAGGAGAACCTTGACCTTAAGCTTACGCCATACCACATTCTTGCTACGTCGGCATATACTGGTGTCGTACAGTTTATCGACTCTCATTCGCTCGAAAGCATCGAGGAGGGTAAACACGCCCCCGCCGCTGGAGTCCTTCCATACCTCCGGAACAACTATCCAGACGAGACTACAGATACTGGAGTGAAAGCAGAGGTTATGGACACATACGTCAAATCCTGCGCCGGCTACTGCGTAATAACCTACCTCCTCGGTGTTGGTGACCGACATCTCGACAACCTCTTACTCACACCCGATGGCCACTTTTTCCACGTGGACTTTGGCTTCATACTTGGCCGAGACCCTAAGCCATTCGCGCCAGCAATGAAACTGTGCAAGGAGATGGTCGATGGCATGGGAGGGGCGAACTCAGTAAACTACGCAAACTTCAAGAGTTACTGCTACACCGCATACACAACTCTGCGCAAGTCCGCAAACCTAATTTTGAACTTATTCGCGCTCATGGTAGACGCCAACATCCCAGACATCAGGCTGGAGCCCGATAAGGCCGTGCTAAAGGTGAAAGAGAGGTTCAATCTCGAGATGAGCGAGGAGGAGGCGGTCAAGTTCTTCCGAAATCTAATCGAAGAGAGCGTCACTAGTGTATTCCCAGTGTTGATGGATCGGATGCATGGTTTTGCGCAGAGATGGAGGAAATAGGGTTATGGAGAAGCAAGTGGAGTATTCGAAAGTCTTGTTGTACCACTGTTTGGAATATTTATTATGACCTGGTCTTTTTTCTGGTAGGCTCTGGTAGAGTAGAATTATACATATATTTGGAATGAAGGCGTTTTGAACTGTAATTTAAGTGTGTGGGATGACTTTCTGTGTGAGAGACTATGAGTGGAGATGATTCATAGAGTTCTTTCCCGGACAGATTGTCAAATTCTACCTACAAGTATATTACGTGTACATCCAGATATATAACTTGGGCTTAACCAAAGGGGTAAATTAGTGGATCTTTCAGCTGATCCCCCTGCGAAATGAAAAAGGCCCGGAGTTCCGTGAGTACGGCGGTATCGCTTGTCTCAGCGAGCGAAATTCGCTAGCCAAGCACTACCTGGAAAGATATCGGGAAATGGAGTCAGGAAACTATCCGTCGGGCTCCGTATGCCCGCTGTTGGGTTCGCAGATCGCCCTATGCATGTGCGGAATAGAGTTTGCCAGACATATACGGGATGTTTGCCGTTGCATATCTCCTTAGCCCTGTAGTAACTTAGGGGTTGATAGAGCCTTCTGCATCACTCATGGACTATCACTCGATCGGCAAGCTTCCCGGCTCCAACATTTAGGGATCGAGCACATTGATAATCGACGCAGAATTATTCCTCTAGTTCTTCATTATTGACCTATATATGCGATCCATTCAAAAAACATAACCAAACCCCAAGATTAGAAGAAAAGATGTAGAAACCCATGTGTACATATTACGGAATCATTCTAGTTAGTATCAACCTCCTCTTCGTCACCATTCGCGCCTCCCTTCCCATCGCCCCAATACACACCCTCCTTTAGAAACCAGGAACAAGCGAATGCAAATGCAAAGGTCGACCCAAGGCACACAAAAACTGTCTGCGGGAAGGTTGCGACCGTGTATGCATACACCAGATTAAAGACCGTTGGGGCTACAACTCTCGCTAGTGAATGAAGTAGGGCCGTCGCCCCTAACAGTTGGCCAGTCTTCTCATCAGGGACATGCTTAGTGAGTGATGACTGGAGGGTGGGGGAGCCGATTCCGCCCAAAGCAGTGCAAACACCTGCTGCGGTAAAGGCATTTGATGTGGCCGCGACAGCGTAGAATAGATAGCCTGCTGCCTCAATGATGATGCTAAAACGGATAAGGAGAATATCGAGTTTATCGGCACCCTTTTGGTGGTGGGAGGGATGATGGTTGCGACGGACGTAATGAACTACTACGGGGAGGATCACGAATAGCATAGTTACACGGGCTACGTTGACGATTGATAGGTATATTGACGACTAATAAAAAGGCTTGATCAATATCTGCGTGGATAGCTTCTTGAACCGGGGGGGCCATACCTCATAGTTTCCCCATCCAAATTTCAGCTCTGCAAACAAGATGATGACGGTCATACCACCAATACCGACGCCAAAAAGAATTGTGTCTGTGGCAGCAAGTAGCATGAGGTTGAGCCTGAGTCGGGGACTGGAGCCGGGACCGGTAGGGAAGAGGACTGAAAGAGGCCTAACTAAGTTGACGGGGTTCATGGTGTGTACCCATGATTTCAGTGTACCACCATATATCTGGATTTCTTGTGCATGCTTTTCTTGGGCGATCTTCTTACGGCGATCTGACAACGACTCCGGGAGGATGCAGAATAGATAGAGAATGAAAAATACGTGAGCCCCCTGATCCCGTCAGCCAGAGTAAACGTCAAGTACGCAAACAAAGAGGGCCAAACCAAGGCGAAGTAGAAGATGGAAAGAACGTTTCCAGTAGCCTCGATCAGCCACCCTCCCATTGCTGGCCCGACTGCGATACCCAAAAAAAGACAGCCCTGAAAATAGCCGAATGCCATAGCACGTTTTGCGGGAGACGTGCAATCAGCTCCATACGAGTATGAAAGCGCCATACCCAACAAGAAGCTCCCACAGATGCCATCGACCGCTGAGCCAAGGAGAAGGATATTGACACTGAAAGTTTCTGGAAATTTTGCGGCGAGAATGGTCGTAATTTCGCTGGCCAGCAGCCCAAAAGACGAACATGCCATGAAGGCCCGACGTCCATAGCGATCTGATAACGATCCAATGCGTGGTGATGTAAACGCACCTATGATGATAAGCATCTGTATTGCAGATCTAGGGAAGCCACAAACCTATTATTCCGCCAATAAGACCCATGTAAAGTGTAAATTTCGATACGAGAGCTGCCACCTGCGATATCGCGCAACGTTAGGCATTTTACTTTCAACACAGCCAAATACTGCAGTTACCTCCGGATTTCGACATTGCTCATTTGGGGCGCCGATGAGAATAGGCATAACCGGTGTCATGCCCCCAGGCAGATATTGTTTCTCTGCGAAAAATTCCCTGCATATAAGAGCCAGGATGATGTTCAACCGTGGTACAGCGACACTTCATGCAGTCAGTACAGAGCTCGGCTCTGTCGAAATTGATGTCATCATACCCTCCAAAAGCTATCGTGAACAAACAGAACGGCGGCAACAACCAGAAAATCTGAAAGCGTAGCCGTCAATTTTCTGCACTCAAGACCGCACAGAGTGGGTACATGTATCTTACCGATGGCTTTCGGTGCCATGGCAGACCCGCAAAATCGTCAATATCTGCTCCTCCGTCTCTTTCACCAGCTCCTAATAGTGGCGAGTTCTCGTCTCCAGAGATCGAGTTGGCCTTCGATGATAGTACCGATTTGCCTCCATCACCATCAACACCTGCGCTCCCATGCTGATGTGCTTGGATTTCTGACTCTTGTGCAATTAAGGGGTCACGTTCCATGTTGACGGACTATAGATAATATTGTTGAACGCAATGTACGTTTGTGCTTGGGCTGCACGCGATGGCTCGACTGGTGAAGCCAATCTTTGAACCGACAAAGATGAAGTTGTTTGAGACGAAGATAATATGTGATAATTATAAATGGGGTTAAGGAGATATATCTGGGGAAAGCTTCGCCAATGATCGAGCCCGGATATATCTGTACCGGGCCCCGGGCTTGCTTACTGATGCACAATGAAATCTAGCGCAGTGTAGGTTACCAGGGATCTGGCGTTCACATCCAAACACGCTAACTTTCTGCGGGGATGGAGATAAGTGAAGCTGATAAGGATTATGTACCTAGGTTCCCAACGACAGGCCCCTCGCAGGGGATCTTCATCTATTTATTCTCTCCTCCTGTTTCCTCACTCAGTCAACATGGGGCTTGTCCTCTTGCTTGACGGCGATGATGATGATGCCAACTCATGAGAAAAGAGTTGGGACAGGAATCGGCCGAGAAGAACAAATTTGGTACAGCTATTTATGACGGCATGTATGTACAACCCCAGCGAATAAGGCACCACATACATACGTGTGTGGCATCCCTATTCATAATCATCTTATCTATGGTTCAAGTTCCCATTTGCTGGCGATTCCAAGGTCAAACATCAATTTGTTTTTTGAACTGCTTACAAACACGGAGTAGAAGCTAATGGTGGTTACTAGTGTTTGGAACCCCAAATAGGCTTCTTCAAAAAACTTTGGTACGTAGCTACACGATGTAACTCTACTTGAGACATTAAGGATATCGATAACTCTAAAATTACAGTATCTGCAGAATTATCGTTTCTGCGCCTCGGAGGAACTTTATCCCTCCGCGCTACCCGGTAAATCTTGATAGGACCACGTCTATCAAGGTTCAAAAATTCCGGTAACTTTTTTGTCGTTTAGTCTATCAAAGACTTGAGTTAAACTTCAGTCTCAAGATTATATGTTAATGAAGCTTCTACGAGGAACATCTAGATCATCTTATGCCAGCCAGGATCGAGTTCTAAGGCGAAACCTTTAATATTGTTATGAAACTCTTGGCATATATTATCATATACCGGGTATCTAAAACCCTGTTTTGCCGTAATAATCTGTCAGGTAAGTCTGTACCAAGTGTTCTATAAACATACACGTATCTACGTGTACCTCATGCTGAGTACTAAAAGTGTTGTAAAAAAGTGTAGTAAAGGCTCGGGGTGTAATAAGAAAACCATTTGAGTGAGTAGATCCCAGGGGTAAAACACGTACTCTAAATCTCACTAGGTTTAGTAAGTCAGCTTCTCCTGTGCTGTACGATTACTAAGGGATAGTGTCAGGTCAGCAAAGCACCCGTCCCTTAATCTTTGACAGCCAGCAGATTGTCAACGACCAGAATCTAGCATCTAGTCTTTGAAGAGCCAACCTTGACCCATCAAGTCCGATGTTTTAGCACTATAGCCTGCCCCACTGACAGTATTATACTGTTGGGCACAGTATGAAAATAAAACGGCAGCTTGCATTGGTTAGCATGGGATTGACGTTTTATAGGACAGAGAGTAGTCTCGTGCCCAGCCTGTGTTGAAGATTTGTGTCAGTACGAAGTGCGACAACAAAACAGTCTAGGGACGATTGGTTGATTGATTGATAATTCATTAATTCAGTCTGGGGACGAGATTAGATAGATGGGACTAACGCCTTGTTAGGAAATATGGAATGAACATTCTGGAAGGTAAGGAATCGAATGAAGTTTTAGGAGATCGGTATTGAACTAGTATTGGAGAGGACACCGAGTAAACCCGTAAGGCACATGGAATAAAGGGTGCTGTAAAGGAAGGACATAGGATCGAGGGTTTCTTAGGAGGATCGAATTACCACCGGTGGTCTTTCGTTTCGCTCGCTGCTGAGAGTCACAGTACGTTATAATTACATTGTTATCATGCAAAAATGCATGCACCTAGCAGCAAGGACTTGCTCCTAGACAGTTGTGGGATACTCACTGGTGTGCGAGGGCATTCTATTAGATTGGCTAGTAGCTCGAAGAATCGTTGGGATAGGTTCGGAAAAGCTTACCTGTAATCGTGATGACCGAACGTAAGCTAGGATTCAGCCGTAGATGAAACTGCCAATGGGATTGCGAACCCGCATGAACTAGGCTAGAAATCATGTTCACAAGTTATCACTCGCCGGCCCAATGGGGGAGTTGTTGGGGTGTTTTGTTTTTGTTTCATCCATTTATGTTTGCATCATTGAAAAATTACAGTGGTGCAGATACTAATTTCTTGGATGTGAACTTTCTAATTGTGTTGGGGAAAGTCTGCTCTCTGAAGATTGCATCCTCTGTCCTATGATTATCAAGGAGGCCCTAAATCCATCACATCTTTTGATAGGTAGGTACTCCCTGTCCACCAGCACCGGACATATTCAATAGCAACTACATAACCGCCAAGGAAATAAAAATCGTAGCAAAAGTCTAAATACGGTGGTCAAAACAAACCCCATGATAGTCACAGATGGATGGTTCCTTAATTCACTATTTCTAGCGATGTAAGATAAGAAGGGCGAAGATTGTGCGATGGACTAACTATTCTGACTACCCATTAGGTGAGGAACAAGTAATCTACAAAAAGGATAGGGTATTAGGAAAATCCATATGACCGTATGGAAAGAATTCTAAGACAATTAACCGAGTGATGGACCGTGAACAAACAAAGTTGCATCATCAACATAGGGTTGTTAAAGTGTATCAATGAAGTTTACGAGCGGATATAACCAACGCTAAAGCTTACTTACTTAAATACAGGACATGGGATATTTACATCAGTCTAGAAAAAGATACTACGCGCCTAAAATTTATGAACGAAGACTGTCATTCAACCTGGATCTAATCGATGGCAATCTTATTTGGGCTAGAAAATTGAGCTAATTGCAGGTTCACAAAGTAACGTTCTTCGAAAACTGGGTGCCATGTATTCCAAGAAACCAGTCATGATAGGTGAAATCACACAAATGAATTAGAGTTAAAGAGGCTATAATAATAGACCTAAGAATAAGCAGAATCGTAAAGCATATCTAACGTTCTCGCCCCCTAAATGTCTTTGCTATCACTCAAGAATCGAAATGCAACAACCACAATCATATTATAAATACCGATAAAAAAAAACCCCATGGGAAAGTGAGAGAAGACCCGAATTTCATGTTACCCCTAATGATAATAGAAAGAAAGAAATAAGGAAACAATAGATGACCATTCCCAACTATGCCCCCCTTATGTGTCTCCCCAACGGCCAATTCCCCACCCCCAATTGCTCCGGTAGTTGTAAAAAAAAAAGATAAATAAAAGTGAATACACCCTTCCCTTGTTCGCCATGATAAAAACATAAATAAACTAAAAACATAGAAGAAAAAAGGCAGTAGAGTGCAGTAAGTATGAATCGGGTATAGGTAAAAATGGTGTTTTGCTGTACGGCAATGCAATAAGTAACCAGAAGGCAAGAGCGCAAAGCAAGATATAACAAAGCAATCAACACAACTGTCCTATCCAAACTGAAAACAACCCCAGAAACTTTATATAAAGAACAAAAGAAACAATAAAGAGGGTACCAAATAACACGGAAAAAACCAAACCGCAATTTCTTTTTTTCGAGTAAAGAGGAAAGAATAAAAACTATTGCAAACATTTAAAAAGAAAATTTGGGGGGGGGGGGGGGGGGGGGAGGGACTCCAAGATAAGGAATTTGTAAAATACACAAAAGAAAGTTAAATAATGAATGCAGCGGTTTCCCGCAAGAAAGAAAAGATATGCTCAGCAATAAAAAAAAAATAGTAGCTTAAACATGTGAATGGGCGCGTTCGGAAGCAGCGTCTGCGTGGTGGTGATGATGATGGGAATCTGTGCTTCTACCACCACGTACGCTTTGTGCCTTCCGGCCTCCACGCCTTGGAAGTGTGCCGACATCATGTTTACCTATAACAATGTTAGTGAGGGCCCAACCCATTATAAGAGATAAACCATACCATCACAACAAGCTCTGACATTCTCCAACTTTTCCGAATCCTCGTTCTCAATTTGTTCTCTCAGATCCTCCGCCGAATCATTCAAATCACTCTGGTCATATATACTGGGGTTGTGTCTGCTGCTCTTGGTACTGAAAGTACCGAAACCAGAGGAAGGCCTGAATAGGTTACTGAGTCTGGATCTGCTACCCTGACGCGCAACCTTATCTGAAGGGCGGCTATTTGAAAGCGACGAGTTGTTTCTAGCGGGTGATGACGCTCGTGTTGTTCGTGTATGGTAAGACGAAAGGCTCTCAGCAGCACCGCCGCGGACCGAGCCGGGTGCACCGTTTCCGTTTCCATTGCCGAGGGTTGTGTGAAATTCCTCGGGATGATTAACAGGCTCGCCCGCGCCCTCTTCCCCAAGTTCTCCTCCGGTCCTCAAAAGCAGGTACGATAAAGCCTAGAAGCAATTAGAATCAATCGCCACATCACAATGCATAACAGAGATCTACTTACATTGAACCAAGTTTCATGGCGTTGCCCTGTTGGTGCCGTGAATTTCAACGATCTTCCAGGTGTAATGACAACCAAACTCTTCCTGTGCAATCCGGGAGGCATTGGGTTGTCATCTGTCACAACCCTAACCGCCTCAATGGCAACACTCTTAGCCCTCAGCTCAGCTCTGCCAGCCGTGGTAGGATCCCGTTCACTCCAGTAAAGAGTCCTTGTGTATGGGTGGACCCAGAAGAAACGCTTGTGTCGGCTGTGCGATAATGATCCGCGCCCAGCGTTCCTTGTGTACTTCCAAAGGTATTCACCGATCATGGTTTGAGTGATGGCTTGGATCATTCTTGGATCTGTCTGAGCTTCTCCTGCAACAGCCTCGGGCATGATGTTGAATCTTGTATCAATCTCAGAGGCGAATGAAGATATCGATGATCTACGAGATGTAGGTGAAGAAACCTCACTTCTAGTGGCGGAGAACCGGGGAGTGGCATTGGGCCTTGGTGTTGTGCCAGCCTTGGAATTTGGTGTTTCGGGAGCAATTGCCTTGATAGTGTCGGTGTTGACCGGGGTCTTAGGCCTGAAGGAAACGTTGTTCCGCGAAGATGAAGGAAGTGGTGGGGGTCCCATAGAGCCAGCAGCGCCTCTCAGACTTCCAGAGCTTCCAGGGCGCTTGATGGCACCTCTACGTGCTTCATTGGGACCAAAACTGTCGCGAGATTCGTGAGATCGAAGACTGGGCGACCTAGCACGCGACCTATCCCCTCCGAGATACATTGAATCCGGATTATTGACAGCGAACGCTGGTCGCTTGCCCTTGTCGACAGTTTTAGCAACAGCCATGTTATCAAAGAATTCATGTGTGATGTCGGTTTGTGCCTCTTGATCCACAGCCGGTGCTTTGATGATCGGGATGTCCTTCATGCCATTGCCAAAAGTACCAGCTGAGAATGTTCGTTCGCTAGCACCCTTAAGGCCTTCAGGTTCCTGTGCCGGAGTCCCAGGTCGCTTCCATCCGCCAAACATCGAGCCAAAAATTGAGCTGGCTTTCTGGGGACTAGGCGTAGTCGGGCGTTGTTGCTGTTCCTCCACGGTCTCGGAAACTTTCTTGGGGGTTTCCTCATCTGAAGATACAGATGCATCTCTTGCGGTAGAAGTAGGAATAGGAACTGGGATTGGTAAAGCTGATTTCTGGATGGGCTCGATCGGCGTTGTGTCTTGTATTGAGATCTCCGAGAATTCCAATGGCACTTCGGGCACAGGCTCAAACTCAGCAACCTTGTCGAACACAACCGAGTACTCCTCAACTTCAGGCTCAGTCTGCGTTCCCACAAAAGCTACGGGTTCAGGATCGGACTGTACTCCAGTGTCTCTCATGTCCAAGACTGGGATGGCAGATACAGTTTCTTGTAAGACATCTCGCTCCTCCCTCAGGGCTGCAACTTCTTCCTCGAGCTTGACGATAACTGGCTTGAGGGTTCCAACCTCTTTCTCGAGTTTGGCAACGAATGGCTTGAGAGTATTGACTTCGAAGAGGTTAATCTGAGCCATTTGCTGTGCGGCTGGGAGGGCAGTGTCCTGTAAGTCGTCACGTTCAGCCTTAAGAATCACAACCTCTTCCTCGAGTTTCTCAATGACTGGTTTGAGTGTTCCAACTTCTTCCTCAAGCTGGGCAATTATCGGCTTCAAGGTATCTACTTCATCACGAGCCTTCATGAAGTCGGCCTCGTTCTTCTCTGCCAACTGTTGGGCAACCGGGAGAGTCTCCTTCAAACTATCTCGCTCCTGCTGCACAGTTGCCAATTCTTCCTCCAGCTTGGCGACAATCGGCTTGAGCGTATTGACCTCTTCAAGAGCCATGACGAAGTTATCTTGGTTCTTTTGTGCCATCTCCTTGACTACTGGAACAGTCTCCTTTAGGTCATCTCGCTCCACAGTAAGAGTCTTGACCTCCTGCTCAAGCTTGAAGATAATCGGCTTGAGGGAGTTGACTTCAGCCTCATTCTTTTGCGCCATCTCCTTCGCCACTGGAAGAGCTTCCTGTAGACCGTCTCGCTCTTGTTTAACATTTACGAGCTCTTCTTCAAGTTTGGTGATGATAGGCTTAAGAGCGTTTACTTCCTCGAGAGTCTTGACAAAATCGGCCTCGCTCTTTTCTGCAATCTGCTTCATCGCCGGCAAGGCATTCTCCTGGAGATCGTCACGCTCTTCGGTCAGGGACTTGACCTCTTCTTCGAGATTGACGATGACGGGCTTGAGGGTCACGATCTCCTGCTCAAGCTGGGCGATAATTGGCTTGAGGGAGTTGACCTCGGCCTCCTTCTGTTGGGCCTTTTCTTTCGCCGCTGGGAGGGCAGATGCAATTTCCTGAAGGCCATCACGTTCAACTTTAAGAGCACCGACTTCCTCCTCGAGTCTAGCGACGATGGGCTTGAGTGTGTTGACCTCCTCGAGATTCTTTTGTGCCATCTGTTGCGCCGCCGGGAGGGCAGTTCCTTTCAGCTCGTCTCGCTCCACAGTCAAGATCTTAACTTCCTCTTCAAGCTTGACGATGATGGGCTTGAGCGTGTTAACCTCCCCAAGAGTCTTGACAAAATTGGCCTCGTTCTTCTGAGCCAATTCATTAGCAGCAGGGAGGGCGTTCTCCTTCAAGTCGTCTCGTTCCACCTTGACAGTTGACAGCTCTTCTTCAAGGTTAACAATGATGGGCTTGAGGGTCTCAACCTCTTTCTCGAGCTGAGCGATAATCGGTTTGAGGTTATTGATTTCTACCTCCTTCTTCTCTGCCAACTCCTTCGCTGCCGGTAGGGCAGACGCAGTCACCTGGAAACAGTCCCTCTCCACCTTCAGGGTCTCTACATCCTCCTCAAGGTTTGAAATGATGGGCTTAAGAGTGTTGATCTCGTCCTCCCTCTTCTTTGCAAGCTCTTGAGCAGCGGGGAGAGCAGATGCAGTCTCTTGGAAACCGTCACGTTCCACCTTCAAGATCTCTAGATCCTCTTTAAGCTTGGTAATGATGGGCTTAAGGGTGTTTATCTCAGCCTCCTTCGTTTGTGCAAGCTCTTGAGCAGCGGGGAGGGCAGATGCAGTTTCTTGGAAACCGTCACGTTCCACCTTCAAGTTATCGATATCCTTCTCGAGCTGGGCGATGATGGGCTTGAGAGTGTTAATTTCAGCTTCCCTCTTTTGTGCCAATTCTTGGGCAGCCGGGAGGGCATTTTCCTGTAGGTCATCACGCTCCACCTCCAGAGCCACAATATCCTCTTTAAGCTTAACAATGATGGGCTTGAGTGTATTGACCTCCTCGAGGTTCTTCTGGGCCATCTCCTTCGCAGCGGGGAGAGCATTTTCCTGTAGGTCATCACGTTCCTCCTTCAAGGTCTTAACCTCCTCCTCGAGCTGGGCAATGATTGGTTTGAGTGTGTTAACTTCCCGAAGAGCCTTGGCGAAATTCTCCTCATTCTTCCTAGCCATCTCCTTTGCAGCCGGGATGGTAGATGCGGTTTCCTGCAGACTTTGACGCTCCACCTTGAGAACCACGATCTCCTCCTCGAGCTTGACGATGGTGGGTTTGAGAGTATTGATTTCTTCCCGGGCTCTGGCAAAGTTGGCTTCGTTCTTTTGTGCCATGGCCTTTGCTGCTGGGAGTTCGGTTTCCTGCAAGTTGTCGCGCTCGATCTTGAGATTCTTGAGCTTCTCCTCGAGAGAGGTGATGATCGGTTTGAGTGTGTTGATTTCTTCTTGTGCCTTGACAAAGCTAGCCTCGTTCCTCTGTGCGAGCTCCTGGGCAGCTGGAAGGGCAGATGCTGTCTCCTTGAAGCCATCACGCTCCGCCTTCAGATATGCGATTTCCCCTTCAAGCTTGACAATTATGGGCTTGAGAGTGTTGACTTCTCCCATAGCCTTGGTGAAATCCTGCTCATTCTTCTGCGCTAGCTCCTTGGCTTTCCTTGCATCCTCCTCAGCCGCTCTGAGCTTTCTCTCTGTTTCCTCGCCGCTGTTCTGTGCTGCCCGAAGCCTATCCACCGTCAACGCACCCGCTGCCGCCGCCGCAACCAATTTGGCGGCTGACATCCTGCCATCTTCCTCTGCTGCCGCTAGTTTCGCTGCTACTGCTCTTGACTCCTCTTCTGACTCTGCTAATTTTTCAGCCGTATTCCGAGCCTCCTCTTCAGATGCGGCCAACCTGGCAGCCGTGGCCTTGACCTCTTCCTCGGATGCCGCAAGCCGTTCAGCCGTGATACGGGCCTCTTCCTCAGATGCAGCCAACCGCTCGGCAGTGATCCTCGCCTCCTCTTCTGCCGCTGCCAGTCTCTCGGCGGTAGCCCTCATTTCATCTTCAGATGCGGCCAACCTCTCGGCTGTGGTTCGGACCACTTCCTCTGTTGCTGCCAACCTCTGAGTTGTAGCCCTTGACTCCTCCTCCGCCGCAGACAACCTCTCAGCGGTGGCCCTTGACTCCTCTTCCGCCGCAGCCAATCTCTCAGCGGTAGCCCTCGCCTCTTCCTGTGATGCCGCCAATCTCTCAGCCGTGGCCCGCGCCTCGTCCTGTGACGCCGCTAATCTTACTCCCGTGACCCTTGCTTCTTCCTGTGATGACGCCAATCTTTCTGCTGTAGACCTTGCCTCTTCCTGTGACGCCGCCAACCTTTCTGCGGTGGCTCTAGCTCCCTCTTCGGAATCAGCTAACCTCGCTGCGGTGGCCTTCATCTCTTCTTCCGCAAGCCTCAACTTCTCCGCAGTCGCCAGTCCAGTCTCTTCGGACTCCGCCAGTTTTGTCGCTGTCGCTCTGCCGCTCTCCTCTTCCTGGGCGAGTTTTGCTGCTGTTGACCTGACGTTTTCCTCTTCTTGAGCAAGCTTGGCCGCTGTCACCCTCATATTCTCCTCTTCCTGGGCAAGCTTCGCCGCTGTCACCCTCATGTTCTCCTCTTCCTGAGCAAGCTTGGCCGCTGTCACCCTCACATTCTCCTCCTCCTGGGCAAGCTTAGTCGATATGGCCCTCGAGCTCTCCTCCTCCTGGGCAAGCTTAGCCAATATGGCCTTGGAGTTCTCCTCTTCCTGGGCAAGCTTGGCCGATGTAGTCCTCATATTCTCCTGTTCTTGGGCCAACTTCGCTGCTGTAGCCCTGACGTTCTCCTCCTCTTGTGCAAGCCTCTCCGCAATACTCCTACTGTTCTCCTCTTCCCTCGCAAGCCTCTCCGCGGCCAACCTCGCCTCCTCCTCAACCTGCCTTAACTTCTCCTCTGTTGCCTTACCGCTATCCTGTGCTGCACGTAGTGCCTCCGCCGCAATCGCACCTGCCGCTGCCGCCGCAACTAGTTTCGCCGCTGACACTCTTCCATCCTCTTCTGATGCCGCCAACTTCTTTTCCGCTGCTGCCACGTCCTTCTCCGATGCTGCCAATCTCGCGGCTGTGGCATGAGACAACTCCTCAGATGCTGCTAGTCGATGGGCGGTAGCCATTGCTTCTTCTTCTGATGCGGCCAACCTGGCGGCGATATTTCGTGCCTCCTCTTCTACTGCAAGAAGCTTCGCTGCGGCGACCTTTTTGCCCTCCTCGAACTGTAGGAGCTTCTCGGCCGCTAGCTTCGCCTCTTCGTCTGCCTTGATTAGTTTCTCCGCCGCCACCTTTCCGGCCTCGTCGGACTCGAGAAGCTTTGCGGCTGCTACTTTGCTAGCCTCATCTGCTTCGAGCAATTTGGCAGCTGCAGCTGCGGCAGCGCCTTCAACCACGAGTAGCTTCGCTGAGGTTGCCTTGAGCTCCTCTTCAGTCTCATGGAGTTCCTTGCTAAGGTCGGGGTGGGTGGGGTAGGGTACGTCGGATTGTGTGCTCATCTCAATTACTGGGGTTGGGTCGAATTGAGTTCCAATGTTAGTGACCGGGGTGGCCTCGGACTGGATGCCAACCTCTGAAACTAGAGTTGCGTCAGATTGGGTTCCCATCTCTATAACCTCCGCATCTTCGGATTGGACGCCCATGTCGTTGGTCTTTTCCACCTCCTCGATTGTGTGCATTGATGAGATTGTAGAGAACGCTGTTCGGGGCCTGTCCAAATCATTGATACTCAAGAAGTTGCGAGAGCGGTCAAGCACAGGGTAGTCCAGGAGATCATCGGTCATGATACCGCAATCGACCATGGCACCCTTGGTAACGTATGGCATGCTAGTCTTGGTGGGAGTAGTCGGTGCCTCGTCCTCCTCTGCAGTATCCTCATCGTCCTCGCCATTAAACATACCATCGCCCAACTCGGCAAACAAGCTCTTGCGCTCACCGGCGCCTGAGGGTCTATGACGTACACTGCTGGGGGATCCGTTGCGGAACTGGAAGGTACCTGCGTCGCTGGAGCCCGCTGAGAACGCTCTGTCCCTGTTGCTGGAGCCGGTCGAGAATGCGCGCTCACGGTTTCGGAACATGCTGCTCTGACTAGGCATTCTGGTTCCCCTGCTCTGAGGTCTACCCATTTTGCTCCTGAGACGTTGGCCTGAACCGGGGACGGGGGTCATGAAGTCGTCGCGACGGTTGCGGCGGTCCTCGTATGCGCCATCTGAATCCTCTTCGGTAGATGCAGAGGAGGCAACGCTATCCCTGTGGCGGATTCTGTTGAGGCCGGGGCGTCTAGAACCACCAAATGAGGAGGCGCGGGAAGTCTTCTTCTTGATGACCTTTAGGTGCGGACCGGACTCGGTTTCGGTGAGTTCGTCTGCTGAGGTTGGGTGGTCGTACACAGGGCTCTCATTGCCAGTCCTATAGGCTTCTGTCTCTGTCGCAGTGCTGTCGTGCTCATTAGCGGTCTCAAAAGCATCTGTAGTCAGGCCGGCAGCCTCGTTTGCGGTCTCAAATGCGGACTCGTCTGCTTCACCGCTAATAGGTGGGCTCAGGGTGTAGTCGCTGAGGACAATTGAGTTTGATGGGAACTTGGATCTGGTGGGAGAAGTAGGCTCATCTTCGGGTGCTTCCTCCCATTCTTCGTCTACCTGAGTGTTCTTGACTACTTCATCTTTGGTGCGGCGTGCACCGCCAAGAAGGGCTGTGTTGAAGATGGGTCGTGGAGCTCCGGACTTGATGAATGAGGCCTTGCCCTTCCGTCTCTTGTCGGCACTACTTGGTGGGCCACCGATAGAATCTCTTCTCAGCCGTGAATTCTCAAGGTCGTCTCTGGCCTCCTGTAATAGGCGCTTAAGCTCAGCCTTCTCGTTCCTTTCTCGGTTCATGCCCCCCTTGAGATTGGCAATTATTTTGTGAGCATGTTGCAGACTCGATTTCAGGGTCTCGGCTTCCAAATGTGTATTTCTCGGCGTTGGCTTTGTGGGAGATGTGGGAGGGGAGTTTTCTGGTGTGGTTTGAGCGGGCTCCGTCACGAATGGATCCTCATTTTGTTCAAGGTCCTCTCTGTGCTCGAGGGAGGCCCGCAATCGGCTGCTCTGATTATGACTATCTTCTAGCTCCTGCTTCAAGTCCTCCACCTTCTTCTCTAGCGCAATGCGTTCATTTTCATTTGTAGCCAGATTCCTCCGCATAGTTGAAAACTCGACTTCATGATGCTTGTGCTCCGCTTCGAGGTCCTCAAATAGCTTCTCGTTCTGGTGTTTCCACTCATCGAGCTCCTTGATGATATCCTCTTTCTCGTGGCACAGCCGCTGGATCTCTGCGTGTAGTCGGTCTTCAATCTCCTGCTGGTCTCTGGCCTGGGCTAGTAAATCCTGGTTGAGCAATTCCAAATCCCAGTTCTCCTCCTTGTATTTCTGCTCGCTCTCGTCAAAATTTCGGACCCGGTTCTCCAAGTGCTCGGCCTGCTGCTCCAATCTCGCCTTCTCAATCTGTATAATCCGGAGAGCCTCCTCGCGGTCGGACAGCAATGCTTGGAGCCGCCTAACCTCAACGAGAAGACCCTGGCCAAGCTCAGCCGCAAACTCGAGATCGTGCTGTCGGGATGGCTGATTTCGCTGACGACGTGATGTAGGTTTTGAAGGGGAGTTTGTGCCTTGAGCCTGTAGATTTGCTGCGGTCGATGGGGTGAGCTGTAGTGAACAAAAGCTGATTAGCTTAATCTTGAAACCCCCCACAGAGATCTGCAGATCTACCCGAAGAAGGGGGAGAGGGCAGAAAATAAGATTAAACACCATACATTTCCAGCCGCGTACGGCGACGTTCCACCGCCACCGCCCATGATCTTGTTCGTCAATACCGCCCTTGCGCTCTCTCTGCCGACTTCATTGTACTCCTTCTCCAAGTCCTGCAGTTTCTTCTTCAGCTCTGGGTCCACCGTGTCGCCGGCCTCGTCCAGCTCCCTGATCCTCGCTTCATATTCTTGTTGCTGTTTCAGTAGCGCCCGTCCCAGGTTCCCGGCGGTCTCGATGCGTTTGCTGACTTCCGCTAGATGTGCCTCCAGCGTCCGTTTGATTTGTGATGGTGACGATGTGGGCAGAACGATGAGATTACTGTTACTGTCCTGGACCGATGTCCGCTGCGGAGTCGTAAACGGGTCGTCCATCTCGGCAGACAACCTCTCCAACCGTAGTTAGGGGTTCGTCGATGGGGCGGTCCAGAATTGCCCACAGTAAATCGGACCGGTGCTAGTTTAGTAAACCACAGCAGGATTGGGGGGGAGAGAGATTATTAGGTTGTTATATAATGGTTTGTGGGTGGGTTTAAGAAAACGAGCGACGAAGGTCGGACGGCCGTGGTAGAAGAGGGAGGGGGGGGGGGGGGGGGGTGAGATTAATAGCTGTGAGTAGGCTGGCCTGGACCAGGCACGGCTGTGAGGGAACAAGCGTGACTGAAAGTTTGCAGCACGTTCCGTTCCTGAACGAGGAAGCTAATCGTCAAGGGTCTGAGCTAGCGGACTTGCCGAGAGAGACGAACGACAAATTTAAACAACCGTACTAACCTAGGTACTGTAACTGGGGTGAACCTTTCTTTGCCCTTGCTTCCTTTTCTCTAAGAAGGATGAAATTATTATGAAGAGGGATACAAGAGAATGCGACCGTCAAAAAAATGGTGATACAAGTGAGAGAACGAAGTGATGATGTCAGAACTAGGATGAAGTACCGAGCACCAAATGGGACGTGTGGAGTAGGGGCCGCTTTTTGGTTCACGTTGATTGAATATCTAAGAGACACGGCCAAGTTCTCTCTTTTCAAAACTGCTGCTGACGTCGCTGCTGGCAGTATCTGCTGCGCGGAGTTGTGAAGGAAAGAGAGAAAGAGAAGAGAGAGGGTGAGAAGGAGAGGAAAGGGCTGGCTGGGGGAAAAAAAGGAACAACAAGTAGAGGTACAAATGTGATTCTATTTCCTTCCTCTAGACCGACAATGACCTGTCCACCTGAGAGAGATCCGATTGTCTGACTGACTGGCAGATTGTTCTGCTGGCCGGTGTTCGCTAGCCAGTGGTTGGACTAAGTATGTAATGTAGAGATGGGTAGCCGCCCAGGATTCAGGTTAGATTTCACCAATGCAGAACTGTCGATGAATGGATTAGATTCGAATATGTATGTATGTAGTTCGTTTCTGTGGCAAGCAAGCAGGAGCAGCAGCAGCTGCGATGGATGAACGGAATGAGCTGCTTACTCTGCCTCTGCCTGTGGGGTGTGTGGATGGAAATGGATGAAGAGGAAGAATAGAGAGGCGCTGGTTCACCCGTGGTCTCGATCAGTTGTTCGTTGACGCGCTCCAGCGAATAGCAACAGGCGGCAGTACGAGGCTAAGGCTGCCGCGGGTTCAGTTATATGTTTCGATCGTCCACAAGTCAACAGCAGCGCGAGCGCCCAGCACAGCGATGATCCACGTGTACGCAATATTACTGCACGCGTTTTTAGCTGTCGAATTGAATTGGCGGGGCTGTGGGGGATACGTGAGAAAGTGTGGAAAGGAAACTCGTAATAAGAAAAACAAAAACAAAAAAACCACGCGAAGGGCAAGTCTGTGCAAACTGGGATACTAATAATAATATGGAGAAGTGAACTTATATGTGGGTGGGATTGTTGGATGTGGAGTTTGGGTAGTACCAGCGGCCAGTTGGTGGGGAGCGGGCTGGAGAATTTGTGAAGGGGGGGGTATAAATTTGAGATGTGAGAGAGGAGGGCGGCTACAGCCAAACACTACTTGAAATTGAAATTAATAGAGAGAGTGTAATTGAAGGGAAGCCCTTCAGTTTGTTTGTTGGACGTACAAAAAGGAAACAATTAAGGAAAGTGACAAGTGAGGGACACGATATGATATGTATGATCACGAAATTGGTGATATGAGGGGGGGGGGAGGGGCTCACTGAGGCGAGGCGACCTAAAGGTAGGGAAGAAAGAAACTCATCCGGGGAGGCGAGCAAATGATCTCTGATATACCTTAGGTACATGTACTTGGGGGGTGGATACTTTCATATATTTGCTCGGGTTGTTTTGATCACTTTTACAAAACGGGATGAGTCCCCATCTCACCCCCTGTTCAGAACCAAACAACAAGCAAGAGGTTCCTAGCCAACACTTTGCACTAGCCCGGAAGCTATCAACAAACAGTAACGACTGAACTGGGACATTAACCCGATAGGTTATGTGGCTCAGACAATGCCTCGGTAATGACCAATTAGCCACAGGCTGTGGCAGTACACCACTGACCACTCCCGAAGCCACCTCTTACGCGTTGTGCCGTGCCGATTACTTACATTGGAGATTGCGAGGATCTCCCGGAACATCTTGGAAGCTCTCGAATATCCGTCATCACAATCAAACCTGAATCTCAAATATCTCCACATCGCAATCATTGATATTAGACCAAACATCATCTCACCTCAAGCCAAACAAACCCCAAAGCCAACTCCAGAACCAGAATCAGAACCAGCCAGCCATGCCCTCACCACCCCCTTCAGTCCCCCTCTCGGCCCCAGACGCGCCCGTCCCCTTCTTCAAACGCGCCCCCAAGTCCAAATCAATCCGGAAACGGCCCGCCACGCCCCCCTCCGACGACTCGTCCGACTACAGCTCCTCCGACGAAACAAAACCCATCAAGAAGCGGCGCAACCTCAACCAAAAGTCCAACGCCGTCACCACCACCTCCGTCTCCAAGCCCAGCAGCACCTCCACAGACTCCGCCCCCGTCGCCCGCACCTATGCCCCCGATGCGTCGCGCACACTAACCTCTGCCAACGACGCCACGGCCACAAACTGGCACAACGAGATCACCGGCTACACCTCGCCGCCGCGGAAGCCGCTCGACAGCAGCACCTCCGCCGTCAGCGACGAGCCGCCCGTCGCGGACGGGACCTACAAGGGCGCATCCAGCTACGGGAACTTCATCAAGAAGTCCAAGGACGCGCCCGCGCGCACCGTGGGGCCCATGAAGGCGCCGAGCAACATCCGCTCCATCACGGTGACCGACTATGCGCCCGACGTGTGCAAGGACTACAAACAGACCGGCTTCTGCGGTTTCGGCGACACGTGTAAGTTCCTGCACGCGCGTGAGGACTATGCGCAGGGCTGGAAGCTGGATAGGGATTGGGAGATCCAGCAGAAGTCTGGCGGGAAGGCGAAGAAGCAGGAGGATGCCGAGGACGATGATGAGTGGAAGGAGCTGAAGGACATTCCCTTTGCCTGCGTCATCTGTAAGAAGGACTACAAGGAGCCGATTGTAACGAAATGCTCGCACTACTTTTGCGAGAGCTGCGCAATCGGACGGTATAGGAAGAACCCCGGGTGCGCAATCTGCGGCAAGCGGACAGACGGCGTCTTCAATGTTGCGAAGGGCCTCCGGAAAAAGCTACAGCGAAAAAAAGAGAGGGAAGACGAGAAGAAGAAGGAAGAGGAGGAGGCGAACAAAGACAAATAAGGTACTACTATTCTTTAGCTTGTAGTTATGACTTTTTTTACTTCATGTATCTGTATTATAAGACTTTCATCTGGGAAAATATCACGGCGTATTTGGCATCCAACTCACCCCGCTCCGCCGTGATCTACGCTTTGAACTTGATTAGTACGGCCCCTCCGCAAAAGTGTTCATGACGGGCGAGTAGTAAACCAACTGTCTTAGACACGCTCCAGCTCTAGCTCCAGATCCTGCCCATGTTCCACCTCTCCGAGGGCACACCATAAGACGTCTCTTTCCCCGGACAGTCATTGTGACTGCAATGCTTCCCAGCTGCAGCTGGCCCATGCATGATATATCGATAATGCAGCTCTTATCCACCCCCCCCCCCCCCAAAACCTCAATGCTTATCCTTATCCAGACACATGCAGGTACGATTAAGTAAAGTATGTAGGTACAATTTTACCCCCAAAGCCTATGTAATTCCCCGTCGCGATCATGTCATGTGTTTGTGCCACTCTTTTCAGCTCCTCCCTTGAAACTCTCGCAAATTCCGCTGCCTAAAAGGCCAAATATCCTTCTTCATCCGGTTAAAATTCTCCACTGCATTAAATACGGTAGTTAGTGCAAACCGGGGTTGAATCGTCGTTTCATTTAGACTAAGCACGGTAGGGAAAGGAAGGTGTGGTGACCCCTGCAGACTCTGCAGCCAATTGTTGCCGGATTTGGTTGCAACAGTGAAGTGGGCGAGTGATATCCTGTGAGGAGCATACTGCACATGTAGCCTTGTTGTCATAGTTGTATGCAGAGCAAATAGTAACATGTGGAATTAATAGAATTAGTAGGCTCTTTGTCCCGATCCGGCTGGGTGTGATAAGAAACAATTGTATACCAATACGGGTTGATTATTATTAGTGTCTATGTATTCAAAGCCAAGCCCTCTTCAACTCCATCTTCCTCTTATCCCCCAAACCTTCTAAGCAAAAAAGTCTATCATAAGCAAAAAATGCAGCAAAACACCGAATGAGAAAAACAAGCCACCCAATAAACCAATACCCCCACCCTCTAACCACAGCAATAGTACTTGCAGCAATGCAAAAACTCTACCACGCTATACGTATATACCACAACCGAAACGATAACCATTACAACTACCACTTCCCTTTCGCTTCCCAACCCACCCAGCAACCTCCAGTCCATCTCCTCTCCCCTCCGTCCACAATACCACATACCAACCCTTGTCCACACCGTTGAGTATAGCAGTGCATATACAGCCACATACAGTGCCTGCTCAAAGTGTCTTCCACAGAACCGCCCTGGTACGGGAGTAATAGAGTTTAGGACAAAGATCTCTATGAACGCAATCACAGATGCACCGACGGCAATGGTAAACTCGGGTGCTACCCATGGATAACACGGGGTGTTGATATTGGGCAGGAGGATAAGGAGGTAGAAGCACGACGATGCAAATGGGATCGCGGTGACAGTAGTGTAAAGGCAGCGGAATCCTGTGCGGAGAAAGCGAGACCGCATGAGACATGAGAGTAGGCGGGTACGAAGATTGGTCTGTGCATGTAGAGGGGGCCTAGGGAAAGGGAGACTCCTCTCGGCAAATCTATTTATCACGGCCCAGATCTAGAGAAGTCAGACAGTGCTCCACCTCTTCAGAAAGTCTTTATTAGAAACTTACAGTAACAAGCCACATATAGAAACACTGTGTAGCCCATACGATATTAATCAGTCTGAAGAAAAAGATCCTCCCATTGCCAAGGCACCTCTCCCTATAATAATAGAGACCCAGCAGTCCTGTCATGCACATGGCAATAACGACACGTATAACGATGACCATGCCATCAGAGATCCATTCGAACGGGGACTGGATGATCTCCGTGAAGATATATCCTTCTGGAGGAAACGCAAAATCGAGTTCATCCTCTAATTGTCATGTCCATGGTAAGCACTCACTCATCAGCCAACAACAGCATGGGAACTACTAACCATCAAGACTATCAGTATCACACTCCTCCCCCGGATCACGACCCGAACGTTGCTCCTGCTGGACCTGTTGCAGCAACGGCGTGTGTTCATTTACCCTTCTCTCGGGACTAGGTTCTCTTTCTCTCGAGCACGAAGGGCCATGTTCATGCCCCTTCGAACCCTTCGAGCCTTTCGACTTCGATCCTTTGGAGCAAGAACCAGTAGCACATTCACTCTCCCGTGGGTGGGAGTTCTTCGAAGGCATTTAAACAAGCAACAGTGGTGGTAATCGATTGTATGATCTCAGCTGATAATGTGGGTATCAAACAGGAACCAAGAAGAACGGACAATCAAAAATAGAATAAATCAAGAGCGGGGAGTTCTCAAGCCACCTTTTAAACTCTAAACAACACCAAAAGACAGATCTTCAAAATAACAACGAGTGATCCAGCGTGAAGCGTGGCCCCACGAAAACAGAGCTGACTAATGCCAAACAGCGAAACAGAGAAAGAGAGCTAGCAGAGCTCGGACACCAAGAGATCTCGGGCGCTAAAACACGGCCCTGACGTTCTGGGAGCTGTCTTTCTGTTGGTCCCCCTGAAGCTCTTTCCTGAGCTGCCCGGTAGTGGTGAGAGGAAGAGGTAACAATCTACGAGCGAATGAGGGAGGGCCGCGCTCTCTCAGCTATATAACCAGCAAGCCCTCCCTCCTCCCCCCGCCCCCTCTATCTCTCATGGGGCGTGAATAACATCAAACCGCGAATTCATCACACGAGCAGGTAGCGGGGAGTGGAACATTCGTCATCTTATATCTCTACACTGCGCACACCGGACCACACACAGGCTTGCGAGAACTAGATAACAAGAATCCATGGCCCATTCCCTTTCCTCGCGTTACACAGATCCCCTCCACCTCCTCTCTCCCCGAACAATCCGGGGGGACCTACATATATAGAATGTAGGTACGAACGTGATCCCGTGGAACCCCATTCTCCAGCTTTGGCCCTCCCCTATCGCCCATATGTATAGGTTTCGGAGAAGAAGACTCAATTTGCCCCCATTGCAGGCGCTCAGTCCCGGGTCGGGCGGCAGGGATGGTGGTTGGGGTTTGTGGTAGGTAAGGTTAATAATGATGGGGATGGGCCACATTTGGTAATCTGTCACGCGAGCTCTTATCGTGGGTCTGTAGGCAAAGCAAGATATGATTTGAAAACATGCAGCACGCCACGCGAAGCCTTTTGGTTTGGGGGGCTTGATTCCACATATCCTGCTTTTTCTGCCGAGTAGACAAAAATGACCACGCTGCAAGGGTCCTCGGAATCCGGGGAGGGGAGGGTTTTTCTCGCGAGTGAGGTTCCATGATGTTGCGCTGCTGCAGCCCTGCAGCCAGGGTGACTAAGCTCCGGTTCAGGGCTAGACACCTTTCTTGTGACGGTCTTTTTGAGCGCGCTAAGACCCAGTCAACGCACACTGAAGCTTCCAACCACACACAATCAAACTCCACGATTGCCATCCAGAAACTTTTTCAACCTCCCGCCGCCGACAATTACACGCCCATCGCAAACGACCAAATTAAACACCAAAAAAAACACCCTCCCGTCAATCCTTCATCCTAAGTAGTGAGTAGCCTGAAAAAAATGCCACAAAATAAATGAATCCCTGATGGATTCCGGCGAGACTCCACGATTTTCGTTACCCCACGATAAATCGCTGAGCTCTCCAAAAAACCCCCATCAACCCGCCAAGAACCACAAAGACACGCAATCACTAACCCCCAACCCTCAGATCTGCCCATCATGCCAGGTGTTTCCGTCCGCGATGTCGATGCCCAGAAGTTCATCGAGTCCTACGCCGCCTTCCTCAAGCGCCAGGGCAAGCTCGCCATCCCCGGTTGGGTCGACACCGTAAAGACCGGGCACTTCAAGGAGCTCCCCCCCCAGTCCCCCGACTGGTTCTACGTGCGCGCCGCCGCCGTCGCGCGCCACGTCTACCTGCGCAAGTCCGTCGGTGTCGGCCGTCTCCGCAAGGTTCACGGTGGCCAGAAGAACCGCGGCTCGCGCCCCTCCCACCACGTCGACGCCTCCGGCTCCGTCGACCGCAAGGTGCTCCAGGCCCTCGAGAAGATCGGTGTGGTTGAGCTCAACCCCAAGGGCGGGCGCAGAATCTCCCAGACTGGCCAGCGTGATTTGGACCGTAAGTTGATGCTCTTCCCCCGGGGTGGTTGTGTTTTTTTGCTCCCGTCCCCCCTCTAGCCGCTGGGAATATGAGCGGTGTTGGACGAGGGGCTGGTGTCGGGGTTGTGCTAATGTTTGTTGTTGCGGGTGGACAGGTATTGCCCAGACCACCATTGAGGCCGAGGAGGAGGAGGAGGAGGAGGAGTAAATGCGGGTTTTCTAGCACGGATACAATCAATAAAAGTTTTTTTTGTGCCGGTTCTCTTCTTTTTTCTGCTTTTTTTTAACTACATACTTTTTCAAATGGCGCATCTTGGGGATACCAGGGGAATTTCATTGGGTGTTAACATTGTCCTCCGAATCTTCCTCCCCGTTCCGAGCTGGAAAGGTGATATCAGACTGATGGTAATCATGAATTTGAACTCAATTGAGAGAGCCATAATCACATGCATCCGAGGTTGCTTGTAGTATGCACTCTTGTGACCTTAAAAGTGACGTAGAATATCGTATCATCACTCGTCCTACCGTTATCGACAAAGCCAATGATCCCGTAGCCCACTTAACGATGCTTCGGCTCCCCGTAGCCCAAAACCCCACATTCTCGTGATCCAGTCACCTGACCCCACTTCAACCCTTACCCTACCCTACCGCAAAAACCTTCAAACTACACCCAACCTCACCTCCAACCCCCACCACACAAAACCCACCACAAACCATGACCACCCTCCGCGCGCCGCTGCTCCGCCTCTCCACCCTCCCCCGCGGCCCCGCCGCCCTCCCGCGCATCTTCCACCGCCTCAACAGCAGCGACACCCCCCGCACCACCCCACCGCCCGCACCCGCCCCGCAGCCCCGCACGCTCGACGGCTTCCTCGGCGACAGCAGCACGCTCAGCCGCACGCGCATCCAGCGCGCAGCGGCCGCCGCAGAGACCCCCGAGTTTCCCAGCTTCACGGGCAGCGACATGTTCGGCGGCGGCGGCGGCACGGGCGCCGAGGACAACATGCACCACCTCAATGTGTACGCCACCAAGCACAACACGCACATCACGTTCACGAAGCCGAACAAGGACGTGATCCTGACGCTGTCGTGCGGCAACGTGGGCTTCAAGAAGGCGAACCGCGGGACGTTCGAGGCCGCGTACCAGCTGGCCAGTGTCATGTTTAGTCGCATGGAGGAGAGGGGGCTGCGGCCCAAGCACCTCGAGGTGGTGTATAGGGACTTTGGGCCGGGGAGGGATGCGTTCACGAAGGTGCTGCTGGGGAAGGAGGGGAAGAGTATTAGGGAGAGTGTGGTGAGGGTTACGGATGCGTCGAGGTTGAAGTTTGGAGGGACGAGGAGTAGGGCGATTAGACGGTTGTAGATGGGGGGATTGGGGGGAGGGATTTGGGGGGGGGGGGGGTTATGGGGGTGTACAGTTCTTTGCCTGTATCATATTCTTTAGTTTGGGGAGCTTAGAGGGCACTAATTACAAGCATTGCTGTGTCTAGAGGTTTGGGTGTTCAATTGCCGTAGTCTGTGATGTTTGCTATATATATTAGATGTCTAGCTGTAGCAATTGAGAAGCCTCTGGATGCCATTGCGTCTTCAAAGCACCCTTCCAGTACAGAAATTGAGCTACTCTTTGACTCACGTAGTTGTCTGCCGGGCCATCCACACATGACCTGCCGCACCCTGCCGCACTACCGCTCACTCGCCCGAGTGACAGCGCATGCACCACGCCGCGATGCACCCAGCACCACCCACCTGTCAATGATCAGCATCCCCAGATCCCCGACCCCCACCACCACCACCGCCACCGCCACCACCAACCTTCCCCTCCGCCGCCCTTCCCAATTCACAGCGATTCTCGCACTCACCCCCAATCCCAGTTACCCGGCCCATACCACACCCTCTGACTGGCTGTCTCACCTCGATAACGATAAGGCAGCGCGGCCCGGCGCACATAAACTCTACTACAAAACCATCATCCCGACAGCCCCAATTGCAAACACTCGCAGCATCATGGCCTTCCCCCCACAGCACATCCCGCACAGCAGCCGCCACGGCCCGCCCTGCCCGTGGATCCCGATCCCCGACCAGCGCATAATCTGCATCGAGCACCCCGCCATCATCCAGAACATCGACAAAGGCATCGCCACGCTCGGCGGCGAAAAGGCGCTCGTCAAGGTACCGTCCTTCCTGTCCCCCTCCTCCCCCCCCACTCCCCCCCCCCCCCCCCCCCCCAATTTCCCCTGCCACCCCGGTAAACTAATAGAACTCCAGCTCGCATCGACGAACGGCAACTCGGGCCTGATGCTGCGCTTCCGCCCGGACGACCCCATGCAGCCGCCGATCCAGTCGCGCACGGTGCCGAGCAACAGCGTGCTCGTCAAGATCACTGTCCCGCGGCGGCGGCGGCGCAAGAAGCGCCGGGATGCGGAGGGGCGGGTGGTGGTGGACCCGCGCCCGGTGGAGGAGCCGCCGCTGCTGGAGAAGCTGAGGAAGTCGAATGGGAAGTACAAGGTCGAGACGGTGGGGATGATTGAGCGCACGGTGCGGTTTCGAGGTATATATATCATATCCGCTTCCTGAGCGTGTGGACGAAGACTTGCTGACCGGGCTGCAGATATGGCAAACTACCAATTCAACACCTCGCGCTCCCCCTTCGTCGCAAAGATCAAGTCCACGGTACTCGACTGCTCCTACCCCTCCCTGCAGCAGTTCGCCCTCTCCCCCGGCAAAGGGCACCAACCCATCCTCGAGATCCTCCCCCCGCCCTCCTTCTCCAACACCGTCATGCAGCACACCTACTACTACCGCCAAAACCCCGCCATCAAGAAAGCGCTCATCGCCGGCAAACCCGCGCTCCTCAACCTACAAGCCGCGCCCAAAACCCTCACGCCCATGGTGCACATCAGCAGCCCGCACCTGCCCGCCAAGCCGCTCGACATCCGCCCCTACGAGACGCTCGACGCCGCCGGCAAGAAGTGCGTCGACCACCTGCGCGCGCTCTTCGCGCAGCGCCCCATCTGGACCCGCCGCGCCCTCTTCAACCACTTCCCCAAGAACCTGCAGAGCCTGGTCCGCTTCTCCATGGTGCACGTGGCCTACATGTGGCGCGCGGGGCCCTGGCGCGACACCTGCGTCATCTACGGGCTGGACCCGCGGTCGAGCCCGGAGTACCGCAAGTACCAGAGCGTGTTCTTCCAGGTCGAGACGGAGAAGAGCCAGAAGGGCAAGGACGACGCGCGCAAGCGCAACAGCCACATCTTTGACGGGAAGCAGTTAGTGCGCGATGGGCGCTGCTTCCAGCTGTGCGATGTGACGGACCCGCTGCTGTGTAGCCTGATTGAGACGGGGAAGGTGCGGCGCGTGTGCGATATGGGGGATGGGTGGTACCGTGCGAGCACCATGGCGAAGATTAAGGCGATCATGAGGGGGAAGATACGTAGTCTGGCGGAGGGCACGGTGCCGGCGGATAGTGAGTTTGTGGATGTGCTGGAGCAGGAGAGCGAGAGTGAGAGTGAGGAGAAGGAGAGGAAGGAGCGCGAGGTGGCGGAGCGCGCGGCAAGGAAGATGAGGAGGCTTGGGAGGGAGGCGGCGGCGGAGGCGGCGGAGGCTGAGGCGGAGGCTGAAGAGGCAGAGGCGGTGGAGGAGGCGGCGGATAATGATGGGGAGTGGGAGGAGGAGCTGACGGAGGAGCAGAGGGTCGATGGGAGGGTGGAGGAGCTGATGATGGAGCTGCTGAAGCAGGGCGGTGAGCATGCGGGGTATGAGGGGTATCTGGAGGACGTTGGGGAGGAGGGTGACTTTGATGTGCTGGAGGGCGAGGAGGATGAAGATTAATTTACTAGTTAGCTTTTTTGTATATAATAGTAGTTAGCAGTCGATTGATCATTGACACTGGGAATAAGTAATAATGCGAGTGCTATCTCATGATCGAATAGAATTAATTCGAACCACTTATTGGGAAAACTTATCCAATAACAATAGTCCCCATGTAAATAACAAGTAATCATGAATAGAATTGCTGTTTACAGTGTGGCAAGGATCCATCTAGTCTCAATGAACCGGATCCCCATGGCCACTGGTTGGTAAATTACCAGGGCCCGGGCAATAAGATGGTCGCGAAACCTATATAATCAATTATAATTACGCAAACATCTTTGCGACAGCGATTTAATGTTCCAGATGGGTATATGTATGATAATCGTGTAGATGATATATCCGATGGTGGTCAATTTTGTCCCACACACAACATGCACATATGCGTCATAACCCAACCTGCCCCCGGAGTCATAAGTTCACCACGCCTTGTACACCACCAAGGCCAACCGGCGAGGAATCAATGGGTTGTGCGAGGTGCACAATTGGCCTAACAACCTACAGAGCTTTTGTGTTCCAGACTGCGAATGGTTCCTACTATAGCCCTAAGATCTACATGTAGTCTAGTACTCATCTGACCGGCCAAGCCTGTTGACTGCCGGTGGAGGGTTTCTATGTATCTGTAGTTCCGTTTAATATATCTCCCGGTAGATGGCGGTGTTATCCTCTTGAGAATGGTCTCAGCCGGGCCCGGGCCTAGCTAACTATAGATAGAGATACAAGCACTCATCAGTGCCGCGGGGAAAACCGGTGACTGCAAAGGAAAATTTAAAACCTAGATACGAACGTTCAGTAGACGCCGGTACAGGCGCAGCGGGTCACACACCGCTGGTTCAAGTGCGGGGCACTTCACTTGATCGCTGCGGCCGTCTAAGGAAGTATTCTCTATTTTCTTAGGGAGGGCCGTTTCCCGGGCCGGGAGGTGTCGATAGCATTGGTGTGATTTCCTTCGGCCGGTGTACTAGAAAGCAAATGGTACAGCCGGGTCATTATTCAACGCTCACTCCATCAACTCACCCACTCGATCAAGCTCATATCAGATATCTATCCACCTAAAGCGCATACAGCTGTCCGACTGTTTATGCCGGGAGAGTGGCATAGCGGTATCGCCCCGCGCAGCTGCTTCATGGGATATCACTCGATGCCGAGACTGACGCAGAGCCGGCAGGGCCGGGAATTTGAAACCTAGCTAGGTTGCGGGGGTGAAAAGATACTGGGGTGTAGTCTGTTGTCTTATATTCCCTAGGTGGTGGAGCTCGCTCAGGGCTGTATCTAATTGCTTACCATGACATAACTGGGGATATGTATCTTTCATGACGTTTGAACTTAGCGCTATCGCATTTAATGGGGCCCGCTGAGATGCGGATAAATATAGTGCTGGCCTCTATGCTCTACCACATCTGTCTCTTTATACTGCGGCCCGAGTAAAGTAAAAGCATGACTTCCTAACAGTTCGAAAATGGGGGATATTGCGGTGGACCCACTGTGGTTTCCAAATACGATACGGAAGGATAGTAATTTAGCTGGTTTTGGGATCAGGAATCGGGCATTAAAGGATAGGTGAATATATGTGGTGTTTATTCGTCCTCAACACAACCCTTATACATAGATAAATGCATAATATTCATATTGCAGAACTCTCGGAGTATGAATGCATGGTAGGTCCGTCCCCAGCTACTACTAATGCTGGCTCGATAAGAACAGAACAAATTTCCCATGCCCTGTGAGGCATACCGATCCCTATCTCGACATAACTGACAATATCCGGATTCCCAACTTCGTCGACGCAAATAACAAAGTCGATATATATATGAGAGTGCTGCTTCCCGTAAGGCCGAGTGTTTGGGATGATACCGGGCCTAGGGGTTGCAGATATAGTCTTATGAACCTAATAATGATCAATGGCAAGGTCTTTTGGGTTAGCCATTTGATTCTATCATGTTCAATTGTGGCCTCTGTCCTGGTAGTCTGATGGTCTGGGCCAGCCCACAGGATCCAATAAAATCTTCTCAACCTTTATAACCAGATCTATTCGATCCCAGGAGATGTTACGAAAGCCATTTGTATATTGTCTTATATTCCATGGGTAGTCCTAAACCAAGCTCTATGCAATCTCCCTGGGTCGGGCTTGGTATCGGCTTTCATGGGCTGGCTGAGCTGACCCTTTCGAGTCCCATTGGAATCTCTGAAAGACTCTGAAATCCTATCGTGATGTCAATCAATTGATCCCCGAATTGTGCCATCTTGAATCTTTGCTGTGCATGTAGGGAGTCAATCGGAGGGGTATGCAATATGGTGTTGGGTAGGTGGGGCACCGCCCACACCATCACCCCACATCCTCGAGAGCTCTTGAAATCGTTAGAAAGCATGCAACAGTTTAGTATGATTATCTTGCCACAGAAGTCGAGCAAGCTCTTTGAGTTTTTGTTGAATGATACCTACATATAATGTATCCTTCATGTTAGGGTTAGGGCTGCTCGGCGAAGCTAGCCCATCGGGTGACAAAATCAGACGACAACCAGAAAAAAATCCGCCCCTCTACCGAATTGTATCCCGTCGTCGGCCACCCCCCCCACCATTAACGCCCCCCGCATAATGCGCGACGTCAACCCGTAACGATTCCGCGTGCACGATGATGACGGACCACGATGAGAGCTCCATTGCACGCCATAGCGCCCTCCCAGAGCGCCCTCCGTTATTTACGTCAAATCCTGTTCCCCAGGCCCTACGACTACCGCCCCACCATGGCGGCCAATTGTGCTCGAATCCATCATCATCACCCCTGGGGAGGAAGGGGGCTCTTCAGACCGCAACGAGGCTTTCACGGTGGGGCATTGGGGGCCGTGGGAGAAGTGAGAGGACCAGAGAATACCGTGGTGATTCCTCACCAGTATCCACCGGTGCCTCCGGCTGAGCGGGTTGTTCTGCAGGATCCGGCATCGGCCCCGAACCAGACAAAATGGTGGAGAGCGAGGTGGAAGAAGACGAGGTGGAAGAAGACGAGGATCAAGTTTAGGAGAAAGAAAAAAATGTACAGTCCTACGGCATGGGCATTCGACAGCTCTCGGCTCATCAACCAGAAGCGATTGAACGAGGCTGTGGACAAATGGATTGATGCGAAGGAGAATTACGCGGATGAGAAAGACGTACAACAACTGGGGATAACGTTGATGAAGGCCTTCAATCGGAACCGACGATCACGAGGGACACCCCATATATTCAATCTAATGGCTGCCACGGACCCGAAATCGATCAATACCACTTGTCTGAACCTCTGCATGGAGGCGTACCTGTTAAATAATCGACCGAGCAAGTTAATTGAGGTATATAGGAAATACCAAGGATCTGTCAAGCCCAACTATGTGACGATTAACATCATCCTAAGAAACTTTATTGCCATGGGGCAATTGAGCGAAGCGGAGAATTTATTGAAGGTTGTCATGGAGTCGCGTGGGCCTGTTACGCGCCATTCGTTTCAGCTACTGATGCACGGGGTGAGGGCAATCACCGAGAGTTTGCCGGAGATGACGAGGGTATTTGACTGGATAAAAACTACCTACCTAAGCCCACACTCCCCAATCTATAATATCATGATCAAGATGGCATTGGATTGCAGCCAGTACGGCCTTGCAAAGAAATACGCGGACGAGATGGTAGAAAACGGGCTGGGATACAATCTCGAAACCTTTGTTCTGTTTCTCAGCACACAATCCAAGGCCGGAGACTGGGATGCCGTTGCGAAAACGATGCAGCGGATGAAGGAATTTAATATAAAGCTGACGGTTAAGGGCTTCAACACCCTTTTACACTCATATGCCCGTGCGGCCGATTTGCCTTTGGTTGAGCGTTTCTTCGAATCAATGCTATCCTTCGACATAGTCCCAGACCGGTATTCATACAACATCTTGATTCATGCCTCCTGCCGCGCCAAAGATGAAGAAGCCAAGCATCGATGGTTCAAGCGTATGAGATTAGCCGGGCACCTCCCAGATGCAGTTACCTTCAATATCCTATTTCATGAGCTTCGAAAAACCAAAGCTCAACCATATGTTCTCCGCCGTATCTATAACGCCGTCCTCGACATAAACCCAGATCTCGTCAACACCATGACCAAAATGATGCTCCTTGACTCCATGTTCAAAGACTCCCTCGCATACGAGCGCCGAGCAAACCTCCGTCGTACGTCTCCACGGTTAGATGACGACATCTTTTTGCCAGAAATAAAGGAAATGGAGTCAGCAACTAACGCAGGCCGCCCATATAATGCAATCTGTATCTTCACCGACATATTAGCCCAAGGCTTAAAACCCACAGAATTCCTCACTGCTTCCGCCATTCGTGCCGCTTTTCGACTTCCACCATCCGAACACGATAACGTCTCCCGCCTTCTATATATTGCCCATAAGCGCGGTGCCCGTATCAATGATATTGTACTAGGCATACTGTCATCAGACAGTTTTCATTCCTCCTCGCCCTCCTCACCCTCCTCACCAGAACAATTGAATACCGTCTTGCAGCAACTCCATACCTCCTACAGTTTCATGAGCTCACATTGTCTACCAATCAGCCACTATATCTTTGTCAAGACAGCATGGAAACTTGCGATATCCGGCGATCCCCACGGCGCTATATTCCTAATGAATAAAATTAGCACTTCGCACTGGGGCTCAAAGTGGAATGTTGTAGGACTGACAACATTACTGCATGCATACACCCTGATCAAAGATCTCAAGGGAATGAAATGGGTTGTGGAAACGATGGAGGCACAGCAGGAAATGCCCGATAGGCTATTCATGCGATATCTCCGGCGAGCCAAAGAAGTTTCCGAAAGCCAAGAAGACGAAGCCTTCATATCGTGGCTCGTTGTGCGATGTATAAAGCTCCGGGAGGCGCTGAAGGAGCGCGAGGCAGACGACAAGGCACGAGAGATTCTGCAGTTCTTTGAAGGACTGGAAGGGAAGCCGAAGATCGTATTGAAGAAGAAGGATGCGCAGGGGGGAGGGCGTCGTCAATACTAGCGAAAAACATTGGATTGGTTGCTCTGCTGCTTTTTATTTGATGTTTATATCTATCTGCTCATAACTAGCTGGGGTTGGAGGGATTGTCTTCATGGGTTTTTTCCTCACTGTTTTCGTTTGATTTATATGTGTTGTACATTGTAGTGGTATTTGTCCTGTGCACGAGTAGTGAGTGGTATGTATGTATGTAAATAGGGCATATTGGGTGAGCGGAGTATATCATTTTCTTTTGCATGTATGCATATACCGGGTTAGATTGGTGGGTAAAGGAGCATTATAGATATAAGGCCGGCCGGAGCTGGGGTTTTAAATTTCAATTGCTCTTGTATAAATAAAGTCGGTTGGGGGTTGAAAGTAAATCTCCTATCTTATTGTCAAGATAGTGTTTCACGGTTTATCACTCGCTGATATGGTCATGAACTTGTAAGAGAGCTAGGGGCCAGATCTGCAGAATGGGGCACAAGAACATGTTCAATTCCACATACAATTTGGTTCAACGTGAGGATGAGTATTAATCAATACAAGTTGGATGCTGGAGGTAAGATGATATAAAGAAGATGCTATCAAAGACGCTATAATAGAGCAACCATGAATGCGGTTAACAGCATGCAGTCTCACTCTCATGTCCCCCTCTATTGGCCATTAGTCTCATAGGAATTAGCCGTCATTTTGTAATAATACTTTGGAGGGGGTTATTACGGACCCGATAGTGATATTGTCATACCCGAACAAGAAGTGGCCCGAAAATGCGCCAAGCAGCATACAAATAATAAAATAACCTATATACCGAAGTCATTATTAGCCATAGCTTTGTATCGAGAGATGCTGGTATCAGTACCGTTGTAGTACATAGCCAATAACATTATCTACCGTATACTCGTTAGATCAATACCAATATGAATGATGTCAATTGGAAGGGGTGCAAAATACAAAGTAGCTACACCGCCAGTCAGTAAAGGAAAGTAGTAGGAATAAAGTGGGATTACGACTCACGCAAGGCCAAATTGAAGCATATAAATCCCCGCCCTAATTGCCTGCTGAAATATTGTTGGCCTATAACTCAGTGGCGTAATGCAACCCGACGCTCTCTCCAATGGTACACTCGATATCTTAGAGGTTACTGAGCGGACGATGTAGCGATCATATTCGCGCTGAGTGCGACGGAGAAATTCTAGGAGTAATACAAGGAGGAAAACCTAGGGTGGTGGTCATGGACTTAGTTAGTGATAAGTGAGTTCCTTGATTAATCTTTTACTTACACCGATGCAGGAGCCGGCAAACATGGCAGTACTTCTGACGTGCCACGAACGGGAAATAAAGCAGGAATCAATTGTGTACCAGTTCCAAAGCATCTGGAGAGGCCTTGGTTAGTTCTGTTTACGAGCTACGGGAGGGGATATCATACGGATATCTTGCAGGTTGCTGGTGTGGGTGTTAAGGTTGAATTTGAGCTCATAGAGTGAGTACTCATGGTGCTGTGGTCCATCGTGACAGAGCTTGGGGAGTAAGAAGTGGATGAGTATATATATGGGATCGGGGAAGACGGTGATGTTCCGAGAGATGTCTTAAAATATATAGTGTATAATATCAAGGGCCAGGAAGCTAGGGTATTTATAGTCTTTATCTTGAGCTATGTATGCTACACTGAAGTTCGGATACTGAGCTGAGCTAAATCTTGATGAGAAGATTTTTATTTTATGCATAATTCTTTCGCATTCTAACCGCTTTAATCATCACGAGAATATGTGACCTATGTCCCTTGTATGTTCCCGGTAATCACAACATGTTAGGCCCATGGCGACGCCCTAATAGCCAGAGATCTAGATGCAAACTCGTTAGAGTAGGCAGAGGTGGAATCATAAACTGTGTGAAGGCTTCACAGCGAAAAGAGTTTCACGGAGTGAGGGTTAGGTCCAATAGAAAGAAAAAGACCAAGTACATGTACTTGCCTTCCAAATGATATCGGCCCCGGGTGCAGAGGGGGAATTCAACCTTCAGATATACACATGCATACGTATCTATTTTAAACCAGTTGCCACTAGATCTCCCGGCTCCCTAATCTTGACTTCAATGTTTCGTATTTACATACATGTATCCCCGGACTCGAGACATCTTTCTTTGCGATTGTGACCCTGTGAAAATAACTTGCGCAAATATTTGCTCACATACATACGCGTTAGAACTTTAGAAAAAGAAAAAAATGAGGTGGTTTTAGTACATAGAGTAGGGTAGTTGCATGCATATGGGCCGGTTTCTTGGATTAGAAGCTAACCATCCTGTTGGGATTAAGTTCTTGGCAAAGAAGATCTTCTGTACTCAGACTGGCCGCTGAGATATATACATGTGTTTTATACATGTACATTGTCTGAAGCGTTCATTCCCATATGCATTACAATATGGCCATGACTGCGGAGGATTTATACACGTGTACTACATGTATCTACCAACCGCTGCTAGATCAATAATCGCATTCTAGGACCTTTTGCACATATTTTGTCGATACGAATATATATATGTACCCACATGTAATTATCGCCCCTATGTGTGTTCATTAGTGTCAGTGTTTCATACATTAATAGACGCTCAGCTTTGAGAGCGTGTGGCTTGTTATTACACGGTACGTTTACCTTAAGCTTGACATAAACAGCCACAACAATTTAATTAAGTAAACGATACATAACTCTTCAACACGCTTTACACTTACCTCAATGGTCTGCAGCATCTGTAGCTATAGCAAAGCAATTTTCGAGGTGGAGATTAGTTCAAAACGCGAGCTAATGGTCTTATCAGTTTCAGCTATGTTTACAGTGCATTTGATTCTCCCACGCCCAATCAAATAACCCAATCCAAGTTATGGAAATTCCACGACAGCCTTATATATAAGGCCGACTAGTTCTCCTATGACTATACCAAGTGAAAAACCAAACTGTTTCCGCCAATTCCTCTTAGATATGCTTTTTTCAAAATGTGCTGATCGGAATCTAGGACTAAATATCAGGCTAGAGTTCTGAAGCTCATAAAGTGGATCTTTAGTCTCGTCAAATATATATCGTAATCTCATATCGCTACTAATGAATATAAATAAAAATCAGATATAACAATTCCTTATATTTGGCATGAATGGAGTCACCGCCTGTCTCGTGCCCAGCCTTCTTCTGATTGGTTAGAAATCGAGTGTGCATTTGGAGATATGGAGTCTGGATATCATTCACCATACTTGAAGAGACAAATAACTCGCCTCGTGCTTTAATAGGGATCCAAAGATAAATAGTCAGATGCTCCAATACCTCTCTACTTGGCCAGCTAGGCTGATGATAATCTGGGGCTTTCACTCATTTTACTGCCTTTTATACAACAAACAAGCATCTAAGAGAGGGTTTATACTCTATAGTTTAAGGTCAAAGGGCTTCGATACCATTTTTTGATGAAAAATAACTCGTATACTACTCGGAAAAGATTTGAAACCTTGGACACCGGTAGCATTCATAAGCGCTACTCCACAAAAGGTCCATAATGTGAATTGTTGTCCCTCAAAGGAGGCCTTCTAATAGACAACTACATGTATTTTCAACTTCGATGCTTTCAAAAATGCGTCCAGGACTGGTCTATGAAAGAAAAGCTAAGGGTCTTCCAGTACCGCAAGAGGACTATTCGTCAAGTTCAACTTTGTCTAACTTGCAGGCTGCCAGGTCATGTGACACTACAAGTAGTTGAAATCCAGATTCCATGGTATCCGAGTCTTTAATAGTAACCTTCGTGGTATGGAAGTCCTTTGCCAATAATTTAATTAGGTCATTTATAATTGGATAAGGTTTGCGCACGTCGTAAAGTTTACCAATCATGGACCATCACTCTCACACAACTGTGTGGGTTAGGGTTTCTGTTGCTACATAATCTCTGCCAAGCCCAAAGCAGAAAGGTCCCCGCGAGCTTCAAGTTGCTTGAACTTCAACAACCACAGACTACCCTGGACCGTCAACCCATCCATCATCATTCATCCATCACCATCATCGAGCTCTTGCCTATACTCCCCCTGAGTTATATATACCGGTGCTAACTCCTCACAACACCTACAATGAATCACCTTCCCGAAGGCTGGGGTAGAGTACGCTTATCCCCCACCATTTCCGCCGCAACACCCTAACTGACATATCCAACCCTTCAAGCCCAGAAACGATGTCTACGGTGCCTATGATCACTCCTACCTGCAGGGCGCTCACCCGATGCAGCACACTCAACAGCCGATCGTCACCGGTACTAGTGTTGTCGCACTCAAGTTCAATGGCGGGGTCGTAATCGCTGCTGATAATCTCGGTATTCCTTACTCCCATCTAGTTATCAACTATACCTCCCCCATACTAATCTTCCCCGTTTGTTAGCGTCCTACGGCTCTCTCGCACGTTTCACCGACGTTGAGCGTCTGAAGCAGGTCGGGACACATACAGTCGTCGGTGCCGGCGGTGACATGTCGGACATGCAGCACATGTACGAGAAGCTTCTAGACTCGCTGATCATCAAGGAGGAGTACCAGAACGATGGACACAGCCTTCGTGCGAGCCACATATACAGGTACCTCAGTCGGGTATTATACCATCGCCGTTGTAAATTTGATCCTCTCTGGAACACAATCCTTGTGGCGGGATGGGATGATGGGAAACCGTGAGTTTACCCCGCGCTGTTTGAAATGTGGAGAGTATTGTTTTAGTTAACTGTGGTTAGGTTCCTTGCATCTGCTGATCTTCTCGGCACTACCTTCTCTTCTCCCGCGCTTGCTACCGGGTTTGGTGCGCATCTTGCGGTTCCGCTTCTTCGCCGTGTCTGCCCCGACGAAAACGCTGTTAAGAGCCTCACGAAGGAGAAAGCGATCGAGACTATTGAGGAGTGCATGAAGGTATTGTTCTACCGTGATGCCAGGTCATTGAACAAATACTCGATGGCTGTCATCACCGGAGAGGGTGTGGAACAGGTTCCTTTGAGCGGTGAAGGGAAGGAGAAGGTAC